GGAAATTCTACGGAGAATCACGAACGCAATTCAATTGGATTATAAAATCGCTCTATTCATTATGTCTGTATTTCAAACTTTCCTATAATTTCACTCAAATCCAGACAACATTGGTAAATTCATCACAAACACAAGAATAAAAAATTGAAAATTGATTAAAAATTGCTTAATAATTAATTATTCAAAAATTCATTTTCACACAATCTTTCTCAACCATTTGAACCAGACAAAAGTCTTATTTATTTTCCTTGGCTTCTTCACTTTCAAGAGCCTCAAAATTCAATTCCGGACGTTTATTTCGACATCCGCCGAATACGTCGAATGTAAACAAATAAAACACAGCAATCAAATTAGACAACTTTTACCATCTAAATGTAGTCATTTCTTATCCTCTCAATCTCTCTAAGAATCACGCTTTTTGAGGAAAATTTGACGATTTTGCGACAGAGAGAAATTATTAAGTAAAACTTCTCTCCACGAGAAATTCCACACACATTTTCCCAGACGAAACAGAGAAGGAAGAAGTGCAAGATAATAATGTTAAAACGATTACAAACAATGAAGGTGAAGGCTGAAAAACTCCATGAAAATTATGCAATTTCATTGTTTTCTGTCGCAACTCGCAAATGTTATTTATTTATATTCTTTTTCCAACATTAAACATTACACATTTCATCGGCGTAAAGAAATTATCATAACTTATCATTATGATTTACGAAAGCGAATTTTTCTTTTCTCTCTCTCTTTTTCTCTTCTATGAAATTGATATATTGAGAATGAATATTTGCCAATTCTAATAATAAAACACTCTTCCTCGTGGGAGATTAGAATTTCTCAATCTCTGAAAACTTTCCCTCCCAATAAAACACAATCATTTAACCTTGAATTGTTGCCAGAACTAATTTGTATCCTTTGCGAAAATCCTCCTGAGATCATTTATTAATGGATTTTAGTGATGGAAATCAAGTGAATTTTCACACTGACGGAAAATCCTCTTCAAGCCCCTAAGCAAAGGAAACACAACAAAGAGTGTTGTGGAGAGACAGAAGAAAAAAGAAACGCGCCGTGTGTTTGTGGAGAATAAATAGAAAGAGAGTGGATTCTCAACTGCTTATGGACGTGACATCATCGCAAGAGTGATTAAAATGTAGACTCAGCATTTATAATCATCACTTTGAGGGGTTTTTCTGGAAAAATTTCCACCATAAAGAGAGTATAACTTAAATTACAGGCTCATTGACCAGGTGAAATTTTACACTTTTCTGTCACGGTTTAACAGCAATTCCCATAGGAAAAATCCAGGTGCAATCAAGAGTCCCCTTGTCGATTTTGTCGCTTTTCAGCCAATACTCTTTTTTTTGTTCAATATTTCACCATTAAACTAAATTTATACCTTACATTTTCATACTCACACTCTTATTGGAATTCCCACTTGAGCCAAGCAGTTTGTGAGGAAGAATTAAAGGCTCTCTCGCGCTTCATGGCAAGGCAGAAAAACCGCCGCAAAATGTGAATGACTCATGCAACTCATGAGCAGTGGAACACAACAGAAATGTTACCTCAAACAGCAGCAACAAAAGCTGCTGAAGAATTCAGCACAGCACAAATTGGCGAGATGTCTAGTCACCCCTCGAATGAGAAGCGGTAGAGTGAGAGAGAAAGAAGCTCCAGAGAGGAAATACCAGAGAAAAAATGTAACAATTTGGATAGACGATTAATATTCACTCACGGAGTAAAAAACTGACAGACAATAGTCTGATTTTACCATCGTTTAAAAGGCAATAAATTACAAGAAACTTAATTCTCAATATTTTAAATAATTATTTTATAAGAATTCATCAATGTTTCAAAAGTTAATTCACTCATTTAAGCTTAATGAAAGATAATATTTTTGCCGAATAATATCACTTCTAATTCCAATATCAACTTCAAATAAGATTTCCAAAATTTCCACTCACATTTTTACTGCAAAAGACACATTTTTCCCCCTTCTTTTATTTACTCCACAATGAAGTTCATAACTTCTTTGAAGATTATGGGCAGGTTAGACAAGTTAAAAGACCGCAATTGAAGATAAACACAATTATGGTAATTTTCTGGGATGTTTTCAGCGCACTGATGTGAAAAAGAATGAAAGAATCAACCTTTGTCTTATCTCAAATACTATTTCCGATGTTCTGTGGCATTTGCCAAGACGAGATTCTCCATACAACAAACAACACTATTCAATTCTGACCCTGTGAACTCATCACACTTTATTGGCTTCAGCCAAACCGCAGAGAATTGAATTTTTTCGTGTGTGTTTTTCTTCTGATTATTATAAAAATAACCATTACGACATGGAAAAAAAACGACTCATCAATGATATATTTTACAGAGCTTATCAGAGATTAAATTGACCATTCAACATTACAAAGATAAATACACACATTCTGTCAACTGGTAATCACACATAAATCCTTATTTTTCCTCAATTCCACAGGAATTCCACTCATCTTCATGAAATGCAAATTCAGTTGAAAACATCTTTCATTGATACCAATTTATAGCAATTAACCAATTGACACTTTTTAAATTCACACTCTGTGCTCTCTCACCATCACAATTACAATTTACCCGCGAGGCATTCCTTCGGCTGAGCCCACAAAAATCGCCCCACATGGTAGAGTAATTGAACTCGCGCGCCCAGTGAAAATGAATGATAAGGAATTAGTGTGATTTCATTTCCCCAACTTACTTATCGGCGCGCATTTCAGGAGAAAGTTTATGTATGTTTTGTGCGTCTTTTTTTCTGCCATCTCTTCTCGTGCTTTGCAATCAATCACAAACACACACCTTAACCTGCAGCCAAGGTGAGAAAGTTGCCTCACTTTGGCAAATTTTAGTAGTCTTCACAGAGCAATAATCGAAATTATGCTTCTGTGTGTGGAGGAAAAAAAAAGAGGCTTGAATGCGATGTAAATACAATAAAAGTTACTCTTCGTGCTCACTAATCACACTCATTAATTTCACATTGACTTTTACAGGGGTTTTTTGTAGGCTGAGTTTATAAGGAAAAGTGAGAGAAAAGTTTTTGGGATTTTGAGGTCGTGGAAATGGACAAAATATCACCTTGAGAAGTGTTGATATTTCGGAGGAAATTCATAAAACTGCTAAACACAATTTATGAGAAAAATACACATCAGTTTATTCCTTTGAAACACCTTCAAAATCATGTACAATTTCATGCAGAAGAAGAAATAAGAAAGAACTGTGTATAAAACACGCATCAGCAATATAAGAAATTCATGATGCATCGCTGAAAAATTCACCCAAAAGCCAAAATCGATGGACAGCATAATATTTTTGGGCAAAAACCAACGTTTAAATAAAAGTGACGGAAAAGTGGCAGGAAAACATCGCGCGGAACCTTGAAGATTGTGTGTTTGAGAAAGCGCACAGGCAGATGTTTCTTATCATTCAGTCACGACAAAAATTAAATAATGCTCAATACCGAAGGAGAAGAAAGGAAGAAAAAAAAAACTACAGCCAACAGATGAACATTCTATAAATATTCCATCTTCAATTAGTTTGATTGTTAATAAAGAAGGAGAAAAAAAACAACCATCTTTATCATCTTCTTCCTACTTCGCCAGGCACACAAGTCACGTTGCGGCAGAAAAGGTGGAATAAAGATCATACAAGTGAAGTTCCGGAAATAAATTTGACATCAATATTTCTCTCATGAGAAATTACCAGGCAAAAGGATACGAAATGTTGGAACATTTTGTGAATATTTCAGTATCAGACATTTGAATTATTTCTAGATTTCTAATTAACCATAAAACAAAGGCTTTTTATGCCTAATTGTGTCCTTTTTTTTTCCTCCCTCAAAGGACAGCTGAAAAGGTCAATTTCCTTTAGGCAATGTTAATTAAAACACCTTGAATGATTCAGTCTTTGCGTGATGAAATTCTCTAGAAAAATCACTGCTGGAAAACGCATTTTTCGTCACGCAGAAAAATTTTGACGTCAAAATGTGACTATTTTTATCTGGCATTTCAGTGTATATGATGAACTCTTTTCCCCGAGTCGCACGGAAAACAACAACCTTTTTGCATAGGATTAATTGGGAAGATTTTAGGAGTAAAAAAAAGCCTCCAAAATAGCACGATATTTTGGGCGGAGGCTTTTTGCACTGTGCCAACTGCAGGTGAGGTTTGAATTGTAGGTCAGATGGCGGCTGGGAAATCCAGGGAATTCTCAGTAATTGCATAAAGAGTGAGGGGTTGAATTTTACCGGGATTTTCCAGGGTGTCAAAGGCGCTCCTGGCAAATTATTGATCCGTCTGACTGCTTTTCCCCGGCATTTTCTCGCCACTTTGCCCACCCTCGGCGACCATTCAGGGCGTTAAGGGTGCTCTTGGGGACACATTGGGGCTCTCTTTAACTCACCTTCAGACAATTCGAGATCCAATTCGGCCAATTTCTCGCGGATTTCCTCCGGAAGGGCAGAAAAGTCCATGAAATCCGACATTTCGCTGCTTCTTCAGTTGCTCGTAAATGCACAAAATCACACCCTCGCAAGCACGAGATTGAGTCCAGAATGAGCAAAACCACCCTCGAGTCACTCACTCATGTCGAAATGTGAGGAAAAGTGACTATTTTCTGTGCACTTTTGGAAAAATGTCTCTGAGCGTTTTTGTTGTAATTCGATGGAGAGAGAGAAAAAAGGACCAATGTTCGGAATCTGACGAGAACACTGACTTTTCACTCGTCAATTATCACGGGATTTTAGCCTGAGCCACCACATCACTCATTATTATTCACTACAGTGAAGATTGCCTGACACTTTTTCACACATTGGATGCGAATCAACTTCCTATTTGGGGTGGAAAATGCCTTTTTCCCCGGACGAGCGACGAGCACTCGCACTCCACTTCGAACCAAAAGTCCAAAATGGCCTCCGTCTTGTCGTCTTGACAAGCGATGAGAAATCGATGAAGAGCAGCGCCACTGGGTGACTGGGAGCGGAACAAAGAGGTGGACTGTCAGATTGCAAACAAGAAGATTTTCACGAAAATCGTATTTTTGCGAATTTCGCTGAATTCCACCACAATTCCCAAGTGAGAGTCAATGTGAATCGTGCAGAAATGTGGCTGAAAGTCTTTTCCATTGCCCTTGTGGCATTTCTCATCGTGGGCGTTGAGGTAATTCAGAGAAAAGAGCACAATAACATTTTTTCAGGCCAAATTTCATTAACTTTTCTCCCACTTCCCGGACACATTTTCACTCATTCAGGCTCAATCTTATGAGGACAAGAGATGCAAGTGCATCTGCCCGAGTGTCTCGTCAGTGCTAAACAATACAGATGACACGAATAGAATGCTCATCATCGACAATGTTCCGCCAACAAAATGGTGAGTCGCACACTTTCTCTCTCGTCCGGAAGATGTTTTTCCCTGACCACCAAATCTCTGTCACGTGCAGCAACTGCGACGGTGTGATTCTGCCGCGGATCGGCGACAAGATCAAGGGCAAGGAGCAGGAGTTCTGTCCGCGGTGTGAGTGCAAGAACGAGATTCGCAACACAACAATCATCAAGGTTGTGGTAATCATCGTGATCTGGATCATCTCGCTGCTCTCCTGCTACATGCTATTCCTCTCGTGTCTGGATCCGTTGCTCAACAAACGCGTAAAGGCCAACTACCAAGAGCACACCAATGAAGATGTGAGTAAATTCTCTGTCTGCTTGTCCGTTGTCTGAATTTGATCATTCTCTGGCTCTTTCAGGAGGAATCTACCAGCACCCCTTCGTCTTCCTCGCATCCCATGGGTGTTCGCAGCACGAACATGCTGAACAGGGTCGGCCACCAGCAGGACAAGTGGAAGCGCCAAGTCCGAGAGCAGCGCAGGAACATTTACGATCGCCACACGATGCTTAACTGAAGCTTCAACCGTGCGTTAATCTTAATAATTGGCAAGTAATTTGATACATTTATCTCCCTTATCTCTGTAAAAGACTCCTTGTAAGTGATAATAGAAAGGACACCAATGTAGATGTATTTGTGGTGATTAGGAGTTCTCTCGAGCCTTTATTGCCTCTTAAGTGGATTCAGTCTGGTCGTACTTCTTGTGGCGATTCATGTGACCGCGGAAAGAGTCAGCGTACCAGCCGCTGTACGGACACAGGCGGCACTTGAAGCGCTGTATCTTCAGATGATCCCTCTTGATGTGCGCCCTCACGCTCCTGAATTCCGAGTACGTCTTGTCACAGTCGGCGCACTTGAAGCGCTTCCGACTGTGCGTCGCGATGTGCGACTTGAGATTCTTGTCGCTGTGGAAGGATTTGCCGCATCCTGACTCGGGACACTTGAAAGCCTCGTCGGTCTTTTCGTGGCTCTTCATGTGGTGCTTCAGCAGTGTCTTGTACCGGAAGGACTTATCGCAAATGATGCAGACGAATGAGTTGCTGAGTCGTTTAACACTCGTCTTCACGAGGACACAAAAAGAAGGACTTTGATGAGCTAAAATCTGATTGGATTTTGGAGTGTTGAAGAAAACTCACTGGTTGGTGGAAATTCTCTTCGCTCTCCACTCGAGTGGCTTCCAAAGTGTGCCATTCCGTCAAGTGATTGTCCAACTGTTCCTTCTCCGTGAAAAGTTCCGTGCAGAAATCACAGCTGAAGATGTCCTCGCTGTGAACCGCTCTCATGTGAGTCTGCAATGGTTTCACGTGATTATCTCAAGGGGGAGAAGGACGTTCTGGAAACTCACTCTCAGGTCGTTTTTGTACACGAAACTCTTGTCGCAGAGCGTGCACTTGATGCTCCTGCCTCTGCTCTTGTCGTGCACCGACGACAAATGGAACTCCAGGGATGTTGGCCAGCGATACTCGCGATAGCAGCCGTCAATGTTGCACTTGAAGGGCAGACCTTTCGTGTGCGTTCGCATGTGAATCTTCAGGTTCCCCTTACTGCTCACAATCTTCCCGCACACTTCGCACAGCCCATAATTATCGGCAGGATTGTAGAGCGCCGGACTCGCCTTCACTTCAGGCGCTTCAGGCTCTGCGAAGAAGGGATCTCTCTGAGGGTCTGAATCTCTCTCAATCTTCACCACAGTCTCCATCTTCAGGACCTTCTCTCCAGCCACATTTTGACCACGGATTTCTTCTCTGTTGTTGTGCTTCAACATGTGCACTTTGTAGCCAATGCTCCAGGTGAACATCTCATCGCAGATGAGGCACTTCAGAGGACTCTCTCTCCTGTGAGACTCCCTGTGCCGCCCAATTGTTTCCACAGAGCAGAATTGACCGCAATTCTCGCATTGTCTGAACTTGTCCGGAAGCCTTCGCGGCGCAATATTCTCATCTCCGTGGCTCTTCATGTGCCTGAGGAACTTGTACTTCCGCCGAAAGTCCATCGAGCAGAAGTCGCACTTGTAGACATCGTCCAGATTGTGAGATTTCAAGACGTGTTGCTGGAAAGCAGGAATTTTTCAGAGACTATCGCGACTTTGGCAGCGTGTTAAAGATTACCTTCAATCTCGAGAAGCTGAGGAAGGACAGCTCGCAGAGTTCACACTTGAACGGAGACTCTGTGGGAATGGACCAGTTGACCTTCGGCGGCGGATTTGTCCACACACTCCCGGTGTCCTCGAAGAGATTCATGAGATCCTTCAGAGCTTCCCTAGAGAACGCCGGATTTCCACTCGTATGCGGCCTAAAAGTGTCTTCATAATTGTACTGGACACAAGTGTAATTCCCCAGCTCCTGATAGTAGTTCTTCACCAGGAAAAGCCTCTGCTCCAGGCCGAACAAGTCCAGAGAACTCTTCATCTCTCCTGCCCAGCAAAAGGTAAACACGGTAAACACTTAAAATTCCCCTCGAAGGAAGCCTGTCAAATTTACCCATTCAAAAAAAAACCGTCATTTTCATTTCACTTCTTCTCTGTATTCGCAATTATGGGCTTTGGTCGCGCCCTGAAGATCAATTTCTTCTTCACAATGGCCTTCACGAAGTATTCCGTCTTCTGCTTCGTCTTGTTCTCAATTGCCACCGTCGAATCCAGGATTTGACTGTCGGAAATGCTTTGATTCACATCCAGAATCTCCTCTTCGGCGTTATCGCTGTGCTTTAGGACTTTCTGCAGGACCGCGAAGGGCTTCTCCATCGTCACTTCCCGCCCGTGAAGGATGTGGTGGCCAATGATGAGGATCTGCGATCAAAAGACAGGATTTAAGATGGTCTTCCTGGTGAACAGACGCCCAGAAACTCACCGGCTGGCCGTATTTCGTGTAGTAAAGATCGCCGATGAATTGTTTTTCCATGGATTGATTGCCTCTCACCTCCAGATCACCCTGCAGCTCAACGAAGCCCCACTCTGGGACACCATCCTGACACCTGCAAGAAACGGAAATTTGCAGACGAATGAGTAATGAACTCTGCAAGGTAGAAATTTCAGAAGAAAAGCCACTCTCTAAATAATTAATCAGCGTGTGATTTATTGGAAAAATACAGGAATTCAGCCACGGAACTTCTTGAAGAGTGGATGCTGGTGCAAGTTCTTCTTCTTGTACTCGTAGTACACGGCATCGTCGCCACCGGACATTGAGCTGAGGCCGCCCACGCGCTTGGCCGTGGCGCGCGAGCCGCCGGCGCCGTCGCCGGGCACCTTCTCGTCCTCGCAGTCGATATCCGAGGCCGCCAGCACCTGCTGCAGCAGGTTGCCCTGCTCCTCGCGTGTCCTGTACAGCAACTCCACGTCGCTGTCCATGCCCTCCAGGTGCGTGATGACCTTGTAGCTGTAGCCCTGGTCCACGAGGAAGCGCTGTCGCTTGCGCGAGTAGCTCATCTCCAGCGTGTCTTGCGACACGAGCGTGTAGAAGAAGGCGTTGTAGTCCTCGGCGAAGGCGCCCTTCTTCGCGCGCAGGATTCTGCCCAGACGCTGCGCCTCTTGGCGTCGCGAGCCGCCGTGCGACGAGATCTGAATGAGCACATTCGCCTCCGGCAGATCGAAGCTCGTGTCCGCCACTTTGCTCACGAAGATCGTGTTGACTTTGCTGTTGAACTTGAAGTTCTGCAGGATCTGGATACGCTCATTCTGCGACGTCGGCCCGTAGATGTAGGGCTTATTCATCTTGATGGCGTAGTGCTTCAGCGCGAAGACGTTGTCGCTGAACACGATGGTCTTGTCGCCGCGCCGCTCGTGGTAGCGAATGAGGAACTGCGTGGCGCGGAATTTGTTGGGATTCATCACGTACAGCAGCATCTTCTTGGACGTCTGACAGAGAAGATACTCGCGGTAGAACTCAGACGTCATGGGGCACCACACCTCGGCGCACTGCACCTTGGCGATGAAGCCCTCCTTCTGCAACTCCAGCCAGTTGGCCTCGTACAGCTTCGGGCCGATGAGGAAGTTCAGGTCGGCGATCTTGTCATCCTCGCGCAACAGCGTGGCTGTCAAGCCCAGCTTGCTATGGCTCTGCACGATGGTCAGCACGCGACGGAACATCTTGGCGGGAATCGTGTGCACCTCGTCCAGCACCATGATGCCCCACTCCTGATCCTGCAGCCAGCGCATCGTCTGCTCCGCCTCCCAGCTGCGCTTCTGCGTGTGCGTGATCATGCTGTACGTCGTCACGAGGATGCCACAGCCCATCGGCTTGTCCTTGGCGTCCGACGTGAACCGGCAGATCATGCTGTCGTCCGCCGTGGACCACATCTTGAACTGCTGCTTCCACTGCTCCACACTCACGCCGCTGTTGCACAGTACCAGTGCCCGCTTGCGCACCGTGCACACCGCCGTCACGCCCACCAGACTCTTGCCGGCGCCGCACGGCAGCACAATAACGCCCGAGCGGGCTCGCCCGTTGCCGAACATCTTGCGGAGACTCTTCTCCTGGTACGGCCGCAGCACGGCGCCCGGCTTCAGGTCCAGATTGATGTCCGCGTTCACTGTGTCGTTGCGGAAGTCGTACTCAGCCAGCAACGGGTGCTCTATCTCAATGCAGCGCTTCTGCAGCACCTCGATCTTCTCCTGGTTCACCTCGAACGACACCGTGGTGAGATTGACGTCCTCCTCCTCGTCCTCATTGTCGATCTTCTCGTAGTAGTTCGTGATATCCTCCGGCACGGCACTCTCGCCGTTGTTCGGCGGCTGCTTCTCGTCCTGTGGCTCCGCATTGGGCGCCGCCGGCAGCTTCGTCCCGAAGCTCGTGATGCCCTTCTTCTCCTGCACTTGCGTGAGGAATCCGTCGTCCGTCTCGCTGTCCTGCCGTCGCAGACGACACTGCTGGATTGTGGGATCCTTGAGCAGCTTCTGCAGCACGTCCGGAAAGGAGCTCTCCACAAAGTACTTGTTGTGCTTCAGCACCAGCTTCACCTTGCCGTACGACAGCGTGCACAGCTGGATGAACTCCACGATGCCCTTCGGCACGCTGGTCTTGCTCAGGCGATTCAAATACTCCACGATGTCGTGCGTCTGCAGCCCCACGGACACCGCCGCGTACAGGCTGTACGCCGTCAGCTTGTACTCGTGGATGTGTTCCGGACGACACACGGGCTCGGAGATGGCGATGAGGAAGTCGTGCGCCACTTTGTACACCGGCGAGAACGACTCCACGAAGATGTGCCCATTGGGGGCCACCCACAGTGGCCGGGAAGTGTGGTCAATCTTCAGTTCCATCTGCGAACGGTAGTCCTTCGCCCCGTATTCGTCCTCCTGGATGGCGTCATCGTTCTTCTCGGCATTCTTCGACGCGGCACCCGGAATGCCATCACTCTCCTGCGTCTCATCCTCATTCTCCACGAGAGTCGTGTACGCTTCGTCCTCGGCGCGTCTCTTCTTGCTGAACTTGTCCGAGAAGTTCTTCGAATCACGCTTGTTGCCTCTCTTCGGAGGACCCATTTTGCCTGGCAAAACAACACGCTTTACTACAAGAACTCCACTGGATTCCAACACTGGAATACTCACTGTGCGCCTTTCGTGCTGATTTAGGTAGATTTTATCACAAATTCAATAGGAAAATTGGCCAAATAGCCGGAGCCGACAATTTCACAACACTCCTCAATGACGTCTCGCGAATCAAAACAACACATTGAGGTTATGTGACAAGAACAGAAGCAAAAATCTCTGCAATCCCTGAAATTGGGTAAATTTCCATGCTAGAATTGTGCTTTACTTACGTTTTAATCAGAATCGGCATTTATCGTTCACAAAGGACCCCAAAAAACCACGAAAAACCACTGGAAGAGCGCCTCAACACACTCAACTCTGTTCCCAGAAAAGTGTTCTCACTCCTTTGGCGCGCACTCGGATAATCCATGCGACGCTACGACCTCTTCAGGGTCATCCGAGAAGGTGCTTGAGAAGAGGAAGAAATTTTCAGCAACAAAGCTGGTGAAGTGTGAGAAAAATGGCATAAATGGATGTGAAAGGGTGATAATTCCAGCGCAAAGTCTCCCATTTTCTCCACCGTTGATCAAGCTGCGAGATATTGAGCGCGAAAATGTCGAACAGAGTGCGAAATTCCGAGCGACCGCCACCATTGAAGGCTGTTCTCCCCGTTTCCTCCCTGCTGCGCGGCTACCAGTGCCCCCCTTCGGCGTCGTACTTCACCACCACGGCCCTGTCGCCCCCGCTGCGTCACATCTCGCCCGAGCACCTGGTCAGCGCGTCCGGACACCGCAGTCCCGGGGCGCTGAACTACAAAAGTGAGTCTCCTGCGCGCGCGAGTTTGTCGACCTCTCTGGAAAATTGTTTTCTTTTTGCCACTTTGCAGCTCCCGGAAAGGGCATGGGGCGCTCGCTGGAGTCGTGCATGCGGCGAACAGCCTCCCTGGATGCGCTCACGTGCGCCCGACCACTGTGGTCTGGCGTCCACACGCACCACTCGTGCATGTTCCTTCATGTGGACAAGGCCACGCAGACAGACGACAGCTATTGCCTGGAGATGAGCGGGCGTAGCTCCGTAGAGCCCCAGCGCGCGGATACGCCCACGGACGTGAAGGTGGAGAAGGTGGTGCGGCAGCGTCTGCAGCCGCGCTCGCAGCGCAGCGCCGAACATTCCGTCAGCTCGCAGACGATGAGAGCCAGTCCAGTGACCATTCCCGCCAGGGCCGTGCCGCCGGGCCACCTGCGCCCCATGCGTAGCTCCGTGGAGGGCCTGAACCAGGAGATCGAGAAGCTGGTGCTGCTGCCTGGACAGCCGCACTCGTGCCGCCCAGAGTCCAGCCGCAATCTCTTCTCGCGCGGCACACCGGACGGTCATCGCGCCCCCATCGCGGAGCTCCTGCACGGCGACACGCGCTCCGTAAACACGCAGACACCGCTCGGCGACGCCTTCCTGTCGTCCGACGACAGCCAGAGCACATCGCCGGACGAGGCGGGCAGCCGCGGCGCGGGATTCAAGGTCTCCGCGACCGCCATCACGAGCGCCTCGCCCAGGATCAACAGGTTTCTGGCGCGCGAGCCGCCGGACGGCTGCGAGAAGGTGAGTCTGCGCCCCACGGAGTCCAGCGACCACCAGACGACAATCTTCAAGCCGTGCTTCGTGGGCGGCTTGCGGCCGTCCTTGGGCAGCGCCTTCCAGCCACTCCAGCCGCTGTCGCCCAGCGCCGAGGAGCCGCCGTCGACGCCGCCAAACGAGTGAGTATTTTCCACAGCATGGCAACTTTTATGGACTGATCAACTGACGAAGGACAAATTGGCATATTTTGCGATTCTATGTGAAAATTATTGATGCAGAAAAGACTTTTCGGGTGCTATTTGTTAGAAATTTCCCCATTGGAATTGCCTTGCGAACGACAGAGATGCATTCAAGATGATTTTATGTGGGCAAAATTGGCACTAGATTCACCATTTCAATGATTTTTCAACTTACACTTCAAGCGCCAAAGAGAAAAACAACACCAAAATTCCATTTCTCTAATAACTTTGAGGGAATTGAACAAGAAATTAATTATCATTTTAACTTCATGTTAAAATAATGAGAAATCTGAGCTTTTCCTGATTTTTATCTTGTGAAAAAATGGCGCGTTTTCGCTGTTGATTCTTTAAGTATTTAGTAAAAAAAAAATATCCCAGATTCTTTTACCATTTTTTTTTCATGGTGAATCTAGGCTGTAAACCATAATTTGATAAATGATAAATCGAATGGCGCATGTTAAGATGGTTAAAATTGACTTTTTGGTAAAATGAGAACAGAAAAACTATAATTTTGTGCCATCTTCGAGGCGAATTTGCAAGAAATCAATATTCTCATCACTGAGAGACAAGTTTATGACACAAAAAACACACACACACACACACACACGCAAAAGATTAAGGAACAAATTATTTCCAAATATTCAATGTACAAATCATTCTAGAATTAGTGTGTATGGATTTAGTTTTTGGATAATATCAAAAGGAAAGGAAAGTCATTAAGATTCCACTTATTTATTATCTTTGTAACTTTTGTAATTCATCGCTCTGGTGCACGCGATTGAGGTGGCGGAAGGAGTGACAAGTTGCTGAGGATCTCATGTAGAAGAGGGGATGATAATATTTTATTGATATCATAAGATGAGAAAAAATGTGCCTCGCCTTTGGCTGATGAAAAAAAAGAGAGAGAAACGATAGAGAAAGAGAGAGAGAGAGAAATGTATTTGAAACCAAAATTTAAATGAAAGAGTATTTAAACAAATGAAAAATATCGAAATTTACTATACAAAATAAAGAGAGAGAGAAAAAAAAATCACTTTTGAGCTTTAAAATTAACGGATGAAGGAGAATCTTTTTTTCAATTATTAACTGTAGTAATTTGAGATTGCTCGGCAATTGCCACTTTTCCTCCACTTCTTTGTGTTGGCGGATAGATAAGAGAGCCCAGAAGAGACACTAAAGACGAGAGAGTGAGAGAGAAAGTTGAGGAGAATGAGAAAAACTCAAAAAAGGTATTCTTATAATGAGACACAAAGTGAGATGACAAAAATGTTGTGTTGTCTTGATATTTAAGAATATTTTTCTAGCTGTAGCTGCAAAGGAAACTAAATATTTTCATATGTATTGAAGAGAGAAAATATAAGTGGATATCTTTTACAAGGCGGAATTTGAGGGGTTGATTAAGGAAAAAAAAACAAAATACACATATGAATATAAGACGTACGTTTATTATAGCGAAACAGAGAGAGAGACAAAGAGAGCAAACGTATTAAAATTGAGAAAAGAAATGAAAGTGTAGTTGTGTAATGAACATATCTATGCTGTCGTGATTGACTGAAATAAAATCGTAAATAAGCAAAAGTTCCAAAAGAAGCGCGCGAGATCAGAATCCTGACGATATCACTTTGAAGAATCGGTTGCAATTGCCGAACTGAAGGCACTGATAAATGGCGTCCCAGCGGTGGTACAGCGGCTCCTTCACCTCCTTCACCATCTTCGACTCGCTGGAGATCTCCATGCGGAGGCCGCTCTTGCCGTACGGAATCCACCGCTCGGTGATGTAGGCGTCCTTCTTCGGCGTCGGATCTCTGCAAGAGGGAAAAATAGACAGAAGAGCATATGAATAACGTGTGAGGAAATGTGTAAGTTTCGCTTTTCCAACAATCATTCACTTGTTCGCCACAACTGCGCATGTAATCGCTTGCAAACATTCGCAATTATCATGCACCAGCATTTTTGTGTCCGTAAACACACGAGGAAGAATGCCATTCGGTGGCTTTGAGTGTTTCTCGGAAAGTGTTTTGTGTGATTTGAACGTGCTTTTAAATAATGTGCATCAGTTTATTTTGATAATAATAGTCAATTTAGATTTGAGGTGAACTTTATTTTCCAAAAATCCAACAATACACTGCTTCACGCATTTTACTCATCAAACCTGTGACTGAAAATTAGCCTCACATTTTATTTTATTACTACACTTGCCTGTATTTTGCGAAATTCGTAATGTATCGAACCATTCGCTCGCGAACTATAAGATCAGCTTGCGTTATCGGTCGATCATTGACCGGAACAAAAAGATATCGAAGATCATCGCCATGAGCAGCTCCGAAAGTATTTGAGCTGTTCTTGTGCGAGAAGCGATAGAAGAAAATATCAGACGAAGCATTGTCTCGATAATAGTCAATATATTGCTTGAATCCATGAATATCCATGACTTGTACCATCAATCTCTGGCTTTCGTTATTCAACTCCTTCGCTCCGTCGTACAAATACTTCCTCAGCGGTTTCATGATATTATCTTGAGTGAAGGGAAAGGACTTGTTCCATCGCGCCGAGAGAGTTTCCATATTCATAGGGTTGATCGCGATAATCTCAGCTGTTGTGTATCCCATCAGAATTGGGACATCATTCCACACTCTGTGCTGCAGAAGTCTCTGTTGCTCGTCCTGAACCATGGCTGTTCCGGTGTAAGTCGCCTCTTGTCCTTCAGCCGTTGGCACGAAACAGAAAATTCGCTCTCCGAACAACGAAATCGTTGTTTCTTGGCCAAACTTCTGGGTCTGAAAGACTTCAGCTGGTAGAGTTTTCAAGACATTCTTCAGTGAGCCATAATTGCAAGGCACATTGAGGCTTTTGCAGAGGGCTTTTGTGCAGCTTTGAGTGTTGCTATTGTACGCCCATGCATTTAACTTCGATCCACTCATCATAATTGCGGCACTGAACAGTCCTGCAGATGCTGGAGCTTGTATATGATGTGAAACAGCAGCGCTTCCTGCACTCCATCCCATCAAAGTGACCTTATTTGGATCGCCACCGAAGTATGCAATGTTCTTATTCACCCATTTGAATGCTTCTAGTTGATCGTGAAGTCCTAAATTTCCGATGAAATTATCATGTTCGCGATAGAGAAATCCTAAGGCGCCTAATCTGTAGTTAAATGTCACAACGATCACGTCTTGATCCACTAGATAATCCATTCGATCGGCTGAAACTGAATACGCCGAACCAAATTGATACCAACCGCCGAAAACCCACACAATAACAGGCTTTGGAGTTACACTCTGTGTGACTTTAACAAAAACGTTGAGATACAGACAATCTTCTTGTCCATCCACATCAATTGCTCCTCGATTTTGAATGCAAATTGGACTTTTCTCTGTGAAATACCATTCTCGTGCGTAAATGAACAAATCTAGAGGCTGAGGAAGCTCAAATCGAAGATTTCCTATAGGAGGTTCGGCGAAAGGAATGCTCAGAAAGGAGCAGAATTGACCTCCGCTGGGCGTTTGCTGAAGCAATCCATATCCTGTCACTGAACCATGATTTTGTTGCAAAGTCACTTCACAATTTCCTTCAACAAGAACACAAACTTTGCACAAAACTATCAAAATCACAGCTACTTTCCTCATTCTTCAGACACGATTCTTAACTCGCGAACCGCACAGACAGACTGAAATTCATGATCAAGCGAACGTGCTTTTATTTCAGTGTTTGGCCAATAAATTTCGGGCATGTTGTATCTCATTATAAGACTGGAAAATGCAAAAAATTTGCACGTTTTTTTGCTCAGATATAAAATATTGTGATAAAATCACTTCAGACATCCTGCGTGAAGAACGGAAATATATTCTTCAAGATGATTAACTGTTTTTTCAGATTAGATTCTTGGCAATATTTATTCAATGATTTTTTGTTCGTTTTTTTAGAAAGACGACTCATAATTTAAATAAGATAATTAACTTTTGAACATGCTTCTGAGCATTTTCTATAAATCACCAACAATTGAATTATTGAAGAAAAATTGTGGAAATATTTAACTCGACTTCTGCAGTTTTCAAACTATCTGAAAAATTGAAAACTGAAAGAAAAAGCGTGATGTAAATCATTTTTTGAGATCATTTGTCAGACAATTTAGATCTCATGGCCATCGAAACAACTTTCACACAAACTCTTTCCGATTTTTTTGTCCCTCTTCAGAGCAAAAACCATTCTATTTTCAATTCATTTCAAAGCGAATATTCTTTTTTACCTTTTATTCGCAGACATCTGTGAATCAACTTTAACTTGTAATCTCTTTGCATGCTGATTTGCAAGCTTTCGTGGTTGGTTTAGAGATTTATGTAGCGTGTAAATTTTGAGGAGATCACAGAAATTTATTAATTCAATTGAAAATATGAGCAAAATTGCAGCACTTGCCTGTATTTTGCGAAATCTGTAATGTATCGAACCATTCGCTCGCGAACTATGACATCCTGAGGTGTAATTGGTCTGTCGTTGACCGGAACAAAGACGTACCGAAGATCATCTCCATGAACGGCTCCGAAAGTATTTGAGCTATTCTTGTGGGAGAAGCGATAGAAGTAGATGTCAGACGTCGCAGATTGTCTGTAGTATTCAATGAATTGTTTGAATCCGTGCGTGGCTATGGAATACACTGTCAATCTCTGGCTTTCATTGTTCAACTCTTTTGCACCAGCGTATAAATACTTTCGCAGCGGTTTTATAACATTATCCTGTGCATATGGATAGGATTTGTTCCAATTGGCCGAGAGAGTTTCAAAAGTGGCAGGATTTATGGGCAAGAATTCAGCAGTTGTGTATCCAATAATAATCGGGACGTCATTCCACACCTTCTGATGAGTCAATCTTTGCTGTTCGTCCTGAACCATGGCATTTCCGGTGTAAGTCTCATGTCCTTCGGCGGTTGGTGTATAGCAATAAATTCTCTCTCCGAAGAAGGAAACAGTTGTTTCCTGGCCAAACTTTTGTGTCTGAAAGACTTCAGCTGGCACAGTTTTCAAGATATGCTTCAATTGACCATGATCACAGGGAATATTCAGGCTCTTGCAGAGCGCTTTTGTGCAGCTTTCAGTGTTACTCGAGTACGTCCAAGGGTTCAAGAATGATCCACTGAACATTACAGCACCGTGAAACAATCCGGCCGACGCTGGAGCTTGCATGTGATAAGATATCGAAGCACTTCCTGCACTCCATCCCATTAACGTGACACTATTTGGATCACCGCCGAAGGAAGCAATATTCTTATTGACCCACTTAAGCGCTTCCAATTGATCTTTCAATCCCAGATTTGCTATTAAATTGTCGTCTTCGCGATAGAGGAATCCTAAAGCGCCTAATCTGTAGTTGAATGTCACAACAATCACATCTTCATCCACTAAATAATCCATTCGATCGGCTCCTTCTGAGTACGCTGAACCATATTGATACCAACCACCGTGAATCCAGAGAATTACAGGCTTGAGGGTCGTGGAATGACTGACTTTAGCATATACGTTGAGATACAGACAATCTTCTTGTCCATCGACATCAATAGCAACTCGATTTTGAATGCAAATTGGACTTCTTCTTGTGAAGTCCCACTTTTTCGCGTACAGAGAAAGGTCCAGAGACTCAGGAAGCTCCAGCCTTAGCTTTCCAACGGGCGGTTTGAGGTAAGGGATGGCCAGGAAGGAGCAGAAATATCCTCCACTGGGTGTGTTTTTCAATATTCCATATCCTGTCACTGAACCATGATTTTGTTGCAATGTCACTTCACAATTTCCTTCAACAAGAACACAAACACTCCACAAAACTATCAAAATCACAGCAATGTTCCTCATTTTGTAGAAAAGATCATCCACTTTAGAGCGCACAAGTAAACTAAAGTCCACTAGAAAGAAGCCAGTGTTTTTATTGCTGAATCCCGGCCATTCGTGGTTTGTTATGTGCGTTTTCTTACCCCAAAATGCGAGTTGTGACATAAGGAATAATGTAGAAAAAGAAGAGGCATTCAAGTGAAGCTCTTTTATAATAAACACAATTGAGACATTTGTGAGGTAAATGAGTGAAAAATGTTATTTTTATTCCAAATTAATTTTGAAACGCATCCATATTGTATAAATTTTATTCAATGTGTCCATTTTTGACAAAACATGAACACTAAAATACGATAATCTGAGAAGTGTTTGAGCACGACGATTATCTGTTAATAACAATAAATATTTCGATAACTCTTTCCAAACTGCTGAAAAGTGCGTGTGGCTGAAGAATAAATTAGAAAAACTGTCTGATTAATTATCTAATCAGATATAGAGCCTTAAAAACACTTTCCAACTACTTAAAATTCGCACGCAATAGAACTATTCCTCTGTAATAACTTGGGAAAGTAGAGCAGCCAGAAACTTGACATGGACAATTGCATTTTATTAGATTTACGTTTATTCCAAAGTGAGGGTTTTCCATAACCTATCCATTGACAGCCATCAAAGTCTTGACCTTAGCTTGCAATTTTGTAATGTTTGCTTGCCGGTACATTTCAAGATCATTTCCGCATTTCTTGAGGAATTAATTCCTTTTTATTTATTACTTTATGCATTCTTAGGAATGTGTTAAAATATGCTTGACACTTCTGCATAAAATTTTATTTCCTTGAAAGAATATGAATTTTTACTTGCCTGTATTTTGCGAAATCTGTTACGTATCGAACCATTCGCTCCCGAACTACGATATCCTCCGACGTTATCGGTCTGTCATTAACCGGGACGAATATGTAGCGAAGATCATCGCCGTGAACGGCTCCCAAATCATTGGAAATGTTCTTGTGGGAGAAGCGATAGAAGTAAGTGTTGGACATCGCATGGGCTCTGTAGTAGTCTGTGAATTCCTTGATTCCATTAATCATGTAGGCAAACACCAACAATCTCTTGCTTTCGTTGTTCAGTTCTTTTGTCCCTGATATTAAATATTTTCTCAGCGGTCTGATAACGCTGTCTCTTATGTTGGGGTAAGAGTAATTCCATCTGCCCGAAAGGGAAACCACGTTGGCAACTTGTTGCGGCCAAAACTCAGCTGTGGCGTAACCAATCATGATGGGAACATCATTCCACACTTGATGATGCATCAGTCTATGCTGCTTATCCTGGACCATTGCAGTTCCGTAGAAAGCTTCGTTTCTCTCAGCCACGGGCAGGAAGCAGAAGCTTTGCTGGCCAAAAAACGACACGGTTGTGTCGTAACCTAATTCGCGCGTCTGGAAGACTCCTTCTGGCAGGGTTTTCAAGATATCCTTCAGTTCGCCTCGAGAACAACTAACGTTTAAGCTTTTGCAGAGGGCCTTTGTGCAGGTTTCGGTGTTTCTAAAGTACGCCCAAGGATTGAATAGTGTTCCGCTAAGCAGAATAGCGGCGTGGAATAGTCCAGCAGACGCTGGAGCCTGAAGATGATAAGACACAGCAGCGCCTCCTGCACTCCATCCCATGAGAGTGACTCTCTTAGGATCGCCGCCGAAGTACGCAATGTTTTTATTAATCCACTTTAGGGCTTCCAATTGATCTTTCAATCCCAAATTTGCTATTAAATTATCGTCTTCCCGATAAAGGAATCCTAAAGCGCCTAATCTGTAGTTGAATGTCACAACAATCACATCTTTATCAACTAGATAATCCATTCGATCAGCTTCATTTGAATTGGCTGAACCATATTGAAATCCTCCACCGTGAATCCAAACAATGACGGGCTTTAGGCTCTTATTTTGTGTAACTTTGGTATAAACGTTGAGGTAGAGGCAATCCTCTTGTCCTGTTGCATTAACATATGCCTGATCCTGAATGCAATTTGGACTTCTTGTCCTAAAGTCCCATTCTTTAGCTTGTGCGGACAAGTCAAATGGCTGCGGAAGCTCCAATCGCAGCTGTCCCACGGGCGGCTTGAGGTAGGGAATGCCCAGGAAGGAGCAGAAGTAGTCCCCACTGAGCGTGTAGTTGAGCAAACCATAACCCTTCACTGAGCCGAGGCTCTGTTGCAAAGTCACATGGCACTTTCCTTTCACGAGTACATACAATGTACATAAAACAATTAAAAACACTATTTTCCTACTCATGGCGATCCTTCACTCACGAAACGCACTAAAAGACTGAAGTGCAATTGCGAAAAGCAATTGATTTTATTTTTACTCATTATTGGGTCAGTGGAATCCCGGATATTCCGTGACCGGATGGAATGGACAATCAGGCGAAGCATTGCTTCTCTTCAAGTTAAATCCAATTGGGGCGTCATTTGGTGAGGGGAAGTGCTAAATGGTTTAATGTTTGATTAATATCTTGCGCTATTTCCATAATATTTTTATTCGTTAAGTAATTTATTGTGCACTTTCCATTTCGCGATTACACACTAAGATGGTGAGAAGTTGTGTGTGTATTCAAGCCTGGACGATGTTATCAGTGAAGTGTAAAAACTAGACATGATCTTGAAATTATATTTCGTTCGTCTTACCTGTATTTGGCGAAATTTACAATATATCGCACTAATCGCTGCCTAACGAGGACATCCTCAGGTGTTGTGGGAATGCCATTATTTTCGTGTATGAAAATGTAACGAAGTTCATCACCGTGAAACGCTCCAACGTCATTGGTGGCATTTTTGTGGGAGAATCTGAAGAGGAACGACTTTGATAAGGCGCTGGCGGTGTAATAGTCAGCAAACTGCTTGATGCCATAAGTGTTCGTGCCAATTACAATCAGTCTCTTGCTCTCATTGTTAAACTCGTCAGCATTGGAGATCAAATATTCCCTCAGCGCTTCGGATTTGCTCTTGTCTAAGCATGGATATGTATAATTCCACTCTACTTGGAGACTTTCCCTGTTCGTCCGATAGTAGTACCACTCCTCGGAAACCGTGTAACTCAGGATGATCGGGACATCATTGAACACTGGCACAGAGATTAGCTTCTCATGTTCGTTTTGTACCATATTTTTCCATATATGCCCGTTCTTTTGAAAAGTCGGCGCGAAACATGGATAGAGATCACCAAATAAAGACACAGTTGTTTTATATCCGAAGCTGAGGGATTCAAAAACGGATGCTGGAATCGTTTTTAGACTGGTTTTGAATTCTCCACGAGCACAAGATATGTTCAGAGCTTCACAGAGAGCTTTTGCACAGTCTTCTGTGTTCCTATGGTATCCCCAAGGGTTGAAAGAAGCTCCACTGAGCAGAATGGCACCATGGAATAGTCCAGCAGACGCTGGAGCCTGAAGATGATAAGTTATTGAAGCGCTTCCTGCACTCCATCCCATTAATGTGACACTATTAGGATCACCGCCGAAGTAAACTATGTTCTTTTTGACCCACTTTAGCGCTTCCAATTGATCTTGCAATCCCAGATTTGCTATTAAATTGTCGTCTTCGCGATAGAGAAATCCTAAAGCGCCTAATCTGTAGTTTATAGTGACGACAACAACGTCCTCTTGCACTAAGTGATCAGGTCGATTGGCTCCTTCTGAGTACGCTGAACCGTAGTGAAACCATCCGCCGTGGATCCAAACTATCACAGGATGCAAATGTCTCCATTGCACGGGTTTTGCATAGACATTGAGGTAGAGACAGTCTTCCTGTCCAGTTGCATTAAGAAAAACGTTGTTTTGCACGCAAATCGGACTCCTTGTCGTGAAGTTCCACACTTTTGAGTTAGTCGACAAGTCTAGAGTCTCAGGAGGTTCTAATCTCAGATTTCTTACAGGCGGTTGAGCATAAGGAATGCCAAGAAAGGAGCAGAACATCTCGCCACTTTCCGTACGATTTGTTAAGCCATTTCCTATCACTTGACCGTGCTCCTGCTGCAATGTTACAAGGCACTGTCCTTTAACTTGAATCCACTGCAATTGCACTAAAACCACTAAAACTAATATCACAAAAGCACCGTTCTTCATAATCGAAGCTTCTCTAGCGAATAACCTGGATAGACTGAGGCTCGAAGTGAAGTATTTAAGTGCGTTTCCCTTATAACTTCTTGATTTATTTGATTTATTCAACAATGGAATGCCGGACATTTCGTGACTTCTTGAGCTGTTTTTGTTAGGCATTGTGAATATATAGAAAATTGTAATGCGCACAAATCGCATTTGCAAAACTAGGTTCTCTCAATTGGGCACATTAGTACAATTGCCATAGTAGAGACACTCGTATATTCCGTCCCACAAGATGAATGACGTGCTCTCTTTGAAGTGCTCCATAGTCAATTGGCGCCCAATGTTCATCAGCGATCTTCCATTGCGACTGCCGAAGGGCTTCCAAGTCGCATTGAGATGTGGTTCAGGAAAGGGCGTCGGATCCCTGAAAATTTAATTTGTTCTCTATGAGCTTAGAAGGGTGATTTTTTCCCTCCACTTTACTGACCTGAATGTGATAAAGTTCGCCCAGAGTTGCAGCAATTGTGTCGTGTTGTCTGTGCGGAAGATGAATGGCAGATCATCTCCATGGCGTCCGTGACTGAGTGAGAACTTGTACAGGAATGTCTTCGATTTCGTCCTCTTGGCGTACTCCTCGGCAAATTTCACCACGCCATGAATGAGATCCGAGGCAATGAGGAATTCCGTGAAGTTGGATTCCGGCAGTTTTTGCGTCACGAACTCCTCAATGACGGCCAGATGGTCGGGATGCGGCAGGATGTAATTGGATGGGGTGTTTTCGTGATGGTACTTCACGTGCGCCTCCGTCTCGCGTGCCGTGAAGCCGATCAGGAGCGGCACATCGATGGCTGGCTTGGTCTTGATCACGAGTTGGGGGAGTTTTCCCGATGGCACGAAGCAAGGATAGAACATGCCGAAGAGGGTGAAGTAGGCGAGGCCATCGTTGATCACGATGTCCGGTAGGGTGTCTGCGCAGGGAATCTCCATGTTGCGGCACGTGATTGAGAGGCAGAGTTCGGGGGAGGGCGAGTGTGCCCAGGGATTGAGAAAGGAACCGCTCATCATGATGGCGGCACTGAAGAGTCCCTCTGCGGCCGGATCGAACAGGTGGTAAGACACGGCGGCACTGCCTGCACTCCAGCCCATCAGCGTGACTTTTGACGGATCACCGCCGAAGCTGGCGATGTTCCTCTGCACCCACCGCAGGACTTCCTGCTGATCCTTCAGTCCTGCATTTCGGCTGACGTTCCCGCCCTCGCGGTAGAGAAATCCCAGCGCGCCGAGGCGATAGTTGAACGTGACAACGGTGATATTTTGCGCCACGAAGAGGTCAGGAAATTCCGCCAAATCGCTGAAACCGGACCCAAAATTGAAAGTGCCACCGTGGATCCACACGAGAACCGGATCGAGGCGCTTATTCCCAGGCTTGGTGAACACATTGAGATAGAGACAGTCCTCGGATCCTGCCATTGTCTGCTCCTGGAAGTCATACTGAAGGCAATTGGGCGGTCTCTGTGTGAAATTCCACTCCTTGCCGTTGTCCTGCTGCAAGTCCTTGGCCTCAGGCGCTCGGTGCTTCCTCACCCCAATCGGGGGCTGTGCGTAGGGGATGCCCAGGTAGTGACAGAAGCCCCTGGACAGCAGCCCCACGCCGTCGCTGAACTGGCACTCATCACTCGCGAGGCACGCAATCGAGATGTGGAACAGCAGTGCGATTCTGAGCATCTCGCACGACTCTCCGGCTTCAACTGATTTTCGCCAGTGGCGACCTTGCCGCGGGATGCAACTCGAGTGCAATGTCTCGGGCGAATCACGAGCAACATCTTCACCACAATCGCCACCACTCTTCCCGGATCAGGCGGTCAGAGACGCGCGCGCCAACCGCCCGCCGAAGCCATTGACTCACGGCGAGCTAATCGATTTGGAGTCAGTGCTGGCAGAGCAGCATCGCAGAAATCATCTCCGGCACGCAATTAACCCTCGGCTGCAATAGAGGGGGAGCCCCTTCGGCGGCGCGCCATCTAAGATGCTGCAGCGCAGCATCCGCGGCGCCGCGTTATGGCATCCTAGTCAATTGGAAATTTGAGTCATCTCCATTTTAAATGCCGCGGATTCCGAACGTGCCTCGAATGCTCCAATGGAGAAAGCCGCGCTGTGTCTCCATCTCTGCTCGCCTCATAGAATGTGTGATGGACTCTTTCTTGGCTGTTTTGTGTCTCATCCGGAGACGGCAGGTCGCACATGCAATCGCCATTTTGTCGGATTTTGCAGCGTCCGCGATTGGTTGCTCGGGCATTTGGAATCAACCATGAGGCCCGACCAAGCAAAATGAATGAAAAACGAAGTCACAGCTTTCAACAGGCGCCCAGAAGAGGCCGCACAGTCGCCATGTGCAATGCCCGGCATGCTAGTTGGAATCCGTGGAATTTGCTCATTGTGACACAATCAAATTCAATATTGAATAGGCGAGCAGCAGTGGTGGCAGTGCCACTCTCGACAATGCGTGGGGAAATTGCCTGGAAATACGGGTGGATGGCATTTCCCAATTCTCTCTCTGTCATTCCCATTGTCTGCCAGTGAAATTCCCACATTTCTCACATTTAAACCTTTCAAGATTCCTCGGAATGAGCGCTCAGGAGCCAAGAGACGCCAGCTGGTAACTCTCCCTCCTCTTCCGATACGAAGTGGCCTCCGATGATCGGCGCTTCTATCGCAGTACACTGCGCCACTAGTGCTCTTCTCAACTTTGCCCACCAGGCGCACAGAAGCGCCACGCGGGCCGCCGTCGTTTTGGAGCTTTCCCCCCACTCGAGCGGCCAAAATTCGCCAATTTCCAAATTTTTACTGCCGCCAATGACAGTGCTGGTCCGCCAAATTGGCACGGTTCTGATGCTCTGGTGGATATTTTGCCATTCAAGAACCCTCTCTTCAAAAACAAGCACGAGGCGTGCTTAAACGACGTAAGGCGGTGCCTGCCGAAGGTTGCGCTCTGTGGGATTTCTCCCGAAACACCTCGGAATTGATGCATAGGAAAGAAATATTGACACGGTAATGTTCTAGAGTCTATTTGTATTTCTCTCGCATCAATTGGGTCACAAGTGGTCACAAATGACCCAAAAGGTTCATTGCCGTGAAAGGGTTAAATGGGTGAGATGCCAATGAATGGCATGAATTCGCACTCCCCTCCGCCCAATCCAGCTGACTCTGCTTCGCATGGTCGCAGCAAGGGCGGAGTTGAGGTGGTGGCGCTGCCTTCGGGCTCCCCAGAGGATCCGCGGGGGTCGCTTCTGGGCTCCCCTTCGCTGTGAAGCATCGAAATGACAAGTATGCGATAAGAAGAATTTTCTGGTGCGGAATGTCGGCCTCTCGCTCTGACAATGCCCGTCACGGGCGAAATCCGCCAGCAGCCACTTATGCCGCCCTGTTCAGATGCGCGAGTTATTTTCGCCGACGCGAATACTTCGCGGTCGCGATTTGGCGGCTTTAATTGCCTCCCTCGCAATCATAGTCCGCGTCTCGCGGTTTTTTCTGTCAATGCGCCCGGAAGGTCTCGCGAGGATGTGCCCCCCACTCCCGGACGCTGGCTATGGGTGCTGGCCGGAGAGTGCGTCGGAAAAGCCACGGAATAATTCCTAGGCTTCGCGTTTGGATTCTCCGGCTCGCAAATTAGTCGAGTGTGCCGCTTTAGGGCGCACAGTTGCGAAATTGGCGCGCATCTCTGCACCGCCCGCCATGGGCCGTATGATTGCCTGGTCATTAGCGATAATGATGTCCATTAGTTTTGAATTGAAATTGAAGATCATCATCATTATTGATTGCCATGTTGGACTACTTTGCGTCCGCGGAATGGCTCTGTCGTCGCTCAGAATTGTCCTCCGCCACCCGGAGCCAATGTTTTCTGCCCAGGCCGTCCGGGTGTGCCACGCGGGGTGCTCTCTGGCGGCACCACGGTCTCACTTTCCTCGCCGGGAAGCGATTTTCAGAGTCGTCATTGATGCGCTGAATGACAATTAAGTTCACCACTGCACCAGGCGCTCATAAGCTGGCGCTCGCCAGTCCGTCGGACGTCGTGCTATTCCGCGTAAACCACGGTGTCTGACATTTCAAAACAAAATTCGCGCATTAGGCGCTCAGAAGAGGCATTTTCCGGCGTCCGCAGAGCGCCAAATGTCCCCTAACGTCGAAGATAGGGGCCATTTTCCGATGGGTGGGGCCAGACAGTGCGGAAAATGGGGGAAATCGGGGAGCCATTGAGCATTCTGGCGCGAAGGATGACACACAGAGTGAGGATTTAAATCCCCAGCCGAATGTTCGAAATTCGAAAACGCACACACACACTCGCAAACAGCTGATTTGACGTTTGTGACTTTGACAGCGGATTTTTTCTTTTGTGTGTGCGAAAAAGTGAAAAGCAGAGGTAGTTTTTGTTAGTTTTGAGTCCTTGTGCACCGCTCCAATTGGTCGCAGTGTGTCCAGCCATTGGCAAATCCGCGTGGTATCCTCGCCAGAACACCAACAGAGTGGTAAGGAAGAGCTGGATGATTGCGCCCGTTGTCTCTCCGCTGATTCTTGATGACTCATTTGACATGACAAAAAGCAGTGCAAGAAACTGAGCAAAACCTTGTTTTTCAGCATCATGTCTCGAGGATTTAACAACAATTACGGCGCCACGAGCAGCACAGCCGTGCCCGATGTTGTGTCCTTCAGTCCCACTGAGTTCATCTCCCTGTGCGAGAATGTGGCGCACAACATCGGCTCCGTCAAGTCCGGATGGCAGGCGCTGGAGAAGAGCAGTAAGATTATCGGCACGCAGCGCGACAATCAGCAAGCCAGGGACAAAGTGTGAGTCCGGAAGCCTAGTTTGGGGTGTTTTGCGACAGCATTGAAGTCCCTTTCTGACCCGATCAACTTATCTGGTCAGTGATTCATGTTCTATAATTGGTATTTTGGGAGGTTCTTATCGCTAATTGGACTGATACATATTTTAAAGAGACACAATATTTACCAACAACTCGATGTTACTCTTCTGTTGGTTAAAATCTTGCTGAAATTCTTGCAATTGTCGCTTTTCAGGCACCAAGTGCAGATGTCCACGAATCAGAAGATAACGGCCACCAGCAAGGATCTGCAGCGGCTGGCGGCCATTGTGCGCGGCGGCGACAAGCAGCAGAAGCTGCAGGTGGAGAAGCTGACGTCGGACTTCAAGATTGTTGTGGAGAAGTACTCGAGCAGCCAGCAAGCGATCGCCACGCGGATGAAGGCGTCGCTGCTGCTCAACGCGTCGCAGCATGACGACCTGGAAGCGTCGGCGCAGGAGACGCAGCAACTGATGCAGGCGCAGCGTACCCAGCAGCAGCAGCTGCAGCTGGAGCAGGATCTGGTGCTGGAGCGCGAGTCGCGCATGCGGCAGATCGAGGCGGACGTGCTGGATGTGAACCAGATCATGCGGGACCTGAATGTGATGGTGAGCCAGCAGGGCGAGACAATTGACACCATCGAGAGCAGCATCGAGAACACGCGCGGCAACATCGAGGAGGGCGCGTCTGAGCTGATGAAGGCGGCCGAGAATCAGGCCAAGTACCGCAAGAAGGTGCTGATCCTGCTGATAATCGCTGTGATAATAGGGTTAATTGTTACGGGAATAATTGTTGCACGGCTCAAGAGTTAATTTTATTTCTTCCCATTTTTTTTATAATTTTATATATATATTTTTTCACCTACAATTGGCTTTTCAGCGTCCTTTAATTGTTTTTCTTTCTCTCTATCTGTCCCTCATTAGTGAGAAGGGAAGAAGAGATGGAAAAGTGTACATGATACAAAATCTTCTTTACAACACATTTCTAAGAAATACCGTGAAATTCTTAAATACTTATTCGATATAGTTTATGGAAATTCACGTCACTGTCTTTCCTCCCCAAAATGTATAAGTTTTCTGTTCGCAGAAGGGAAAAAATCATAATAGAAACGCAAATGATAGATCCTAACAAATACAAATTACTGTTATGATATAGGATGGATAATGAAATATGATTAAACATTGTATTTACGAATATATTTACTCACAATTAAAATTGATAATATAATAGCAAGTGCGCGTTTATAAATTATTGTCTTAGGAAATAAATAGAGAGGCTGAGCGGCGTCAGGCGCGCGGCGGCGCGGCGTGCATATTTGGTGGATTCTGCAGCGATTGGCGGCTCTTGATACGCGCCTGGAGCGTGGCCAGCAGCCCGCTGAGGACGTCGTGATTGGGGATCTTCTTGGCGAACAGCAGGCGCTTCACGGAGTCATCGTACGTCAGCAGAGCCACCATGTTCTGCAGCAGGAAGCCCTGGCAGTATTCCATCAGTTTGTGCGCGTTGTACACCTGCGCGAGCGCCAAGAGGAGCACAATTTCAATTAGGATAAGCGATAAACTCGATTGGAACAAAATTCTTGTCTTCAAGACTAGGAAAATAATCAATAATGATTCTAGGACACCCAGAGACTAAAAGCGTAGGGATATGATCTATCCGGGAGAGTGTGGAGAGCCTGGAAAACCCACCTTGGCGTGGATGTACATCGCCACCACGTTGTCGATGTCGATCATGCCTGAGCACCTGGCCTCGGTGTAGCGCAGCAATCCGTCCAACTGGAAGAAGCTGGCGGCCGCCATGAGCTCCAGGATGTCGTCAGGTACGACGTCGAGAGTGTTGCAGCCGCCTGAGTAGAGGAACAGCATCACCAGCTCGAAGATGTGATAGCGAATGTCGTTGATCTGCACCGTCGGCGTGTTTCCCTCCACTAGCTTCGAACTGAGCATGTTCTGGAACCTGGGCGACGCCGTCACCAGCACGATCTTATGGCCGTAGAAGATTTTCCCCTCCACCCTGCAAAAGTGCACGCGCTCGTGAACGATCTCCGTGTGAGAGATGTCCTGGAAATCCTACCTGAAAGTCACATCGCTGAGCTCAGGATTGTTGACGAACTTCGGGTCGATGCGACTGCCGTTGCCGGGCTGCATCACGGGCTCCTTGATGGACTTGATGGACTCCCAGCCGAAACACGTGGCGAAGATGTCGGCCAGCAACAGTGTCGTGCCCTCCTTCTGGCAGGACAGAGTGCAGAAAATGAGTGATTTGCCGTGTCTTTTACATCAAATGCACATTCTCAAAACTTACTTTGCTGTAGCGGAAGATGTTGAACAGAAGCGGCAGACATTCGGTGACGAACTGCGAACTGTAGTCATCTGGACAAACTTGCAGGAAGTCCTGGAGCAGCTGATCGATCACTGCGTCCAGTCTCAACTCATGTGCCGCCGCCAGAGCGTGCATCCAGCAGTGCAGCGTCCAGGGAACGCCCAGAGTCCTCAGCTCCACCGTTATATCTGCAGACCCAGAGACATTCAGGGCGAATCCTTCAGGCAAATGGCCAGGAACTTACCCAAGTGATTGTTCTCCGCGCTGTGGTACATCGCCTCCTGCAGACTCTTGATCTGCGTCTTGCTCAGCGCCGGCGCGGCGTCTGAGCTGTGATTCCTCTCAACAGCCGTGCGAGATGTTGAATCTCCTTCGGCCAGCATCTCCTCAAGCGACAGAACCTCGCGATTCCCGGGCGCCAGAGGGTGCGACAGCAGCTTCCGCAGCGTCACTCTCTGGCCGTGCGCCGCGGCGACGGAGATTGCACTGTAGCAGCCTCTCTGGGCGCTGCCCGAGAAGCACAGGGAGTCCTTCTGCTGCGTGGACAGGAACGTGTGCGCTCCGTGGGCCAGCAAGAGCGCCACGATGTCCAGACAACCCGCTCCGCTGGCCACCTGAAGGGGCGTCAGCGTGCACTTGTCCTCACTCAGTCGCGCGCCGCCCTCGACATGAGCGCCGCGCTCGAGCAGAATCCTCACCGCCTGGAATAGCCAAAGCACGTGATAAGCACACGCATACTGGGGCTGATCTGCGGATTTCTTACCTGGAAGTTACCTCTGCATGCTGCAAAGGTCACGGCTGTCCAGTGCTGTGTCTCCGGATGAATGGCCGGACAGTGGCCAGGAACTTCGATGTTCGGATCAGATCCGGTGTCCAGAATGGCTTGCAGTGTCGCCTCGTCATTCCTCATCGCCGCAATCATAAGCGGCGTCATTCCCTGGTGATTCAGTGTGTCGTAGCGACTGGAGGACGGTAGCAGGGAACTGGCCTGGAGGAACAGCTCAGGCCGTCCGGTCATGATGAGGCGGAAGGCCAGAGCGAGAGTTGCTCTCCTGCCGCACTCATTCGGATCCTCTTGTGGGGGATTCGGGCCGCCCGCCACTAGGCGCTTTGTGGGCAATTCCTCCTCCCCGAGAATCGGCCTGGGTGGACAATCCACGCCCGGCAGGAGCAGCCTGGCCGCCTGCATGATGTCATCCTTGTCGATGAGCAGAGCATGACGATATTCTGCGTGACTCGAAGTCACTCGCAGCCACTCGACCAGAGGCGGAAGCACTACATAAGCCCTCTCGTAGCACAACTCCTGGATGCCGTTGGTACCGCCCGAGGAGCCGCCGGCCGTGGCGGAGTCGCCGTGCTCCAGCTGAGAGCAGCGCATGAAGTAGAAGAGCGCCTTGAGCGCCCCATGAGAAAGGCTGACGTGGTGCAACTTCTGTTGCGCCCTCAGCACAAGATCCCTCAACTCTTGCAGGCTCCCGACGCACGTGGTCAGCAGACAGGGCTCCAGCGCCTGATTCTGCTGCGAGCTGTTGACAGATCCAGATCCGATGGAGGATTGACTAGCCCAGCGAGGCATTGTGAGCGCCCCGGAGGCAATTCTGCCGGCATTGAGGTGTGAATAGGGCTGCAGCAGACCCCAGAGGTCACCAGAGCCGGCGATGGCGTGCTCCAGGCCAGTGGCCGTGAGGGGAATGGCCGCGTCCGCGGGCAGGCTCTGTATCAGGATTTCCTCCAGTAGATTCTCCATGCCCGCCGTGAGATACACCGCCGCATACTCGTGCACGAAGCGTCCGAGGCGCGCATCCGCCATCCAGCGATGGAATCTGCCCACGGGCAGTTGCAGTCCGGCACGCGATGATTTGCTTTGCTTCAGCGCTCCATCGCCCGGCACAGCGAACATCGTGGCCGCCCGGAGGCACGCCTTGATGCAAGAATCCGCCAGAGCTGGACACAGCACGATCTTGAACGCTCCCGCCACTTCGTGCTTCGAGCACAGGCCCAGGGCGCACGAGAGGCGCTGGATCTCTCTGGCCACGCGCACCAGGGCGCGCTGCAGCAAGTACCCCAACCGCGGCACCGCCTCGATGCTGATCCGGTCCGCGCTCTCGCGACACCTGCCGGCGCGGATGACGCGCAGGATGCAGTGCTGGCTCCAGGGCGGGTACTGCAGCTCCACCAGGCGATTGTGCGAATCCACCCACACGAACTCGTCGGCACTGGTAACGTTCGTGTTCACCGTCTCCAGCGAGGAGTAGCGCCCCAGGCGGCGTGCCGGCTCAGAACTCTCGGAGCCGGCGCTCAGGCTGCTGTACGTGGAAGTGCTGGTCTGCGAGCGCATTGTCAACTGCTGGATGGCCTGCTTGATGTCCTCCAGGCCGCTGCCGCCCCACGGCACCTTGGCCGGTGTCGCTCGATGTCTGGATCTGCTTGAGTAAATGATTAAAAAATTTGAGTTTTATCATTAAAATTGGAACTTTTAATCCTTACTTATATGCAAATATTAAAGAACTAATATTATATGGAAGTCAAAGAAATTGACTGAGATCCTAAAGAGAATTCGCGCTTGGGTACAGGAGTTAAAAGCTACTCACCGCGAGTGACTTGTACTTGCTCTGGATCTCGTGCTCCTGCTCGTGACGCCGGCCGCCAGTCTGTCTTCCGGAAGCGGTCCCAGCGGCGCGCTGCAGTTGCCGCCGGGAGAGCTGCTGCCGTGTCCTGTGTCTGACATGCTGGCGTGGCCTGAGGAGCGGTTCTCGTCCGACGACGAGTGACACTCGGCGACTCTCTGCAGCCCTCTCAGGTCGTGCGCGTGATGCGTGCGTAGCGAGATGCTGTTCTTCGCCGGCTGCTGCTGCGCCTGGCCGCCCTGCCACTGGTTGGTCTGCTGCGTCGGCGCCGCGGCCTTGGCGGGTCGACTGAGTGGCCCTTTGCTGTCCAAGGCGGCGCTCAGCATCGGCGGATGGTACTTCACCGGCGTGCTCTGGACGGTGAGCTTGGTGGGGCCGGCCAAGGAGCGATGCGGCACCGGCTTCGCCACCTTTCCCGGCCCCGTGTCCCTCTCCGGCACCATCGCGGCGATCGCCTTGCTGGCCGCAGCCACTTGTCCCTGTCGCACCGCTGAGATGGCCAACGTCGACTCGTTGTATGAATTCCCACCAACGCCGTCCTCGCGCTTCGCGGAGCCGAATTCATTGGCGGCGGGGATACTGAGGTCGTTGGCGGGCGAGGCGGCGGTCTTCCTGTACGGCTCGGCGCCCGTGGGACGCGAGGCGATCTCCTTGGGCACGCGCAGGGCCGGCGACACGATGGCAGGACTCTGGATGGGGACGCTGTGTGCAGGATAGGACACAGGCACGCTCGAAGCGGCACTTCCTGAGGGTCTGCAAGTGGAGAAAGCATAAATAGCATTAAAACAACACTCTCAGTTTCTTCTTCAGCAACTCTTCCACGCTATTTTTCCCAGAGAAAACACCTTAATATAATGGCCAAGGGGGAGATAATATAATTCAAAAATTTGTGCACGCATTTTAATTCGTATGAAAAATCTCAAACACTTCTCAGGACTCTCAGATAGAATAAGAAACCTTTTCTAATGCCCTTGTTCAACTGTACACCACTTCTGACCACATTATCTCCCCCTTTGGTGGTGGTAAAACATCTGCCCTATCCGAAAATCTACAAATTCCACGCATCATCTTGCTAAAATTATCCATTTTCATGAGGTTTTGCCAGTGAATACAAAAGACTTCAACGTCAGCATGCACACGAACTTCTTTTTCCCAAACATCATCGCTTTTCTCCGCGTCCAACAATGGCTTAATAAATTTCTCTCAGTGATTTTTCTCAACTTCCTCATTCGCATTTCCATCTCAAAACTGTGCATTTCGCCCAGCTCTTTACCGTGTTCTCCACTCTTGGACGAAACTCCAGTCGAAGGAGTCATCATTCAGCGATTGCACATCGCTGCCGGACGAATTGCTGTCGGCGATGCTCTTCACCAGTCGCGAGGCTTCCACGAAGTTCTCCTCAATCTTGATGTTGATCACCCCATTGATGACACTCTCCACAAAGTGTGGCAGCTCACCAGGCTGACTCTTGGGCGCCACGGCGCACTTCTCGAACGTCTTGTCGTTGATCTTATCCATTTTATCACTTTTCTGAGGCTTCTCAGGCACTTTTCTCACCACTGCTGACTCCTTCTCGCGATTCTTCTCCTCCAGCACACTCTTCAGCTGCCGCATCACATCGCCATTGTCCGGCGCTTGTTTCTTCTCCGGCGCGGGCGGTGCTGTCTCTTCCAGGAGGCGACTGGCATGGTGAATGTCCGGAATAGAGGTCTTCTTCTCACTGCGGCGCTTGTTCAGCGAGTCCCCGAAGTAGATCACAACCTTGTGACCCGCCGCCGAGTTTCTCTCGCCATTCTCTGCCAGATTCGTAGTGCTCCTCACGATACGCTGATCCTCGTCGCGCAGTGGCGCTAAAAAGGAGCTCCTCTGGTAGTTTGAACGACCATCAAACTGCCCCGGAAGCTCATTATAGCTGCTGGCCTTCGTCATGCGTCCCTGAGAGCTCTTCTGTGGCAATTGCCTGAAGAAGGACGAGCGCTTCCTGGCGAAATTCTGTCCCATCTCATTCAGCACGTCCGTCGAGAGGCGTCGCCTCAGTATGAAATTCTCATCATGAGCCACCTTTTTGTCCATCTTCACTTTGATCTGCTTGAAGTCACTCAACTCACGACACAGCGTGCACACGCAATCCTTGGAGCAATGCATGATTGCCGAGTCCACTTTTTTTGCTTTGCACTCTCGAATACAATACTGTAATAATTGCCTTCTCTATACCATTTCACGTCCTCACACCGCCTCAATTCGCGTCCAACTGATGCCACATGAGCCATGAAAAAAGCAGAGTAGCCCTCCCACCCGGCGAGGGCGCCTCTTTCTCCGCGCCCGCCACTTTTCAAGGCCCCCACACATGCCGCGATTTTCAATTTCAATCGCGAACAATGAAAACATTAAGAGATCTTTCACACACCTCAACACTCACACACTGGTTGATGACCAGAGGAGTGCAAGAGCAGCGAATTCACAACTGTGAACATCCCCTGGGCCAGAGCTGAGAGCCGCACAGGCGCGGATCGACTGATTCGTTGATCCCTCATTGCCTTGCAAGAGGGAGATATAATGGTCAGAAGTAGTGTACAATTCAGCAAAGATGCTAGGAAGGGTTGAAAGAGTTGCAAAACTTAATTTTCATAAGTTCATATTCCATTGACGTTTTCCTATCCTGAAGCCAATAGAAAACACCGAAAGACATTAAACTGGGCGGCGCATCCCTGCGGGCGTGGCTTTTTTGCTCACTTCTGAAGAAGTCAGCCTCCACAGCTCACACCGCTGGACTTGAGTCTTCTGCCTTGGTATATTTGTACGATAGAAAGTAAAGAAAAAAAGCCTCTTCCACTCCTGAATTGTTTCAGGTGTGCTGAATGGGAGACAAGCGATAAAGAGATTCTTATGTCGACAAAAAGCCATGTTTAACAGTGGGAGAAAATGATCAACAATAAAGCTGGAGGAAAAAAGCCACACTCACGGGGTGAAAAACTCCCACACTTTCATCTCACTTTCAGACAATTATATTTAAATTATGTTATTTCCTCGAGATGCACACCATCATTTTCCTTTTGGCGGAGAAAAAAAGGCGGAGACGAGCCAAGAAGGTGAGAGGAGACATTAGAAAATCGCATTATCAGCAGGTCGATGATCTGGTGTTTTTCTCGAAAAAATGAAAATTGCAAAATAATTTTTTTTTTGCTTTCCATAGGAAATTATTGTCCTATTCGGGTGGCAATTTCACACTAATTGGCTTCATCTCTTGCCTCACATATCTGTGTCTCTGGCAGCGGTGGTTTCGTGATCGTGAATTGAAAATGGAAATTGAATTAGAGGTGGAATTTTGAAATTTGCAGCTGTGCTGGAAATTGCAAAATTACTGGATTCACTATCACAGAAAATGAAAGGGAGAATATGGAGATCTATTTTGCTTTTTTCCCATAAACTCTTCAAAAACTCTCGTCAGTTTTTCCACCGCGCGCGTCTTTCAATGGTCCACGAGATCATCTCTGGGTGTATATATTTATTTACAATTGAAGAAGGTGAAAAGTTCATTAGCTTCTTGTGTGAGAATCCCCAATTGACTTTCTCCACCTTTTCCACAATTGTTCTCACACGGTTTTGTCTCTATCTCTCTCTCGCCTGCCCTGGAGCTTCTCGCACGGCGCGAAGAAAGAGCCACTTTGGCGGTAGAGGCAAAAATTGGATCAAATTACATTTAGTGAGCGATCAAAGTCAGAACGAGCTGAAGTCGCTTCTAGCGATTAAGTCCGGAGAAAGAAGTGCCTTCACTTCAACGGGAGACGCTCGTGATGAAAGCCCCGCGAAATGAGCTCAAGATCGGAGCCTGAAAATCGAACAAGAAATATTGATCATAACTGTTCAAGAGCCGCGCGCGGTGGCATAATATGCTGACTTTTGGGTCAGTTACCCGCGAGTGAAATTGTCCGAAATTACACACATCACTCAATTTCAGGCCCGGAAAATTGGCCCAGGAAGCCGAGCGAATTTCTTGCCATCTCTCAAGGTCATTCTCATGACGGACCAAGGCATTTCTTTGCGCCTCTGCTTCGTCGGATTTAAACGCCCCGTCTTCATTACCTCTTTTGACAATTTCATCATGCAAAGTCCATCAACGAGACGGTCTCTTTCCATGGACCAAAAACGTGAAATTACGCACTGATTTAAGTACAGTGCAAAATTAATTCCTGCGAATTGCTTCTGCAGTACAAATGACAAGTCTTCATTCATTCCACAGCGGACTTAATCACTGTTTTGCATTGGCAAATTGATTAGGGAAATGCGGGGTTACTAGGGACTGTTGCTTTGAGTCCATTTAGGGTTCTTTAGATTTATCAAAGATTCGCTCTCAGCGATCAATCGCAGGGCTGTCAATTGACCGTTAGAGCGGCCATTTTTCCCGGAGAAAATACCAAACACAGAACAGGCGATACTCACATATATCTTCGTGGCTTTGGTCGCACGATCTCGTGGTTGGCGTCCGTGATGCAGAGCGGACTGAGGGCGCCGGCGAGGTGCTCCACGCCGATGCGGCCCGGATCCCAGCTGTGGCGCCCGGCGAGGCTCCAGGCGGCGGTGGGCGTGCTGGTCTGCGGCGTGGCGGCCAGGCTGGCCGCGGACGGCGGGGCGCCCGGAACAGCGGCCCCGTTCGTGGGGTGACTCATGAGGACGGCCGCCTAGGCCGCCAATCGGTGGAAAGGGGTAACGAGGCCATCCTCCAGACGCGCGCTGACGGTTTCGGGTCAATCTGCAAGACACAGTGTTTGTGACAGAGTGATCAGAATCGAGAGATTGGCAGACTGGCTTTAGCCAAATGTGAGGAATGTTACTCGGTGAAGAGACACAAAGTGGAATTCTCATGCCGGATATTCCAGTGGCATTTGCCGCGCGCACACATTTCTCATTGTCCGAAATGATCTTTCCCATCTTGATTGTGTCTCTTCGCTTCTCGCTAATTCCATCCTCAGCCGCGCGCGCATTTTGTCAGGTCAGAGCAGAACGCAGTCACAGAACATTTCTCGTGACTTCTGGACGTGAACTCGCTCTGTGCGCACGGAAAGGCGCGCACTACAATCCATGCGCAATGCCAACTTCTTAGGCGAGATGCCACCATACACTTTCTCCAGCATCTCGCCAATCGTCTCCGCCCTTGATCCACACACTCTTTCTCTCTGTCTTTCTCGTGTTATTATTATTTTCTTCTCCCGCGGGGAATGCGACGAAATAATATTAAACAGGTTTTCCCAGGCGAGCTTGTGTGAGACATAATTTCAATGATCAGAATTGGAATCCCGTTGCTCGCGCGCAAATCTTGGAGACACACACTTGGTCACTCCTCTGGAATGCTCAGCCACAGTGACTTTCTACGCCAACGCCCCCCTTTTCAGGCTGCAATTTCTCGCTCAATTGCGAGAATTAGCAACAAATAAAAAAAAAGATCGCGCCCCAGCAAAATCACAATCCGCATCCAGATCACAAGTGCGAGCATTTTTATATGAAAATTCCATTGGCAATTGAAAGTTGCATGAGGGTTGTCTTTGCGTTTTTTCCTCGCGCGCGCGCGCCAATAAAAGAAATCTCACATATTCACTCTCTCGCGCCTCTTGCATGGGAAACTATTCAAGTGGCATCTCATAATTGCGGCTGAGAATGGAAAAAATGGGAGGGAAATTAATTAATGATGATCTTCGAGTGTTTAGCGGAGATTTTGAGATCTTGCTTGACGGTGAAAGGGGAGCAATTCTAAGCGCAATTGGGTTAAAAATTCTCAACACACGAGCATTTAAGTCGTTGAAGAGGTCACTTGGATGAGAAAGAGTCCAAAAGAAGATTTCTTAAGCGGATTAATAACCTCACAGTTTGATGTAAATTCCATTTTCAATTTTCTCAGTGTGTTTTCTAGAAGGATATCCAGACTGAAACAGTTCCTAGTCAAATTCTTATAGAGATAAAGTCCTAAAAAGTCTCAATTCTTCCTTGATCCTCCATATAAAATGATTCTAGGCAACTCTAGTGATCCTTCATGGATTGTGCAGAAGACACTTGTGGGCGGATTTGAAATAATAATCAAAATCGTTCATAGTTGTGTAGCTTTTTATAAATTCAAAGCAATTCATACTCAATTTCCATCACAGCGAACAAACATTCAACGTTTTTTATATGATCACTAAGTGCTCATTATAGGATCCATTGAATGTCCTCTTTTTTATAGCCACTCCAAAGCACTCTCTCATGTGTGAAAAATGTTATGCATAAATTTCTCATTGCATGCAGAATTGATTGCCTGTGATATACTTTAACCAACCAGAGTCGAATGTTATCTAAACAGCACGGAATATTTATGGACTTTCACTTTGAGCAACCCTTCTTGTCCTCGCCAAATGCCCATATTCTTGAGCATCTAAAGAGCCAAAACAATGCTGACTTTCCCTTTCCATCTCAAAGTCATAATCGCGCAAATTGAACTGCGCACCAAACTGATTGTAATCTCGAGATTGCTGTGCATGAATTCGGAGGCCATAAAATTTGTACCAATTCTTTTTCTGCCAATCTGCATGATAGCATTTTACACTTATTATTTCAATCATTGCGTGTGAAGAGAAAAAAAAATCGAAACTATTACGGCAACAAAAGTATCCGCATTGCAATTATATGTTCCACTTTGGGTGGTAACAAGTGATGTATTAATAGTTGTTTTGTGTCGATTGTGGGCGGATATTTGTATATTTGGCATTTTGTAAAGAAAGTGAAGTTGCCTTGCTTGCAACTGTTTCGCCTCGTTTGCCAGTTAACTTCAGCGATCCAGAGAGGATTGGAAGCATTAGGAAAATAATGCGGAAGCTGTGGATGTTCCCGACTAATGCCAGCAACTCTGCAGATCAATCAGTGCAGGATGATTGCCTCGTGTGCGAGCCAAGGGAGAGATTATGTGATCAGAAGTGGTGTACAGATAAGCAGAACTCTTAAGAAGAGTGGAAATACTTCCAACACTGCTTCATAAAAAGCTCAATTTAATACATTTTTTGGCACTTTATTTGATATTTTCCAAGGAAAAACTCATCATAATGCTTTACAAAACTAAGGTGTCTTATTTGACTCAGTCGAAGTATGAAAAAAAGACTCTAAAATTAATCATTTTCACAACCAGGCTGTAAATTTACTCATTATTGCCAGGATTAAGGACTTGTGTGCAATAAAAACTGCAATTTTGATTGTTTAGGTGAAGTTTTAGAATTTAATTTAATTTAATTTAGAAAATATAACAAATGAGAATATTTGTAACTCTTTTCCTAAAAATCTGAGAGAGAATTTTTCAAAGTGTTCTCAAGACGCCCAGGAACCTTTTCATCTTGAATGTCTGAAGGATTTTTGGAATCGTTGAGAGTGTCAGGAAGTGGTGTACACCATCTGAGACGCACTATCTGCCCCTTGGTGTGCGTATCCACAATGTCAATGTCATCCCTGAGGGCAAGTAAATTCCTGAGTGGCCACAGAAGTGGCTGATGATCGTCTCTGCATCGTCGTTTTGCCTCTTTGACCATCATTGCAGCTCAAACGCTTCTTCCTTCTCATGCTTCCTCGATTCTTTCGCTGCATTTCTCAAATGCTTCACTCTCTTCCTCATGTTTTTCCCTCCCCATTTTCCACCCAGAGACGGAAAACCTCATCATGAGCTTTTCCTCCACAATCGCACGGTCAATTGCGCTCGCGCGCGCGCTCAGAGTTCAATGGTTTTTCACCAATTTGTCTCTAAGCCACATTTTTAAGTATTGTCGTGTGGAGAACGTAAAAAAAAACTTAACGATTACATTCCGAAATGAAGCAAAGTGTCTCTCGCTGGATGGAAATCACTCAACAACAGAGCCATAAATTTCGAGGTGTACAGTTTTTCCGCCGCCAACAAGTCCATCAATATCTTTGTGTCAAAGAGCTTGAATTTCAGACGTTCAAACCATCACTGGTTAATTGCTGTTCGGGATTCCGGAGTCAGAAGAGGAAATTATATCGCTCACCGTGCATGACACGGTATCTCGAGAGGTGGTTATTATTCAAATTCCGTCAATTAAAGATAATTCTCAATTAACAAGAGCAGAAGGGGCGAAAAGTGTCCATGAGAAGAGGACTTTTGACCCTCCGTTTGCGTGATTTTGCGCCATGATTACGTCTTATTGGCCAAAGACACATTGCAAATCGTGGATGGAACGCCGCGTGCTTTACTCAGAGCGTCAAAGGACAAGGAAAACTTTCTCTCTATCACACAAAAGAAGATCAGTGAAAAATTGGCGGTGTAAATTTAACATTTGTGCCTACCCAATTAGTCTCTAAACTCGATGGATAAATAATAGTGTTTTGGGCATTTGTCTGCAAATTGTCTTAATACACACAATTTACCATTAACCGCCACTTCACACGCCTAATCACACACCTCGAGTCTTTTTCTCACCTCCCAGTTCCGATTGCCATTTTAGTGCAATTTACTCCTAATGCCGCGTGTCTCTAGCCACGATCAAATACAGAAAAATCAAATGGATAATCAGGTGAATGGATTTTGGTATTTGATTCGTGTGTAGTTTCTTCCACCGTCTTTGCTGTTGTAGTTGTGAACAGACGCGAAACAAGTCACAGATATTGCCACTGAACCGATTCAGAATTGAGTAAATCACATTGAGAAATTCGCATTGCTAATTTCAAATGTGAAAAAGAGTAAATGCAGTGGAAGAAAATTCAACCAAATTCAAACAGCGAAAAATGCTGATTTTGCAAGAAAAACTGTCAATTTTTGAACAACTAGTCATCTTTTAAAGCACTAAAATCTATATTAGTGTGCCAAATCGTGCTCTTTAACACTAATTAAGTTTTGGTCTTTCGATTTAAAACATTTAAGTCCACAATTGTGTAGAAATACGACTAAAAAAATTTGTGCTCAGTTCAATATGCTCACTTAGATAGTAATATCAATTCTTTTAATCTGAAATTCGAGCATTTGAGGAACTTAAGCCTTATGAATCATTAGAAAATCTAGATGAGAACCAATCTATGCCACACAGCAGGTTTTGTTCCCGAAATTCCCAGTAATTAAACAGTGGAGAGAGTCGAAGGTTCGCCGGAGAATCACAGTCGCAGCAAGTGCAGCTTGCGTATTGTCGATTCTCTTGGCCACTCTTCGTGGCTGTGCTGGAGGAATTGGGAGTGAATGCCGCGCAGAAAAGCCACCACTACTTGGCAGAGGCACAAAAAGACCACATTCCAATCGGCTATATAACACAGCCACCAACATTATTGAGATAAAATGTCTTGAGACTTTCTATTGCAAGAGCCTTTTGGGAGTCACACAGCGTACATTATATAACCTAAATACTCTCTGACTCTCTCTTTGCACTCTCTGTCCCTCTGCGCCCTTTTCTCAGCACTTGCCACACACTCGCCTGCTGCCCTTCGCGAGGGTGTCCTTTGTGTCTTGTGATCTTACCTCTTGCGGGACTCACGCGCGTATCCACAAGTGTTTCAGGTGCTCCTCTTCGTCACAAAGCACAGACAGAAGCACTGCAAGAATTCCTCCCTGATCACTGGCACTGGCACAACTTGGGCTCTTCACACTGGCGTCACCAGGGGGAGTTTTTGCTTTTTCTCTGGAGTTTTCCCACTGTTTTTCTCTTCACACTCTGGTGCATACGAAATGGCGCGCGCGCAAATATAAGGTGCAATTTTCGTTTTAGGGCAGCTCAGGAGGCAAAACCGTTCGATAGCAGCTTCCAATGGTCCATGACTAACTCGACCGAGTCTCCGACGATCGACTTCTTCAATCGAGACTCGTTCTCTTCTTTTTCCATCCCAAACACCTTCTCGCGAGAGCGTGTTTGTCCTCTTGGGCCGTGCCTCTGTGTTTGTACATGGGCGCTCTCTTCGCGCGCACTCGATGCGGAATCAACAAGTTATCAACGTATGAAAAGAACATAAATAAAATTAAAAATTAAAATACCTTTGCCGCCAGTGTGTGAGTCTCTTGGCCGGCGATCTCGCTCGCTCAGCGGTCACCACGACGCGCGCGCGAGCGAGACAACCTGCGCCAGGAGGACACACAACAGCCCAAGAAGAAGAACGCAGAGAGGCAGAGAATGGCCAGAGGGTACGGGCAATTTTCACGGTGTGTCTGTGTGTGCATCTATTTATCCCTCGCTCACCCATCGCCCAGAAACAGCGCAGCAGAGAGAGAAAGGTGAGATTCTAAGAAGAATAAAAATTATTTATATTAAAACTCTCAACTCTTCTTCATCACTTGTCTCCATTCTTCTGATGGAATTTCTGGAATTTATCGTAGCTTCGAAAAACTTTTTGCTCGCCCATCCAAATGGGAGGCTCTCGCTCTGGGGGCAAAAATCGGTTGGAATTTATCACAAGGAGGGTTAGATAAGGCTGGGTGATAAAGATTCCCTGGAAGTTGTGCGGCTGTATTTAGGGAAGCGCACTGATACCGCTATCTCGAGTGGCTGCACTGCATATCAATTAACACGAATGCTGAGCGCTTCAGCTTCACGCTGACGTCTTTTGACCTTTTCGAGTTCACACGGCATTTGGCTTTGACGACAATACAGTCGAAAAGACAATTCTGATAAAATGAGCGGCAATTTTTATGCTAAATTAATCACAAAATCAACGAAGGGACATGAGTTGTGAAAATATGCTACAAAGTCCATGCACAATTTCACTCTTGTCGTATGAAATTCATGAGAATAATGCAGGACAGTCCGATGATTGTCTCTATCAACATTATCAAAATTTTACAAAATGCTCAACACTTGTAATGAAATAAAGTATGAAAAACTTTCCTTCAATAATCAGACAGAATGTCATAGGATTGTCTATCGGCGGTCAGAATTAATGCCTAGTGTAAATCTTCGAGATATCAACTTTTGTTTCATATGTAATAAATAAAAATCCATCAATTCGTGTAGATAAACCATAAGCGCATTATAGAATTCAGTAATTCTTAAAATAATCAAGTTTCTGGACTGTTTGCGTATTTCGCGCTCTGCATCTCGCGATTTCCCGCCACGCCATCGCGATATATCGATATATCATTGGACTGAACTATCCGACTGTCAAATAGGGAAACATACATGAAACATAGTGAAAAAAAAGCCCGGAAAAGGCATGAAAAATGGGATGATGGGTTCCTACGGAAAAAATCGTGAAAAATCTTATGACGAATTTATTGAACATGGCTGGATATACTATAGTTGCTAATCTCTAAACAATCAAACAATCCCACGGGCTGTGAGGAATATATCCCTGGATTTACCTAGACCACCTAAGGCACTTCCAATGTTAATGTCATTGAGTCTTTCCCATCTTGTCCCTCGTAGCTTAGGATTCATTGAGGACATGTCACCTGACACCCTGGGGATTCGTCTCTTGACACACTTGTTTCAGTCGAGGGACGCCAGTCAATGGGGAACTACAGATTGCGGATTTTCCACCCTTATTTTAGACTTAGACGTTAGTAAAACAGCACAATAGACCCTAGATGTTTTGTAGCTTTGTTCGAGATTGAAATAGTGTGGATTTTCTGTGAATTATGGGAAGTGTTTTGACATAACCTTAATCATGAGGGGTCAGTGAAAGTGCCTCCGATTTTCTTCGGGGTGGACATAGGGGAGACACCAATTGCGCAATAAGCTGGAGAAAATAAGACAAAAAGGAGTGACAAAATGCCAGATTATCAGTTGATACCCTTCAGAATAACCACCCAGAGGGTAAACGTTGGAGAAAGCAGTTTCCGGATGTCAAAGGCTAACTTTCACTGACTTTTCAGGTGGTGATTGTGTCTGTAACAGCCGGGATTGCTCTGCTGGGTATCTTGGCGAGGTACTTGAGACGCCGTCGCACAGTGCGTCCGCCCAGGAGGACCAGGAAGCTGCCCGGCGGCAGGAGGACAAGGAATAGCCTGAGAAGTCCCAATGATGCAATTTCAGTGGCGGGCTCGAAGGCCAGCGCGAGGAGTGTCAGTCCTGGAGGCAGCATCTTAGCACTCTCTGACCGTCTGTCCCTGGCCTCTGGATCCCTGGGAGCGGGAGTCTTGAGTGCTTCCACGCCACTGACTTCTCAGCAACTCGGAGTGCTCGGTATGGAAGCGCTGGAAAACGTAATAACGCACTGGGAAGACGCACTGGCCGCTCACTGCACGGCGTCAGGGGTTCTGGTTGTGGGCTCCTCCGAGGAGTCTGAGTTCTGTCTGGAGATTCAGAACCTCCTGGACGTGGCGTATAGTTTGCAGGTGGGATTACAAGGATTCCCAGTGATAATCTTGTGGTAAATGTTTCTCTGCCTCCCTGTAGGACCAGAGCGAGCTCCTCTTCCTCGACCAGAGGTCGGTGCTCTTCCGGGAGGAGAGTTGTGTGGTGGAAGAGGACGTGACTCGCGGCAAGAGGAGTGGCAGTGATCCAAATCTCGATTCGGCGGAGAGTTTCGCATCGGCTCTCGACCAGGTGGCGGATTTGAGGGAGTTCGAGGAGTTCACGGAGGTGTTTGCCGCCTCAGCGGATAAGTATCCGTTTTACCAGAGCGCCTTGCGTCACATGGAGGAGCATCCTGTGCCTTATCGCACAATGCGAACGGAGTTGGTGACTTGTTCGACGGATCTCGAGTACCTGGGGAAGCTGCACTGCCTCAGGCTGGCCTTTCAGCTGCTCTTCCGCGATGACAGCACCAGCCGATGGGTGGCGGACACCGGCAGGCAGATCCTCACGGATCTCATGTGCCTCGGAGACAAGGATCCCAAGGACTTTCTCGTGGGTTACGAGGAGATGATGACCTTCCTGCAGGACGACACCAATTGGCCGGCTATTGAGCGAGAACTCGAGACGAGGAATGTCAAGGCGATGACTTTTTTCGATGTCGTCCTGGACTTTATCATCCTGGACTCGTTTAAGGACTTGGATTCCCCACCCGCGAGCGTGATAGCCGTGTGTCAGAACCGCTTCCTCTCGAATGGCTTCAAGGAGACCGCCCTGACCACGGCGGTGTGGTCAGTGCTGAAGGCCAAGAGGCGCCTGCTCAAGTATCCGAATGGCTTTATGGCCCACTTCTATCAGATCTCCGAGCAAATTTCACCGCTCATGGCGTGGGGATTCTTCGGACCGGACGACAATCTGCGCGAAGTGTGCCACTACTTCAGGGATGAGACCATTGGCTTCCTGAAGGACATCTTCAGCTTCCAGAAGTGTCGCTTCACGAGCGTGGAAGAGCTCTCAGAGGACATCCTGAAACACATGCGGCAGCGGGTGGACAATATTGGAGTGAAGTTCAGTAATTAGTCGACGCAGTTTTTAACAATAAATAACAAGTTAGCGAATGGGATTAGATTTTTTTTTCCTTCGCCTCGATTTTCCTGACTTTCCTGGCTTCCTGGAGGAGTGAGGTTATGCGATGTGGTGGCGGGAATGTTGCTCTAGCGGAAATTCTGAGAAACACCGTCGTGAAACCGAAGACAGTCGAGGATTTTGCGAAGTGTGACATTCTCGGAAAAACTCCCCGCACGACAAAACAATCCACTCAATCCAGGTTTTTCCGCACCTTTCCGGCATTTTTCCTGATATTTCACCATAGATAAATGATCTGTCATCTGGGAGAGAAGTGATTGATACGCGAAGACAAATAGAAAACATTTGCAATGCCAAAGAAGAGGAAAGGTCGCGGAGGAAAGGCTTCCGGGCGTGCGGCAAAAGTTCCGGAAGCCGCCAAGAGCGCCCCAGAGCCTGAGGTGAGTTCTTAAATGTGTTCAAATTGTGTGGAATTTAATAATTGTTGTGATTCTTCAGCAGGTGGAGGAGGATGTGAAGGAGCACTCGGCGGAACTCGAAGTTCCGGATCTGTCGGACACAGTGGAGATAATGATGCTGGACGATTCAACGTCAAATGACGGATTGGGGAATGGGGAATACGATATAAAGGATGATTCTGTGTATGATCTGGAACAGCAGATGTCTCAGAAAATGTCCTCGAGTGAATTTGACTTTGAGGAAGAAATTCCGGTGTTCAAATTTGAAAAGTTTGGTGCGGAGGAGCTTCACGAGAAGGTGCAGAAGATCAAATTGGAGCCTGTTGAGGAAGTGAAGGTGGAAGCAGCGGAGGAAAAGAAGGCGGAAGCAGTGGAGGAAATGGAGACAGACGTGAGTAGTTCCCTTCCGGAAGCCACATCAACCACTCCGGAGAATCACAGTAAAGAATCCACGCCCAATATTCGACGATCCACGCGAATTAAGAGCATCTCCAAGACAAAGCAACGCTCTCATGGTCACGGATTGGTGCGGGACAAGGAGAAATTCCTGCCCAAGGCGACGCCAGAGGAGGCAAAGCCCATGAAGGTGAAGTCCAGGTGGCGGCATTCGGCGGAGATCGAGCAGAAGCTGTCCGAAGCACTGCCAGAGGTGGAGGTGAAGGCGGAAAAGGGGCCCGAAGAGGCACAGGAGAAGAAGGAGGAACTCGAGAAGGCCAGGAAGGAGGAACTTGAGCAGAAACTGAAGCAATTCCTGCCCATTCGTGACAATATTTATCAGTGCGAGAGGAATGTGAGCAAGGATGCGAAGAAGATGCTGTGCGATTGCTTCCTCACGCCCGAGGACATGGACAGAGGTGAGCTGGGATGCGGTGAGGATTGCCTGAATCGCCTGCTGATGATCGAGTGTGGCTCCAAGTGTGTTGTGGGCGATCGATGCACAAACAGGCGCTTCCAGAAGTACCAATATTCGCCCTGTCGTGTGTTCAACACAGAGAAGAAAGGCCTGGGCATCATGGCCACGGACACAATCCTAGCTGGGGACTTTGTGATGGAGTATGTGGGTGAAGTGCTGAACTCGAAGCAGTTTGAAGTGCGCGCGGCCAATTATTCCAAGGACAAGAACATCCATTACTACTTCATGGCTCTGCGAAGTGACGCCGTGATCGATGCCACGGTGAAGGGAAATATCTCCAGATTCATCAATCACTCGTGTGATCCCAATGCCGAGACGCAGAAGTGGACAGTGAACGGAGAGTTGAGGATTGGCTTCTTTGCCACGCGGAGCATTGCGCCTGGAGAGGAGATCACGTTCGATTATCAGTATCAGAGGTATGGCAAGGAGGCGCAGAAGTGCTTCTGTGAGGCGGATAACTGTCGTGGGTGGATTGGAGAGGAGCCCGATTCCACAGATGAGGAAGAGGATGAAGAGGATGCCGATGATGAGGGAAGTGAGGCTGAGGGAAGTGCCGGAGAGGCAGATGAGGCGGAAAAGATGCCACAGGAAGCAAAAGTCCCGACGAAACCACGCCGGAAGGAGCCCAAACCGAGAACACCGGCTGTCAGGAAGACGCCAGTGCGTCGTCGAAGAGCGGGCAAGAAGAAGCGCCCTGAGATTCTCGATGATCCCGATCTGGACGATGAGATTGACTTGCTGACGGTGACTGGATTGAAGAATCAGGCACACACATTGAAACTGAGTCGATTGATGGTGAGAGCAAAGGTCCTGGAGGCAAGGAGGCGTCTTCTGAATCTCCTGCGGTACGGAGAGTTCCCTTGTCGTCGCCTCTTCCTGGACTACCACGGCTTGAGACTCCTAAGCGGCTGGATGGCGGACGGAGCGGCCGCTGAGAGTGTCTCGTTCCGTTTGGAGCTGCTGGAAACGCTAAAGACACTGCCCATCTCCAATAAGACAGTCCTCAAGGAGACTGGAGTGTTGGGAAGTGTGGAAAAGTGGATGGGATTGGCTGATGCCACACCGCCGACAGATTCTCCGTCAGATAAGAGTACAGAAAGTCCTCCGAGTGAATCCAGTGCTGCTCAGACGCCTCAAGAGACGCCCCAAGAACAGCCACAAGAACCACCTCTTCATGAAGTGTCTCAGGAAACGGTCCAGGCGTCAAATCAGGAGGGAGTGGCTCAGGAGAAGCAACAGCCAGCGGAGACAGTCCAGGAAACCAGTGAGTTTTTACTTCGACACCAGATAAATTTATGTTATTCCTCATATTCACCTTTTCTTTCAGCTCCAGCTTTGCCTCCTGTTCCTGTCGAAGATACAGAAGCGCTGAATGTCAGCATTAAGGATCTGGGAAAGTCACTGTTGGAGAAGTGGCTGAGTCTGCCCGAAGTGTTCAGGATTCCGAAGAAGGAGCGCATTGAGCAGATGAAGGAGCACGAGCGCGAGGCTGATCTCAAGTACATGGCGCTGGGATTGCATATGGATGATGAGGCGCGCGGGGAGGAGAATCGCAGCAATGCCAGGTACAAGAATGCCAAGGAGGAGCCGAGGAAGATTCCGACGGAGGTGAAGCGCGACCGTGTCGAAGATCAGTGGATGAGCAAAGCGCAGCGCCGGCGATTGTTCGCCATGCAAGCGGCTGAGCAGATGGCGGTGCGCCGGCGGATGGACGAGTGGGCGCATCATGAGTTCCGGTGCTCGTATTTCGGTCTGGATCCGTACGCCACGCCGTCAGAGGACATCCCGTCGTGGGTGGATCCGGAGACGGGACAGTGGTTCGCCTATGACTTGACTGAGGTGGAGACGCCCAAGAGTTATGCTCACATTCCGGCGCCTCAGCGGCCGACGTCGATCAACATTGAGGATTATGATCTGCCACAGCTGGACTTGCCTGAGGGTTGGGAGTACGCGCTGGACACGAAGGGGCAGATCTACTACTATCACAGGAAGATCAGGATATGCCAATGGGAGACGCCTATCAGGATTCTGCCACTGGGCGAGCAAGAGGCCGCCAGGGCGGGCAGTGGATCGGAGATGATTGAGGGCGCGGATGAGGGCGGGGACAGTAGCACCACGGACACGTGTGACAGCGAAGAGGAGGCGCTGGAAAAGAGGATTGCCAGGATAAAGAGTCTGCAGAAGATGGGGATCGCTGCATCGGTCATTGGTGAGTGGTTCAAGACGTGCTGAAAGATTTCATTTGAATTTGAGTTGTTCATTCGTTTTCAGCTAAACTGAATCTCTGCGATCCGGACAGTGAGGAGGAGATGGAGAAGCCCGATGGAGAGGAGAGACCAGGAGAAGCTGCAAGAATACGGTGTCGAACAAGATTGGCAGAGTATCGGGAAATTAGTGTAAGTGTGACACAAGATCGTCTGTATGGGATTTCCTGGTATGATCTTTCGTGCTTACTTTTCGCAGCCTCGTCGTGAGGAGGACAAGCTGTACAGCCAGATGGAGATGAAGCGCTATCGGGAGACCAAAGAGAAGTTGAGGCGCCGAAAAGAGGCGCTGCGGAAGCGAAAATTGACTCCAGGCGCCGATGGAGTGTCTGAGGAGGAGGACAAGGAGTCCGAGGAGGCGAAGAAGACTGAAGATTCGAGTGCTGTGTGCGATTCCACGTCAGATCTGCTGATTGAGAAGATTGTCTTGGGCAACAGTCGAGTGGATGAACTTGACGAGCCGTTGATGCGCGGCGAAAGAGGGAAGCAGAAGATGCAGCGCAAGAAAAGACACTTGAGGCACAAGTTGAAGAGTGTGAAGAAGCTGAAGACAGACAATCCTGTAGTGGATCCTCAGGATGCCAATGTGTTGGCAAAGAAGATTAAGGATCAATTTAAGCTGAATATCGCGAGCTGTATTGTGCAACATCTGAATCCATACAGAAAAGACACATGCACTGTCGGTAGGATAACAAATAATGACGATTTCAAGCACTTGGCGAGAAAGGTGAGTCCTCGGGTGATCCCTGACGCCCTCCACTGGAGTGTCTTAATCACGATTTTTTCCTTATCCTTGCAGTTGAGCCACTTTGTGATGTTAAAAGAGCTGAAGCACTGCAACAATGTGACTGAACTCACGGTCACGGAGTCAGTGAAGCAGAAATCCCGCGAATTTATTCGCAAGTACATGGCGAAGTTCGGTGAGATTTACGTGAAGCCTGAGAATGAACCGGAATACAAGGATTAGGCTCTGCATAGCGTTAAGTTTAGTGCGTGAATGTAAAGGATTTTAAGTAAACGGATATATTTGAATTTTTAGTACTCCACGCGCGGTGCTGCCTCTGGCGGCTGAGATGAGGTACCAAGGATTGTAGTGCTGTCTCGCTCTTTTTCTCTTTCCGGGTGTCAAACGCAGAAAGTAAGTCTGCCGTGTGGCTGTATTTTCATCACTTTTTCGTGGGTTTTTCCTCGATTTCCGCAAAGAAGAGTGGTTAAACACGCTATTTAATTGATGTTTTATAGATTTGTGTTAAAATCTAGCGTGAATTTCTGTGGAAATTGAGGAAAACCCGATGTAAAAGTGAGACTATTCGGCGTGGCCATTGTTATGGGCACCTAACCTCACTTTTTAAGGGAGCTAATTTTTCCTGCTCTTCCAGGACCAAAATGAGGAAGATTATGAAATCTGGGAAGGTGGTGCTGGTCCTCAGTGGACGGTACGCCGGCAGGAAAGCCATCATTGTGCGGACCTTTGATGATGGCACGTCAGACAAGCAGTTTGGCCACGCTCTCGTGGCAGGAATCGATCGATACCCTCGTAAAGTGACCGGCAGCATGGGCAAGGCGAAGCTAAAGAAGAAGTCCAAGATCAAGCCTTTCCTCAAGGTGGGTTTTCACATCTTTTCCATCACTGCTGGGTGAATACTGATTGAGGGTTTTCTCTTTTTTCCAGCTCCTGAACTACAACCATTTGATGCCCACACGTTACAGCGTCGACATCCCGTTCGAAAAGGTGAGCGTGAGAGATCTTAAGGATCCAGTGAAGAGGAAAACTCACCGCTTCCAGACGCGCGTCAAGTTCGAAGAAAGATACAAGGCAGGAAAGAACAAGTGGTTCTTCCAGAAGCTCAGATTCTAGGTATGTTCCGGGAACTGACGATTTGTGAGGAATTGGTTTATAATAAAAGTGGGCTTATTATAGACTGAAAATTGCGCCTCACCACAAGACTTTATTCCTTTTCTACACATTCTTCATCTTCCTGAACTTGCACATCATCCGCTTTATCTTTGTCCCTCTCGAAGAGGAGAATCAACTCCATGTGCGGCGTGTGGGGAAACATATCGACTGGCAGGGCTTTCTTCAGCTTGAATGGCGCCCCTTTCATTGTCTTCGAGCACGGACGCATCAAATCCAACCAATTCTTGGTCACGAACTTCGGAGCGCAGGAAACATACACGAGTCTGTTGAGATTTCGGGCATTTCTCAGTTGCAGAATTGATTTTGCATGCAATCCAGCTCGTGGTGGATCCACAACGGCCAGGACATCACCTGAAGTCACGCGATTCATGAGGCTGAAGATGAAATCATCTGAATTGCCAGTGAAGAAGTCACAGTTGTCAATTCCATTGGATTCAGCGTTGAATTTGGCATCCTTCACGGCTTCCTCGATGATCTCCACGCCCAGAATGGCTTTGCAGTGCTTGGCGAAGCACAGACCGATTGTCCCAGCGCCACAGCAGATGTCCAGGACAGTTGTCTCCTTCCCCACGGCGCCCAGTTCAATGATGCTGCTGTACAGCACTTCGGCCGCCGGTGTGTTGATCTGGAAGAAGGATTCGGGGCTGATGCGGAACTTGAGCCCATGAATCTCATCTGTGATGTGATTCTGCCCATGGAGGGCCAACATGAGGTCCTTCTTGTTCTCCTTGTCCTTTTTCCGCATGTCTTGGTAGAAGAGTGAGCTCACATTCAGCATCTTTCCTGGTCCTTCCGCGAAGAACACTTTCACGTCCTTCTGCAGCTCGTGCGCTTCCTCTTCGGCGAGAACTTTCCCATTCACACCAACAATAAGCATGATTTCATTGCTTGTGAAGGACAATCGCGTGACAAATTGCCGAAACACTCCCGTCTGGTGTTCAGGATTGAAGACATCGTGCTTGGATGAGCGCACAAACTGCTGAAACATCCTCACAGCCATCTTCACCCTGTCCGGGATGTGCTTCAGCTCATCCACCGGACACACCTCCACGAAGCCCGTTGCATAGCTGCCCAGCCGGAAGCCCACGACGTCCTCACCGTTGGCATCGCGTCCCACGGAGAATTCACACTTATTCCTGTAGCCACACACCAGCGGAGACGCCCTTATCTGCTCCAATTCGCACGGAAGTCCGCCAAAGTGTTTCCTCACCTCCTCAATTTCCTGCCTTTGGCTGCTGCACGCCATCCAGTGCTGCCCTGAGAACTTCTTCAGCAGATTCTCCACCTCAGACTGCTTCTGCTTCAGCTGATCTTCATAGGACAAGTGCGCCAGCGCTGTTGTGCACTCAGCAATGGTTTTGGCCTTTTTGCCACCACTGCCCAGCTCTCCATCGGCATTCCTCTTCCTCACCAGTGGATCAGGAGCGGGCTTGGCTTCGAAAGCCACAAGTTCCTTCCCCTTCCACGACATCCCATTCAGTGCTTTGATGCCCTGATCTCTGGCTTCGCTGGAGCGGAAGCAAATGTAGATCCACGGATTGTTCCTCTTGATGAGCTTGATTTTGGCAAAGTCCAGCTTTAGCTTGTGCAGGAGCTTGCGCAATTCCTGAAGATGAGATTATTTGGGGAAAATACACTCCAGATTATCTGTTTTCTTTTTTTCTATAGATTTTCATGATTTTCTCACCCCCATTCCATAATGCTTCGGCAGATTCTTCACTTCAATCTTGAAGATTTCAGACGTGAAACCTTGGTTAATGTATGCAAATTCATCACTTTCCGCCTTCGCAGGTTCTTCTATCTCCATAATTTGCGATAATTTCCTCGTTTTCCGCCCTCACGTGTGTGTATTTTGTTGTTTTTCCACGCCGGTTGACGTTCACCTCAGTGACGGCAGCGCCAGTGCACCCAAAAGCGGCGGCTGTCGGGGAAGCGTCGTATTGGCGCTGCAGTCGACCAATCAGAGCTCCCCACGAGAGTACAGTTGAATCCCTGTGTCGACTTTTCCCATTTCCTCACCGGATTATCGCCATTTCCACCCCATTGAGCACGACGGAAGTCTCGCAGCCATCACCGAAATACTCACAGGTGAGACAATGGATCGCAATTGGCACGCAGGGAGGCCTTGGCAGGAAGTCGCCGGGTCGGGTGAAGTGGGGTTTATCTGTTGCTTGTGCCACGTTCAAGTCCCACGTCTCCCACGGCACTTCCTTCAGTCCGTGAGCATTTCACCATCGAGTGACAATCTCCATTCACTTGTGCTCTTCACAGCGAAGCCATCAGACCGGCCGGCAGTCCCCGGGTGTGAATATTATACGTACACTCTACATTAGTGCAACATGAAGCTTTTTGCTCTTTTGAGCGTCCTCGTGACCCTCCTGGCCAGGATCCACTGCGAGGCGGAGGTGAAGGTGGAGGACGGCGTGCTGGTGCTCACCAAAGACAACTTTAAGGAAGTCACAGAGAAGAATGAATTTGTCCTCGTGGAATTCTGTAAGTAACATCACAAAGAAGCGCATGCAGAAGACAAAGCCCCACGAAGAAGGTCTGGAGGGGCTCTTTTGCCATGAGATGCAGTGGGATTTTCTGCGAGAAATCAACCCAGGGTCATTCACCCTCTCAATTCTCGGGTTTTTTCCACTGTCTGGCAGGGAGGCGCCACCCCAAGGGGCCCCTCTACACCCCAATCAATCGTTCTGCATGCCCGCGACACCCCCATTTTGTCTACTTCCCACGGAAAACCACCCGGAGTGGTGCCCCTCAAATCCCGCTTCCATATTGTTTGAGGAGTTGGAAGAAAGGTGACGTGTCACGTCCAACATGAGAGCGCGTGCGAGAGCGAGACGGAGATTCTGCGATGGCGACATCTCTCAGTATCATCCCGTATCATCTCAGCCGGCTCTCTCTCTATTCCCCTCCTCATTTCCATATTCTATCCATTCCGCCATTTATCACTCTATTCTCGCTTGGAATCCTGCTTTTCTCGTTTCGGCCGCCCTCCTGGCATTGCCCGGGTGGAGAAATCACGTTCCCAGGGACGAGCAGGTGCCGGGAGAGCTTGAATTGGTCATGTTTGCTTTATCATTGAGCGCTATTTCACGACATTTTTGAGCACTTCCCCGGTCTTATCAATGAATTTCTGAGCCCGTGTGTTGTTCCCCAGATAAGGCACAACCTAATTGCCGCGGCCCGAGGGGAATTGAGGGCTGACAAGTGCACGAAAAACAGCCCCGCAAATTTATTGCAATGTTGTGTGTGGTCAAATATAGGGCATGACGAGGCGATTTTGGCCTATGCAAGACGTGATGATAGATTGTGACTTTGAAATTGTTTGCTAAAAGTGTCCTTCGAGAGGTCATTAGCTTCAGGTCAAAAGCTGCAGAACAACATTAGAAAGATTAGAATTAATTTATCACACTATAAACAGTTTATTAACATTTTGTGGGGAGAAAATCAATCGATTTGGTTCTTGGACAAATCTTAAGAACCCCTTAAAAACTCTTACATTATGTGCAAATTTAATACACTAGAAATAAAATAGAGAAGAAAATTGAGAAGAAAAAACCTTCATAATTAGATTTATGTGGAGAAGTTGCAAAATAAATGCGAGATTGCTAAAGATTGCTAAATCTTTTTGTGTCTCAATGCCTGCTAAGCAGCTTCCTTTGTCTCTTCTTACAGATGCTCCGTGGTGCGGACACTGCAAAGCCCTGGCGCCTGAGTACGCCAAGGCCGCCAAGACGCTGGCCGAGCGCGAATCGGACATCAAGCTGGCCAAGGTGGACGCCACGGAGGAGAGCGAGCTGGCCGAAGAGCACGGAGTGCGCGGTTATCCTACGCTGAAGTTCTTCCGCAAGGGCAGCGTGATCGACTACACCGGCGGCCGCCAGGCTGATGATATCGTCACGTGGCTGAGCAAGAAGACCGGGCCGCCGGCGCTGGAGCTGGAGACTGTGGAGGCGGCCGAGAAGTTCCTGGAGGACAACCAAGTGGTGGTGGTGGGCTTCTTCAAGGATCGCGAGTCTGACGCCGCCAAGGCCTTCCTGGCTGTGGCCAATGCCGTGGATGAGTATCCGTTCGGTGTGACGAGCAACGAGGATGTGTACAAGAAGTACGAGGCCAAGTGCGGATCTGTGGTGCTGTTCAAGAAGTTCGACGAGGGCAAGGTGTTCTTCGAGGGTGACGTTGAGGAGGAGAAGCTGAAGAAGTTCGTGCTCAGCGAATCCATGCCACTCGTGGTGGACTTCAATCATGACTCAGCTCAGCGCATCTTTGGTGGCGAGATCAAGAATCACCTGCTGTTCTTCCTGTCCAAGGAGAAGGGTGACTTCGAGAAGTATGCCGAGCCTGCCAAGGCGGTGGCCAAGAATTTCCGCGAGCACGTGCTGTTTGTCTCCATCAATTCTGACGAGGAGGACCACCAGAGGATCCTGGAGTTCTTCGGCATGAAGAAGGAGGAGGTGCCGGCCGTGAGGCTGATTCATCTGGAGGAGGACATGGCCAAGTACAAGCCTGAGAAGAAGGATCTGTCGCCGGAGTATGTGAAGCAGTTCGTGCAGGACTTCCTCGATGGCAAACTCAAGCAGCATCTGTTGAGCCAAGATCTGCCTGACGATTGGGACAAGGAGCCCGTGAAGGTGCTGGTGTCCACGAACTTCGACGAGGTGGCGCTGGATAAGGAGAAGGACGTCCTGGTGGAGTTCTATGCGCCCTGGTGTGGACACTGCAAGCAACTGGCACCGATCTTCGATCAGCTGGGCGAGAAGTTCAAGGATAACGATAAGGTGGTGATCGCCAAGATGGACGCCACGGCTAACGAACTGGAGCACACCAAGATCTCTTCTTTCCCCACGCTCAAGTTCTACAAGAAGGGCGACAATGCCGTTGTGGACTACAATGGCGAGAGGACTCTGGAAGCCCTCGCGAAATTTGTGGAGTCTGGCGGAAGCACTCCAGCCACATCTGAGGAAGAGGTAAAAGAATTGCTCGCGCTTGAATCACTTGTATTCCATGCTGGATCATTCTTTCTTTTTTTCTTTGCCCATTCCAGGAAGAGGACGCGAAGGCGGATGAGCACGCAAAGGACGAATTGTAGACTTCCGGAAGCGATTGAGAGAGGGATGATATAAAGTGTGTGAATGCGGCAAAAGCGTAGATTAACGGTGTGAAAGAGTCCCTCTCGGAACCTCTTTCCCTTCTCACAAACTCTCCTCGTTTCACTTCTTCTATTTTTTTTAACCTATAATTCCCCTTCTCATTTTGTTGTAAGTCTTTTTTTTTTGTAAAAGAGTACCAAGAAGAAAGCTAGAGTTTAGTGACTAATATTTCGAGATGAGAGCAAAAGTATATATTATATAGAAATTTGTGTAAATGGAATAATCGAGACTGTTAAGAGAATTTTTCATCGAGGAAATCCACGGAAGACCGTGAATGCCTCACACTGCAGTGTTTACTAACATTCCCTACAGAGCGACTATATACTTGATTGATATTCTATCTCTTAACTTATTTCATCTTTAAGAGAGGTATTAAAATGGCACAAGAGAAAAAAAGGGTCTGTAGCAGAGCGCATTTCTACTGAGAAATTGAATAAAATGATTGGGAAAGAGAGTGATTACAATAGTTTTCAACCATGCTATTTATGTACTTCTGCCTCCAATGTGAAGTATTTTAAAAATAAAATTTTTTACAAAATTTAAGTGCTGGTCTTTAAAGGGTTGGGCGTTTAAACATTAATCATTAAAATTCTGGAACGAATGATGAAACCATTCCAGCCGCTAGATGGTGCAGCTGGCCTTTGAGGTTAGAAAACGTGTGTGATTTGTTTACAACACGAGGTTTCTCATCTGCTGTGTAGTTTTGTGGCCATGGGGAGTCCCCAATTGACGGAAACCTCAGACACAGAGGCAGAACAGATACCCAGGAAGTCTAGGATTAACTACACTTGTCCCTGGGAGGGATGCAAGAGAGGATTCCGGCGTGAAAATGAATTTGACCGGCACTTCTTCAGTCATACTGGAATTGTGAGTAAAAAAAAAAAGTCCCTCCAGGCGCCCCCGTTTTTCTAGTAAATCGTTGTCAATTGTAGAAAAAATACACCTGCGAAGTGGAGGGATGCACCAAAAGCTACATAATCACTGACCATCTAAGACGACATGTGAAAGCTTCTCATGAAACCATTGGTCCGGAAGAGATTTCCTGCTCAGTGCCTGATTGCACGATGATCTTCACCACTAGGAGCAATATGATGAGGCATTTTAGGAAGAAACATGAGAATCCTCGGGTGTTTAGCTGCTTGGACTGTCAGGAGGTGTTCAGGAGGAAGGATCAGTTGAGGAGGCATCGAATGCAGCACACTGGACAGTTTCCTCACGTCTGTGACGTTTGTGGTAAAGGATTTCTCAATCTGAAGGCTTTCAAATCTCATGGAGTGGTTCATCGACAACTCAAGTGTCCTCAGTGCGAAGTGAAAGTCAACAACTGGACGGAATTGGTGACTCATCGTCGACGAGAGCATCAGAAGGTGTTCAAATGTGCTTCTTGCGATAAGGAATTCCACACGAAGGGCCGCCTGAGGAGTCATGAAGTCACTCATCTGCCCAGAGAACAACAGCCTAGCTTCATTTGTGACTTGTGCGACCGCGAGTACAGCCGGAAATCTAATCTCGCTGCTCACATTCACACAGTTCATGAGAATAAGAAGTTCTCCTGCAATGTGTGCCAAGCTACTCTGTCCACCAACCGAAGGCTGAAGGAGCACATCACGAAAATTCACTCAAAAGAGCCAAAAAAGCCTCGCCAAGCGCCACAGAGACCAAGAAATAGGAGAAAAGATGCAGGAAAATCAAGGATCTCTATGGCTTCCATGCTCGCGGGCGTGTCAGCACCTCCAGAAGTGGAGAAAATGCTGCTGAAGAATGAAGGAAACTGTTTGGAGCTGGATTACTCTCCTGTTCTGCTCAGTGGATCAGCCACTGACACGGAATCTGAGATGGGATTCCCATTGTCAGGCATGCGAGTTACTGTGAAGGGTCATATATAGGAAATGTATCATGAATTGTCCAAAAGAAAAGTATATTTTCAATGAAAAGCTTATGTTTTTAGTTTCACTGGAATTCCATATATTCAAGTTGAATGCTGTGAGTTTTGATTGTGATCCCTGTCACCAGTGGCGCTGTCTGATGACAGCGCGAGTGTGTTTTTTTTGGGTGAGAAAATGAAGTGCGTGTGAGGTTTTCAGTGCATATTTCTTTCATTTCTGCATCATCACGAGCATCTTTCATGCCAAATGTGTTCAGGAAGACTAGCTGGTGAGGTGTAGTGTTGGAAAAGTCACGATGACCTCTAAGATGAGCGGTGAGTTGACTGGAAAAGCGCGTGGGCTTTTGACATGTCACTGATGGGGCGCCTTTCTAATTGTGCCACCCTCATTTGCCACAGGAAAGCCTCCCCTGGCCATGAATAGTGTGGGGGAGAAGAACAAGAAGTGGCAGCTGGAGCTGCTGATGGAGCGTTTGCGGTCGAAGGCGTCCAATAAGTCATTTCCAGAACTGGCCAAGTCTGTTCGGATGGCATTGTTGGTGAGTCTCTGATGGATTCCGGGGAGTCTTCTGGCAGATGATTGACTGATTTGTGGTGACTTGCAGGAGAAGCGGTATGCACTGGATGCCGTGGAGAAGGCGAATCTGCAGAAGTGCTTGGACAGTATGCAGCACTGCATAAAAGTGACCACGCGTCAGGGCCTTGTGGAGCGTCTGGAGAGTCTCACGCGGCAACTGGGACTGAAATTCATGGAGGACTCGTCAGGACTATTCATCTCCTCAGACATGTTCTACTTGGAGATCGTGCTGGACGCCAATGGAGCTGTGCAGGACGTGAAGGTGCATCATGAGTGCAAGATTGAGCAGCAATCCTGCAGTGAATTGGTGAATTGTTTGGTGAATGGAGATTTCGCGGACTTCACCACTCAACTTGAGGGCTTGGCGTCCATTTATCAACTCAACGCTGAGCCCAAGATCAAGAGCAAAGCCTTCGTGGCGCTGCAAGCACTGGAAACCGATCTGTATAATCTGTACAAGCTGCAGAGTTTCTACAAGGATCCCACGGCTCTGCTCCTGCAATCTGCCATTGGTGTGGTGCAGAAGAGACGCGGCGGTCATTCAATGAAGTTGACGTACTTCGTGTCGCCTTATGAGCTGTTGGATGCCGAAGCGAAGACTCTGACGCCTCTCACAGTGGATGGCATTCACTCGCGAAAGCTGGGAACAAGTGTGACGGTGAATCTGGAGGCTTCGGCGGCCAATAAGCTGCAGATTCAGTCGATCCTCACAGTGGCACAGGACGGAGGACCTGTTTACGCACCTCTTGGCACACTCAACTCCACCATGCTGCCCGCCAGCTTCGTGCTGACGCTGAACAAGAAGATGCCCATGACGTTGTCGCTGGTGCAACAGCTGACGCAGATCACCGAGCTGTCTTTTGGTCCTGATCCCACCGCGGCGGAGCCCCTGCTGGGCCTAATCGCTGGCGAGGCGATCGATGGCGAACCTGTGGGCGGTTCTAAAGGCATGTTTGTCACATTGCCGGACCAGAATCACTGCTATTTCCTCACTGAGGGTGACTCGCTGAAGGGAATTGTTGTCGCCAGTGTTCCCTTCACGGAACCCATGCACGTGCCCAAGATCATCAAACTCCTGCGCCAACAAGCGCTATTCAACACTTTCATCTCCAGCTGCATTCGGGCCAACAGTCGTCACGATCCGGACAGCACCACGGTGTTTGAAGTGAGTGCTCTCTCTTGTCAGCACCTCATTGTGTCTCTGGAGCATCCGTATGACGAGTCAATGGCCACGGTGGAGTTCAATCTCACGGACGTGATGAATATTCAGTGTCGCATCTTTGCTCCTGGCAGGACTTATGACAGTTTGAGTGGCAAATTAAGTCGCGTGGCACAGAAGACATTGTCAATTCCCGTAACAATGCGCGCCTTGCTCAAGGCATGGGAGCAAGAGAGTACTCTTCAGGGCCAGAGGGGCTTCGATCAGGGGAATTTTAGTCTTGCGCTCGGCTCCGGTGATCCGGGCAGTCGAAATGGGAGTGTTTCGAATGACTTCAGTAAGTCTTCAGACTCCAAACCAGCGTCCAACGTCAGCAGATCGCTGTTCTCGGACGAAGGGGCGACTGAAGAGGCGGAAGATGCTGTGGGCGATGAGGATGCCGCTGAGGATGGCGCGAGTGGATTTGGCGAGACGGATTTGGATGTGTTTGACGCCGAAGTGGCGGCGGAGGCGCTGAGTGAGGCGGGAGCTTTTCAGGTGGTCACGGCGAGTGACGGGAGTGGGAAGAGTACGAAGAAGCGACGCGTGGAGGAGGATTTTTGGAAGAGCCCAAAGAGTAATGTGCTGGACGAGATGAGTGGGAGCGGCAGCAACAGTGACTCCAACTCTTTGGGCGCTGAATTGGCTGACGGTGGAGTCACGGCGTCCAGCTGGAAGTCCGACGTGGAGGCGACGTCCTTCAACATCAGTCCGTCGCGCGAGCTCGATGGCACGTCGGATGGCGAGGCGGAGACTGAGAGTGGCGATGGGGGCAAGAAGAAGAAGCGCTCCCGCGATGAGAGTGGTGAGAAGAGCCTGATGCCACCATTTGTGAGTATCACGCCCATCTCCACGGCTCCGTCGACGAACTTTAGTTCAGTTCTGGCTGGCATTGGTCTGGACAGGAGGCCAGGAATTGAGATTATTCCGCTGGGAGCGACGCAGAATCTCTCGTCTAGCATCACAATAACGCCCATCAATGCATCGAGTGCGCCCAAGGAGAAGAAGTCTTCGTCGTCGTCATCCAAGAGCTCCTCAAAGTCGTCCGACGAGCGGAAACTGGAGAAGAAGAAGAAGAGGAAGAGGGAAGACAGCCCAATGGGACCACCGGATGCTCTTAATAAGCCAGTGAGTGTAAGCATAAAGGGGTCCGATGGGGCGCCGCTGTCGCCTTCGGGATTGCTAAGGAAATTCTCGTCGTCGTCGCCGAAGCAATCGAGTCCCAAACATTCGGGATTGCAGAGTCCCAAGCAATATTCATCGGCGTCGCCCAAACACAGCAGTGGCACGGGATCTGGGAAGCCGAGCATGTCGGCTCTCAAGTCTGCCACGAGCTCGCCGAGTGGCAAGAGTGGTGGTGGTGAGAAGAAGTCTTCCAGCTCTTCGTCTTCTGGCGCATCGTCGCGGGACAAGGAGAGAAGCGAGAAGAAGTCCAGCCGCAGCGACAGTCCGAAGATGAAGGCGTCGTCGGTGAAGCTGAAGCAGATCGATCTCAGTTCGGCCTTTCAGCTGTCTGGCATGGACGCGGCGGGTTTGCAGGATCTCAACAAGTCCTCGCCGCCAAGTCAGACGAAGAACCGCAAAGGTTTGGGCCTCAGTGCGGTGATTGACAAGCTGAAGCTGGCGCAGAATCAGACGGACGAGCCGAAGGAGAAATCACCGCCGAAGGGGGACGGCGTGTCGCCCACATCGTCATCGTACATGGTGAAGCCGAGTCTGGACGGTATGAAGATCACCATCAACAAGACGCGCAACAAGGAGTCCTCGCCAAAGACCAGCGACTCGAAGTTGGGTCTGAGCGCGAGTTCCGGTGGCGGCAGTGGATCCAATTCACCCAAAACCCACACAGGTGAATTTTCAATCTCTTCCTCTGTAGATGGTACAAAAGGAATTTAGTGCATGAGACTGTTTCTAGAGGTTAATTCATGGTGCTTGTTCCTCTCTTGACGTTTTTTTTTTCATCTTTTGTAGAATAAAAGCACTTTTGACTCTGACTTTCTTTGCCTTTCTAACATAGGACTCTTGTGTTAACCCCTTTAGAGCCTCTTTCCTCGCCAAAAATCTCTCGAAAATTGATGATTGATCCTCATTGAAAGTAGGAAAACTCTTATTCTGATGCTTATCAAAGGGTCTTTTCTTATTGGAATGATGAGAAGAAGATCTAATTTGTAGATGGTAGTGTTGAAGAATTGATTGAAATTGATCCAATTTTATCCAAAGCATTCGTTTGATTCTTCCTTTTTTTCAAATAATAGTCAGACTTTTCAAAAATAAACTTCTTCTGGTCATTTAGAAGTGATAAATAAAGTAATTTAGTTGCTTTAAAGAAGGTAAATCTTAATTGTTGGTTTGCAAACTTTATCTTCTCATAGAATTTCAGTTCTGCCTAGATTGCAAAAGCTAGATTTTTTTTTAATTCCCTTCTTTGCTCATGTTTAATACTCAACTCACGCTCTTGTTCGACACTAAAAACTAATGAAAAAAATAGTCTGTTTGTCAAATTTAAATCATTTTCTCTGTTAGGTAAGTTTTCTGTGTTGAAAACGCCTTTAAACAGACTTTGATGTGATGTTTTTTATTCTTGAACACGGAGAGGGTTAAATCACGGGAATTTCTGGGAATTTGCGAAATCTGAAGAAGCATGAGGTTTTGGTGCATGTGGAGATGCTGAGGAGGAGTCTGGTTGACTCTCAACGTCTTTGCAGGTCTGAAACCTGGCGTCAACAGTGGCCCAGCGTCGAAGAAATCCCAGCAAAACTCCTCCGCCACGTCGAAATCATCTGGCGCGTCAGACTCCAGTCGACCGACCTTCCAGAAGTCCAACTCTTCCGGCAGCTTGTCCAGCTCGTCTAAGGGCGGTGGGAATGGGGGTGGCTTCACCAAGACGAGCTCAGGCAGCGATCTGTCCAAGGCCAGTTCAGTGAATCATGGCTCTGAGGCGGGAAAGCGCGCTGAGAAGTCAAAGGCGCCGTCCAGGAACACTTTCGAGAGTGTCTTCCTGCAGGCCAATCGAGAGGCGGACGCAGTGAAGAAGCTTGCGTTCGGCGGAACGACAATTGAGGGTTTCATGAAGGCGCTGGACAAGAAGTTTCAGATTCCCAAGCTGTCCGCCAGGTCGGCGTCCACGGATGAGGTGAAGAAGGAGATGCGGCCGGCATCGTCGTCTTCGGCGCCCACGACGCCCATTCCGCAGATGATGGCCTCGCCCACGGGCAGCAACAGTGGCTCTGGCAGCTTCCAAGGCGTCAGTGGGGGTGTAACGAAGATGCTGGCTGAGTATCTGACTAAGGACATGCCCGGCAAGTATCCCTTCGGCACGAGCGCCTCGGGCGGCGGCAACACGGGCTCGTCGCCGAAGTACGGCGGTGTCTTCAGCTCTGAGATTTCTCTGGGCAAGAGTCTGAGTCAGGATTCACTGAATCGCGACACTGGCGTGCGATCTAATCCCTCAACACCCACATCCCTCGTAGCGTCGCCCTTTCCCTCGCCAGTGGCCATTTCGCGCTCTTCTGCGGACTCTCCGGCTCATGATTCGAGCAAGTCGAGCCTCACGAAGGACTCCACGAACTCACCGCTGGCCACAATGCGCCCTCCTTCGGCACCGCCGACACCCGTTCAGGCCTCCTCTGGCGACTCCGGAGCACTGGACTTCTCCACACGCGCTCCTCCGCCGCCCACGAAGACTTCCTCCTCCATTTCCACCTTCCCGCCGTCGCCTAGCGTTTCGCTGCACATCGTCAAGTCGCCAGTTCCGTCGCCGCTCGTCATCCCGTCGCCCCACTCGGGCTCGCCGTGCATCACAGACGACGAGCTGATGGACGAGGCGCTGGTGGGCATCAGTGGCAAATGACACTCCGCCTCCCAGTCCACATGCCTCGTGCTCGAGATCAGCCTGAGTTTCGCCGCGGCGCGGCACACAAGCGTTTCACACATAAGTTATAAAGTACAAAATATGCTATTTAGGAGTGAGCGTGGCCGAAGAGTGATGGAAGCGTGACGAGAGGAAGAGAGAGAGAGAGAGAAATAGAGATGTCCATATTTTTTTGGAGAATTGAGAGATGAGGATAGAATCTTGAAAAGACTCTCCAGTTGAAGCGAATCTTGACGTTATGAATTGTCTTGTAGAACAAACACACATTTTTTTTTACCCTCCTCTAAATTATTATTATTTTTTCTTCTTCTATCAATTGATTCACAAGAACAATTTCAAAAAATGAGATTTTCTCCTTTTGTTTGCTGTATTCCTCGCTGTAATCGCCGTATTTAGTATTGAAATATATTAATTTTAATCAATCACATACCCAAAAGTGTTTTTTTTCTTTTTCTCCTGGGGTGCAAAAAAGTTCACAGATTGAAGCTCAATAAAGCCAGCATTTTGTGTCATTCTTTTGTAACCTTTTATTTATTCTTCATTTCCAAAAAAGAGCTAGATAGAAAATTAAATGTCAATCTTCAATGCTATTGGAGAAATGCCGTCTTTTTTTCTATTACATGATTTATAACACCTCATTATGCCTTGTGTGAAAGCAATTCCTTTTGTCAATTCATTGTAACTGTTGCTATATATAGTCAATTGCTTGTCTCCCCGAACTCAGCTAAAACACGCTCCTATTCGTAGTGAAGTAGCATTTAAAAACTTGATTTTAAGGTCCAAGAAAAGAAAGAAAACAATTAACACTCCACCTACCAGAGATTCTACAATATCTCACTGAGAATTTCCAAGAGAATTCAATTGACTGATTTGTGCAAAATATTCAAAAGTTTCAAATTCACCATTTTTTTTTTATTATAAATAGTGAAACTACAAAGATGAGACGAATTATATGCAAGATTTTGGATTGATTCGCCGAAGAAGCATTTGAATTCATTTAGAATACAAGCCTGAAATTTAATGACGACGGCTCAAGCTGAAAAAATTTAATAGGATTTGGCTGTAGATTTAGGCATTATAATTGGCACAATTTGACACACTTATGCTAATGATGCTCAACATACAGTTTTGCTAATTGTTTTTCACCTACACAAATATCTATGATCTGAACTTTATGGAAAGTTCCTGCGAAAAACCTCAATGAAACATTTTTTTTCTTCAATCATGCAAATACATTGAGTGGAGTGTTAATATGCAAATAAAGTGAAAGAAAAAACGCCTATCGAGCCAATTAGAGAACCAAAAAAATATATAATTTTCTCTTCTCCTTTTTTTATTTTATAAATTATACAGAAAGAGTCATATTTCTTAGAGAATCTTCAAACAGAAGAATTCAAAATTGTGATTCATCAATTTTGCATTTCTCCTCTGACATTATAATTCATCAAAGTTCATTTCCTCCTTTAAATATATTTGCTGTGGGATTTTATGGAAAAAAAAACATAACGAAATGGGATTATAATACTCGGTTAATTTTCATTATTGAACTCCATTAGAATGAGAATTCCAGTTGAAAACAGGGATAGCGATTGGGCGCGTGGACGCCACACTGGGCCGCCGTTCGTCCCTTCGTGAGACGTTATCAGAGCCGCAGAAGTAATGAAATGATAGTAGAAAGTACGTGAAGAGACGAAAATACTCACGCGGCCGCTTAGTCATTCTGTGCCGCCGCGGTGGCGCTCCTCGTCGGCCCCTGGTAGCCGCCGGCGGGACGCGAGGGCCTATTGTCGCGTCTGTTCGAGTGGCTGCGCTCACCGCGAGGTCCCATCGACGAGCGCGCCGAGCGGCCCTTGAAGGTGCTGCCGCCATTCCCGCCGCCGTTGTGGAAGCCTCCGCCGCCGTTCTGATTTTGGTAGTAGTTGGGGTCATTGTTGCGATAGAATGTGCCGCCGCCGCTGCCGCCGCCTGAGCGATTGGCACCACCGCCGTTCTGGTGGAAGCCGCCGCCGTTGCCACTCGGCCTGCCCGATCTGTAGCCCATGTTGTGCACGCCTCGACGACGCGGATGTCCTGTCGCATAGCCGCGGCGGCTGTTGTATCCGCCCGACTGACTTCCCTCCGCCTGCCACGAGCCGCCGAACTGGTTGTCGCCGCCAGCCGAGTCCGCCGGATTCCACTCCTTGCTCGGCTCCACAACCTGCTCCGCCCAGTCGGTGCTCTCCTCCGGCGGCGCCTTCTTCGTCACCGCCGCACTCTCCTCCGGCTTCCACTCGCTGATCGTCAGCTGCTGCTCCTCCACCGCCGCCGCCGGCTCCTCCTGTCGACTGGGCGGCGCTGGCTTTTCTGGCTGAGCCACACTCGGCATCACCGGCTGACTCGGCGGCTGTATCATGACAGATCGATTCTCAGCTGCGAATTGCTGACCCTGTTGTCCATGAGCCGGCGAAATGGCGCCCCCAGCCGGCACGGGTTGAACTGGCTGAGAACCCGCGTTCGCCGGCGGCAATGGACGAGTTGCTGCAAAGCCAGGAATATGAACAGCGGCTGAAAGAGAGAGAGAGAGAGATTGAAGATGTCTATGAATTTGTTTAATCTCCCAAAGAAGTTCCTAAAAGCATTCCTTCTTGTCCTTTTTCTCTTTCACCAATTAATTTCTGACTGACTAACTTCCTAAAGTCCGCATTAGAAGTGCTTGAGTTGTGAAATTCCATAGCAAGTGACCCAATTTGCTGCCTTCCAAAGATAATTTCTACCTAGCAATACAGCAAGTTGAGAACGATTCAGTGAATTTCCCTTGACCCAAAGATTCACCCACAAAGCAGCTTTCAAAGGAATGCCATTCAAAAGCATTCCCATTGACAGCGCCATTAATGTATGTGCGCTGCCTGAATAGAATTCCACAGAATTTTCGCTCACCTGCGAGATGTTCCGGAGGCGGAGGATTGGCTGTGAGTGGTGCATTGACGACGGTCGGCGGCTTCATGCCCGGATAGACATTCTGCGGCGCCACCATGGGAAAGTTCTGATTGGTGAAGGTCTGCGTGGCGATGGGCACGGCCGGCGGTTGCATGTGGGCCGGCGGCACCGTGACGGGCGGCGCCACGGACGTGATCACATCCGGTGAGTCCAGCTCGGAGTCCTGGAGGAAGAAGTAGGTGCTGCCGCCGATGATGTCAGAGATGGGCCTCATCTGCTGCATGTACTGCTTCTGGTGCTTGAAGTAGTTCTGCTCCATGGCGCGCATGTGTTCGGCATTCATCAGGGGACTGGCCATGCCCACCAGCGGCGGCGTGACCGTGCTCATCACAGACGCCGGGATGATGGTCGTGATGGGCTGTGGCATCAGCATTTGCGGCACCAGAGGCGCCGCCGTCTGGGGCAGCGCGGCTGGAGGCAGCGGCTGAGCTGGCTGTGTCATGGGCTTCTCCTCCACCTTCGGCGGCTCCTCCTCCTCCACCACCGCCGTCGGACTCTCCACACCATTCTTCACCACCTCATCCACTCCGGGCTTGTCCTTGTCCGTGCCTGCAAACTGTTTGTCAAAGTAGCCAGAATTTTGCACCACCTGCAGAATGTTGCGGACGCGCTCGTAGTTTGTATCGCAGAAGGACTTTGGCTTCCCATCCACCGTGGAGATGAGGTGATCGGCCGCCTTCTGGGCGCACGCCAGGTAGCTTTCGAGATTGGATCCGGGCACGCGCTTCACCGTTGAATTGTCGTACAGCTTGTCCAGCAGATCCAACTCCTTCTTCTCCAGCTTTGCCGCCCCATTCGAGCCCGTGAGGAAGTCCTCACGCGCCTGCTCATCACGGAGATTCTCCAGTGTGTCCTGAATTATCAGCACTTCCTTCACCTTCGTCACCTCATTCTGGATGCGATTGGCAGTTTCCTGCAAGAGAGACACACTTGTAAGGCAGACATTCGGCCGGGTTCTCCACTCCACACATCCTCACCTTCCTGGCCACTTTCTTCTGATCCTTGTCCCACATGGCCGAGATCGCGTGGACCTGCTTGAAGAGCTCCCTGGCAAAGTCCAGACACTGTGTGACTTCATCGTACTTGGAGACGGCGATCTTCTGGTCCGTGGTCAAGTCCTTGCCCGACTTCTGCAAATCCCGATAAGACTCCAACTTGCCCTGCAAGCCAAACAACCAAACAGCTTGTGGGAACGGTAGAAAAAACACCCGGAAGGCACATGTTAATATGGCGTCCAAGGCGGACAAAGAAACCCAAGCGACTCAGGGAAGAAAATTCCACCACTGCCCACAAACACACTCCGCAACATAATAGCTGGGGACTCTGTGGAGTGTTTGGTTTTGTTGGGGACGCGCTCCAAGAGGGCGGAATCGCAAAATGTACAAACCTTCCTCTTCTCCAAGTTGCGAATCTTGTGCTCCACCGCCACAATCACTTGGCGAATGGGAGCACCATTGTCCACCAATTGCACCTCGGCGGAGGCGCGTTTCTCTATTTTTGCACAGGAAGGCATCTTATTTCCCACGGAAAATCTCCACTAAAACGTGCCGTAAACGCAAAAAATGTCCGACAGATGTTGACACGAACTGACACTCGCTGCCCAATAAAGCGTTGTCTGCACGTGAAATGCTGTAAGTGCGAAAAGTCCCACGAAGTGTCTTTTCGCTTGATTTCTTGTCTTTTTCCTGATCACTATGCCCACAGAAGATTGAAAATTGATGCCCTCAAGTGTCTGTAGATGGTTAATTAGATGATACTCCCTCAAATTATCTCGCTTTTTCTCAAATTGACAAAATCGCAGTTTTCTCTGACATGCTGTCACAGCATACTGCCATCTCGTTCTTGCACGTCGCTGAGTTGGAAGTTCGTGGGAAAAGTGTGTTGCTTTGCGGAGTTTTATTGCAGGATTTCCCCAGATAAATCGTGTAAAAAGGTGAAATTCCGAGAAATTCTAACATGTAGGAGTCTGAAGTGTGTGCAGTGATAAAAATTGTGCGTGAAAAGTTGGTGAAAAAGTGTGAAAAGTGAGGTGGAAAAATGGCCCCACCAGGTAATGGGATTTTCGTGGTCAGGGGCGAATTGTCCACCCTGACAACAGCCATGAGACGTGGGGCGCGCTGGAGTGGCAGCAATTCCTACCAGGTGAGCCCCATCGACTTTCGCGGACACGCAGCGCAGCGCCCTAACTTGACGTGTCACTTTTGCAGGATGAGGAGCAAGACGGTCTGCTGAAGCCACTGCACGAGCTGAAGAACATCCTCATTCAGAGTGAGGATTTGCGCCTGATCGACCCCAATGTGTTCCTGAGCCCCTTTCTGGACATCATCAAGTCGGAGGAAACCACTGGTCCAGTGACAAGTTTGGCCCTGTCGGCTGTTAATAAATTTCTCTCTTACGGACTGATTGGTGAGCCTTTGTCCAGGCTTCTGGGAGATCAGGCTTATTCATCTCTGGTGTTTCTTGCAGATCCCACGCACGTTCATATTGCCACAACTGTGGAAAACATCGCGGATGCCGTGACCCATGCGAGATTCGTAGGCACTGACCAGGCTTCTGACGGTGTGGTGCTTATGAAGATCGTCCAGGTGCTGCGCACACTGATGCTGAGCCCCGAGGGCAGTGCTTTGACCAATGAGAGTGTGTGCGAGGTGATGCTGAGCTGCTTTCGGATCTGTTTTGAGCCACGACTCAATGAGCTGCTGAGGAGAACAGCCGAGCAAGCTCTGAGAGACATGGTCTTGCTCCTGTTCATGCGTCTGCCGCAATTTGTAGAGGATCGGCAGCCCTTCAATCTGGCGAAGAAGCTGAAGATGATCGCGGGCAGTGACGGTGGCCAGAAGAAGAGGAAGAGCAAGACAGTGCCGAAGATTCCTAAAGTCACTGCCTTGAAAGCCGAAGAAGGTGAGCAGGAGCCCATTAGTCCCACAGGAATGACACTGAAACCACCGCCTCTGGCCACCACACCGGCCACTCCTGCTGGGAATATCGTGGACATGCGAGGGAAGATTGCCGAGACGCCAATTTCGTCCCTTATTCAAACCCCAAAGCGTCCAGAAGATCCTGAGACGCCGGAAGTAGTCGCTGAGGGAGAGAATGGGAAAGAGACTGAGTCTCTGGATGAGGAAAAGATGCCACTGAATCGTCATGAGAGTGTCGAATGCGAAGCTGATGTGGAAGATGAACCGGATGAGGGAAAAACTGTGAAATCCCGTGAGGAATATGTGAATTCTGTGGGTGTGAGATTCACTCAACAGCGCAGCATCACGACAGTCCTTCTCCCATATGGACTACCGTGCATTCGGGAGCTGTTTCGCTTCCTCATCTCACTCTGCAATCCGCTGGACAAACAGAACACCGACATTATGATGCACATGGGCCTAAATCTCCTGACAGTCGCTCTGGAGATTGGCGCTGACAGTATTGGGAACTATGATTCTCTTCTGGTGCTCGTGCGGGATGACATGTGCAGGAATCTGTTTGCTCTGCTCAACACTGAGCGTCTCACCATCTTTGCGGCGGATCTGCAGGTGTGCTTCCTGCTCTTTGAATCCCTCAGAGGTCACCTGAAGTTTCAGCTGGAGTTCTATCTGACCAAATTGGCGGAAATCATCGGCAGCGAGAATCCACGGATGCCGTACGAGATTAAGGAGCTGGCCCTGGACAATATGCTGCAACTGTGGCGCATTCCGGGATTCGTGGCGGAGTTGTACATCAATTTCGACTGTGATCTTTACTGCACGAATCTCTTTGAGGACATCACAAAGCTCCTGTCGAAGAACAGTCTGTCCGCCACTCAGGCCATCCACAGCACTCACATTCTCTCCCTGGACGCCCTGCTGACGATTCTGGAGGCCATCAAGAGGAACTGCGTGGCCACGAAGGCGGGAAATACAACTACAGTTTCGAGTAAGACAGATTTTTCCTTCATAAAGTCATAATTATGGATTTTCACAGCAATTCCTCTTTTCAGGACACTCGAGAAACAATTCCAGCTGCGAGAGGATTGTGATTGAGAGCGATGTGAATCAGAGTGGAGCCGAGAGTTCAGCTGTGGAGGTGGAGAACATCAGTAACTACATTAATTTGTCTCAGCTGGAGCGATATCATCGCAACTGTGAAGAAGATGCACCCGTGAGTCACGATCAGTTGGCGAAGTTGAAGAATAAGAAGCGGATTCTGTCCCAGGGAACGGAGCTGTTCAATTCGCGTCCTGAGAAGGGAATTCTGTATCTGCAGGAGAATGGATTGCTGAATCCTGTGCTGGATCCGAGGGAAGTGGCGCACTTCTTGCGCGAGAATTCGGGACTGGACAAGAAGATGATTGGCGAATACATAAGCAAGAAGAAGAATGTGGAGAGTAAGATTCTGGAGACATTTGTCAAGTCCTTTGACTTTACAAATTTGCGAATTGATCAGGCGCTGAGATTGTACTTGGAGACGTTCAGATTGCCGGGTGAGGCGCCGCTGATCTTTCTGGTGATGGAGCACTTTGCTGATCATTGGCATCAGTGCAATGGAGAGCCTTTTGCCAACACCGATGCGGCCTTTAGGCTGGCGTATGCGATCATAATGCTGAACATGGATCAGCATAACTACAATGCCAAGCGATTGAACATACCCATGACGGTGGATGACTTTCTGAAGAACCTGAGGGGACTGAATGGCAATCTGGATTTCGATCAGGAGATGCTGGTCAGTGTGTACAATTCGATCAAGAGCGAGGAGATTGTCATGCCGGCCGAGCAGACGGGCATTGTGAGGGAGAACTACTTGTGGAAGGTGTTGCTGAGGCGTGGCTGTGGCCGCGATGGGCAGTTCCACCATGTGGCAGGAGCCGCACACGATAGAGAGCTGTTCAGGATTGTGTGGGGACCAACATTGGCGGCACTGAGCTTCATGTTTGACAAATCCAGCGATCCCAGCATCAATCAGCGCGCCATTCGTGGATTCTCAGCTTCGGCGAACATCTCTGCGCACTACAGTCTGCACGAGGATTTTGACGCCCTCGTGCTCACACTGTGCAAGTTCACCACGCTGATCAGTGTGCCGGAGGATGCCAATGAGATTGGAACGAGTGTGGCTTTCGGGCAGAATGTGAAGGCGCAATTGGCGCTGAAGTGCACCTTTGGGCTGGTGCACGAGCACGGAGACACGATGAGGGAGAGTTGGAAGAATATCCTGGACGCTATGGCGCAGCTGTTCAAGCTGAAGCTCCTGCCGAAAGGATTGATGGAGGTGGAGGACTTCTGTGAGGCGTCAGGACGTGTGGCTCTGGTGCATGCGAAACCGCAGCTGGTGAAGTCAGATGCTGGCCTCCTCAGCAGTCTGTACTCGTATCTCAGCTCGGATAGCCAGCGACAGCCGTCTTACGAGGAGCAGGAGATCATAAAGGTGTCCAGGAAGTGCACCAAGGAGTGTCAAGTGGATCAGATCATCACGGAGTCGAAGTTTCTGCAGTTTGAGTCACTGCAGGAGCTTCTCAAGTGTCTCTTTGGGTGCATCAAACCGCCAGAGAGTCACAAGTCTGTGGGTGTGTCATATCCTGAGGATGTCACGGTGTTCCTCATGGAGCTCTCTGTGCGTATTCTGATCCACAACAGAGACAGATTGCTGCCACTGTGGGAATCGTGTCGGGAGCCACTTTATCAACTCCTGATCGGTGCGGCAAAGTGTGGCTATGATTATCTGCTGAATCGCACCATTGTAGCCATTCTGAAGTTGGCTATCTATCTGATGAGGAATGAGGAACTTTGTCCAGTCGTCTTGCAGAGTCTGAAGAGTATTCTTACACTGAAACCACGTGTGATTTTCCGCATCTCCAGGCAAATCTCGACGGGAATCTATGAGTTGCTGAAGACAAGTGCTCAGAATATCCACACAGAGGCCGATTGGGCGATTATCTTCACACTGCTGGAGTGTGTGGGAGCGGGAGCAGTGCTGGTGGAGTTTGAAGAGGCATCAAATGCGGTGAATGGCACGAAGTCCGATGGAGCGCTGAGCAGTGAGGATGATTCGGGGCTTCCGGATCGTGGCTACACATCAGACTCCGAGGTGGGAAAGAGTGGGCAGTTGTCCACGACCAGCACGCCTCTGATCAGTCCCACGAGTGCAGAGAACTGGATTCTGGTGAACAAGGATGCGGCTGATGTGCAGATGGCGAGGCCTCTGTCGCCCATCAACACGTTGGCCTACACGTGCAAGCTGGTGGAGCACAGTCCGGTGGCGCTGGTGAAGTGCTGGGACAGTTTGGCGTTCATTGTGAGGAATGTGGCGCACATCACGCCGTACAACTTCGAAAGCTGCGTGAGGTGCATGAGAACCTTTGTCGAGGCATCGTTGAATGGCGGGCAGAAGACGCTGAAGGCGAAGGCGAAGAAGGCAGCGGCGCGGAGGGACAGGAAGCGCGATGAGAGCACGGATAGTGAGGAGGAAGAGATGCCCGAGAGGTATCCAACCATAGCTATCCAGTTGCTGGATCTCATGCACACTCTGCACACGCGGACGGCGCAGATCTTCCGCTGGTGGGCCGAAGAGGGTGGCGTTCTGCCGCATGGCGGAGCCTTGTGGGCGCAGGGATGGTGTCCACTGCTTCAGGGCATCGCCAGATTGGCCACAGATCAACGCCGGCAAGTGCGCACGAGTGCCATCACGTGTCTCCAGCGAGCTCTGCTGGTGCACGATCTGCAGACATTGAGCGGCCCAGAGTGGGCGGGATGCTTCAAGCAGGTGCTCTTTCCACTCCTGTCGGACCTCCTGGCGGAATGTCCAGCGCCCAGCGATCCCAGCCTACTGGAGGAGAGCCGCATGAGGACGGCGACGATCATGTCGAAGGTCTTCCTGCACCATCTCACGCCACTCATCGGCCTGGTGGGCTTCGCTGAGCTGTGGCTGGAGATTCTGGACTACATTGAGCGCTTCATGAAGGTGGGATCAGACATGCTGCACGAGGCGATGCTGGAGAGTCTGAAGAATATGCTGCTCGTGATGCACTCCGTGAGAGTGTTTCACGCTGCCGATGGTGTGTCTCATGCTCCACTCTGGGACGTCACCTGGTCGCGCATTTCCCTCTTCCTGCCGCACCTCAAGGAGGAGCTGTTTAGGGATGATAGTGAGTCTCTTTCACAGTCAATACTGTTCTCCTCAACTAATCAGTGAATCTTTCAGCTATTCCAGCTGCCACAAATGTTCAGCCTCTTCAGCAGAGTCCGGTGGACAGTATTCCTACTCCGCCGAAGACCAGCATCATCCTCCAGCCGCCGGTGCTGAACCAGGAAGCGCCTCCGCCAGCGATTCCCCTCCTCGTTGGACGGGTGAGTGTCGGTAGTTTTAAGTGAAAGCATTCGGAAAAGCTTGCTTTCGGAGCCTCTAAAGCTTATAATTGGCCTGTGACTCTCTTTCGTTATGCAAAGCTGGTCCCGAGGAGCCCTAATTTTCCTAGAGATTGAGGTAAAATTGGAGCTTTACTCCTGGAATTGCTTCTTAAAAGAAAATCCCTTCTTTTTCTTCTTTTAATTTGTGAATTCAAAAAACCTGAGTAATTTGGGGCTTTGTTTCCTTTTCAGGCATGTCCAACAGTGACGGCGGCCCCAGTTCCCATCCTTGTGCCCAAGGCGCCTTCCCTGCAACAGCCAGTGACTCCACCTCAGGTGGCGCAGGACAGTCAGCCCTTTGTCAATCCTGACTTCTCGAACGTGATTGAGCTGCCCGTGACCCCGAGTCCGCCACTTGCGGAGCCCGGAGTGCCGCTAAGTCACTTGCTGGCCGGCAATCAGTATCCCAGCCTCACGAAGGTGCCACCGAACATCGCCCAGAGCTTTGCGCCAGTCTTCGTGCAGCCGCAGAACATGCAATCTGAGACGGACATCTACAGTGACTACGTAAAGAATCCCTACAATCTGACGCTGCAGGGTGAGGCTGAGGCGCCGCCGCCGTCGCAGGAGCGACAAGAGCGGCCGGAGACGAGAGTCCTGGGCTCTGAGGGTAGCTCCAGGGAGTCCAATGTATTCCAATCGGCCAACTACTTTGGCAACGACACCGGAGTCATTCCGCCGGGGTCCGAGGTGTTCTTCGGGGGGCCCTAGAGGGTCTCTCGCCCGGAATCGTCGAGTCATGCAATTTATCTGTTGCTAGATTTTTAATTTTATTATGTTATACTGTATTATTGAGTAAATTATTGGACGAATTGGACATAATAAATCAAACTAATCATTTTGTGGTAGAACTGGTGCTTTTTATTATCGGGATTCGGCTTCTTTTCCCAGAATTCTCAGAACTTCCTCGACACTTGTGCTGCCCTTGGCCAAAATGACGACCTTCTGGCGGGACTTTGAGCCCCTGTCGAGACTCACATCGCTCTTGCGGACAGGAAGAATGTCCGCCAGGTACTTGAGAAGTTCCGTGTTGGCCTGACCCTCGACAGGAGGAGCTGAGATCTGAATTCCGACACCATCTTCACCAATATCCGTGATTTGACTGTGTTTCGCGCCTGGTTTTGCATTCACTCGAATGCAAATGCAGCCATTCTTGTCTGTGGTCACTGGACAGCTTTGCTGGCTGGTGTTCTGGGCTTCCTGGTCACAGGAAGAGCCCTTTTTCTGAGACTTCTTGGCTTTGGACGACATACTGGCGAGGCTGTTAAATTTCTGTAGATTCCAAGATATTCTGCCGATCATGAAAATTCATGTCATTCAAATTCACTACACATTTTCTGATATTTTCCAGAGAAAAATAAAGAAATTCTGGAAAATTTACACTTTCTGAAAGCACGTCAAATTGTAAACAAACCCAGCTGTTCAGTTCTCGGCCGCCTCGCGATAAGTGCGACTTTCGTTAAGTTTTGTCCCATTACGGGGTAATTTTTCATCGATACTGATCGACACCGAATGGAAGAATGGTGGGAATTCCCGCTCTTTTCAACTTCCTAGTGTTTTCTTCGCAGTATTGCAGTTTTGAAAATGTATTGTGTTAAATGAGAAAGTGTGTTGGTTGAATGCAAATTGAGCTTGCGCGCTTTATCGGTTTTCTGTTCTGCTTCCTCAACATCCAAGAGCTTCATATTCTCGGTTGCAAAATTGACATTTCAAGAATCTAACGAAAGAGACATCTAAAAACTTAAAACTGGAAAAGTGCCTCAATCGATGTTGCATTTGAATTAATATAGTGAGTGTGTAAAGCGCAATTATCATAATAATTACCCTTCTATAAATACAATTGGTGTTCTGACTCGTTGCAGAAACATCAATTTACTCTTTCGCATGCTACGTCACCGCTCTCTTACTTTCTCTCTCTCTCTTCCCTCTCTTCAGCATAACTTTCGATGCGAGCTTGCGAACTGTACAAGAAACCAAAGTACCAGTGACTCGTGAGCACTCACGAGTGAAGCCACACGAGTCACACGATTCCGCTGTTCATCATGAGTCCGGAAAACGGCAATATTGTTAGTGAAAGTGAGGCGATAAATATTGAGTTTCTCAACATATGCTATTCTGTTTGTACACGTAAGAGAGGTAAACTCATATTTTATCATTTATCTATCGAATTATCATTCGAAAAATTAATTCTTGTGAGTTGCAGATGTTAAAACGGAAATTCTCAAAGGATTGTCAGGGAAGTTCGAGGCAGGAAGAATGTGTGCAATTATGGGTCCTTCGGGAGCGGGCAAAAGTTCCCTCATGAACATTATTTCTGGCTTCAAAACCACCTTTGACGAGGGTGAGATTTTGATAAATGGCCAAATTTGCAGTGTAAATGAATTTAGGAGGAAATCATGCTATATTCTGCAAGAATTTGCCTTGCACAGCAAATTGACGGCAAATGAAACATTAAAATTCGCCGCTGAACTGAAACTTCCAGCGAAAGTGAGTGAGAAGGAGAAACTGAAGATTGTCCATCATGTGCTGAACATCTTGGGATTGGATAGAAATGCCAATACTCATGTGGATAAATTGTCTGGTGGCGAATGCAAACGTCTCTCAATTGGCGTTGAATTACTCACAAATCCGCCAGTCATGTTCTTGGATGAGCCAACAAGTGGCTTGGACAGCGTGTCAGCAGTTCAGGTAAATATGCTGCTCTTCAGCTTCAATCTCAAATCACATCTCAAACTTCTCTTTGGTCAAAGGTTGTTTCTCACCTGAGAGATTTGGCACGAGCCGGCAGAACGATCGTTTGTGTGATTCATCAGCCTTCATCGCGACTTCTTGAGTTCTTCGACGATCTCTATGTGATCTCCAATGGGCAGTGCATCTACAGTGGATCTGTGGAGAAAATGGTGGGAAGTTTCCAGGAATCTGGCTTCGAATGTCCTCTGTACTACAATAGGGCGGATTTCGCCCTGGAAATCGCCGCTGGTGAGCGACCAGGAAATCTCAATGCTCTGATCCAGAAGAGCATCCGAAAGGCTCCCAGTGATGTCCAGGACGGAAATTGTCAAGATAACCGAGAGCTCTCTGAGAGAAGTGAGTAGATTTAATCGTTTGTTGAATAATAAATAATTACTATCATATTTTATTTCACTTGCATTGTATACAATTATATTTCTATCTTCTGTCTTTTCTTCATTAAATGCGTATCTCTTGATAAATCTCGATGATAACTAATTTATTTTTAGAATCAATTTTTATTGTCAGGCAACGCTATTAAATATCCATTTCTATTTCTAGGTCAAATGCTCCAAAAAACTCCAATTTTATCAAGCAATCCCAACAATCATGACGGAAAGAACGCAATTTCTCAATGGAGACAATTTTCCATCCTACTCAAGAGATCTTTCATTTGCATCGCGCGAGAAAGTGTAAGCAAAAGATTTTTTTTATTGCTTCGTGTGTAACAAAAGTCACTTCAATCGTGGTTCTTTTTCTTGCAGATTATTACACAACTTAAGATAGCAACGCATCTTTTTGTTGGTTTGCTGATTGGTGGCATTTTCTACAATATTGGCAATGATGGTGCGAAGGTTTCGGCAAATATTTCTCTTCTATTCTTCATTATCATGTTTATTTTCTTCGGGAATTCTATCCAATATGTCCTGCTTTGTGAGTCGTAATGCTTTTATTTGGTGTGTTCTTGAATGTATTTTCATTGTGGTTTTAAATCATTCAGATCCAGTGGAATCCAGAATATTCTACAGGGAATACTTGAATAATTGGTACGGATTTTTTCCGTATTTCTACTCCAAAATCGTGGCTGAACTTCCGTGCTTGATGATCTCAACTTTTGCCACTCTTCTTCCTGTTTACTACATCACAAATCAACCAATGGAGCTCGAGAGATTCCTCCTGTTTGCCAACATTTACGTCCTCACCACGATTATTTCCCTCTTTTCCGGACTCGCGGTTGGCGCTCAATTCAGCACTCAAGTGGCAGTTTTCATGATGCCCGCCTTCGGAATGCCTCTGATCGTCTTCTGCGGCTACTTTATTCACTACAGCGAATTACCATCTCTGCTGCAGCCACTGACCTTCATCCCATTCTTCAGATACATCTTCGAGGGATCCTTTCAGGCAATTTACGGCTTCGGACGCAAGAGTCTCGACTGCCATCAGGTGTTCTGCTACTTCAGATCAGTGCCGAAGATCCTCGAGATGATGGACATGAAGGAGAACACTTACACGTTAGATCTGCTTGGGATTCTCGTGTGGATTGTCCTGTTCAAGATTTTACTTTATATCGTGTTGAGGATGAAAATAAGAAAGTTTACAGTGTAGCTGAAGCTTTTGAAATCTCAGCGCCGCGTCGTTAAGTTTCTGCGCGCGTGTTTGTGTGTGTCAACAATCTGTGCGACACGTGCTTTTTTCCATATTGCATTTTCTTCAGAATTTTCGTGTTTTTCTTTCTCTTCACATTCCCCGGGAGTATATTTGGGACAAAATGGAGACGCAACTTAAGGAGGTGGCACTGAAATTGCACGAGATTGGTGCCGTGAAGTTCGGGGAGTTCAAGCTGAAGACCGGTCGAATGTCACCTGTTTACTTCGACTTGAGGGTCATCGTGAGCTACACAGGAGTCATGGTGAGGCACATGGGGATGTGGAGAATGACCCGGAAGATAGTGTGTTAATCGTACCTTGTTCTCGGGTGTTCAGAAATCCTTGGTGAATCTGCTGATTGAGGTTATCAAGAGAGAGGAAATCGATGCCAAATACGTCTGCGGAGTGCCTTACACTGCCCTTCCTGTGGCCACTGGTGTCTGCTGGGAGTCCAATCTCACTATGCTGATGCGTCGGAAGGAGAAGAAGGACTATGGGACGAAGAAGCTGATTGAGGGACACTTTGAGCGCGAGGAAAACTGCCTAATTGTTGAAGACATCATCACGTCAGGCGGAAGTGTCTTGGAAACAGCTGACGATTTGAAGGCTGAGGGTCTGCTCGTGACCACAGCCCTGGTGATCATCGACAGAGAGCAGGGAGGCAAGACCAGACTGGCTGAGAAAGGTATCGAGAGCTTCTCTCTCTACACGATGTCCTCATTCCTGGACATTCTGCACAAGGCGGGAAAACTTCAGGAAGAAACTGTCCAGTCTGTGCTGAAGTACATTGAAGAGAACAGATTCCCACCATCAGCTGCTGTAGCTGAAGCTCCAGTTGATCGGCTGAAGATGTCTTTTGCTGAGAGAGCTACTCTGGCGAAGAATCCTGTGGCAAAGGAGCTCTTTAGACTGATGCAGACGAAGCAATCCAATCTCTGCCTGGCAGCTGACCTCACGAAGACTGCAGACATTCTCAATCTAGCCGCCGAAGTTGGTCCCTTCCTCTGCCTCCTGAAGCTCCACGTGGACATAATCAAGGACTTCTCAAAGGACTTCATAGCGTCACTCAAGCAATTGGCGCAGAAGCATCGATTCCTGCTGATGGAGGATCGCAAATTTGCCGATATCGGCAGTGTTGTGGAGAGTCAGTATCAGGATGGCGTGTATGAGGTGTCTTCTTGGGCTGATGTGGTCACTGTGCATGCTCTTCCGGGTCCTGGCATCCTTCAGGGCCTGCGGAAGGTGATGAAGGGCACAGAAGAGAAGCGGGGAATGTTCATCCTGGCGCAGCTCAGCTCTGCCGGCGCTCTCACCACTTCTGCCTATGCCCAGGACGCTGTGAAGCTCACTGAGGGCTTTGAAGACTTCCTCACGGGTTTCGTGTGCCAAGACGGAAGTCTTCTCAAAGCCCATCCGGGCGTCATTCAACTGACGCCGGGCGTGAAGATTGAGGGAACCGGCGATGGCCTCGGGCAGCAGTACAACACACCAGCAAAGGTGATGGGAGAACTTGGAGGCGACATTGCTGTGGTCGGGAGAGGCATTTACGAGGCGAAGGATGCCGTGAGTGCGGCAGAAATCTATCGCACCACTCTCTGGGACGCATATTCCAAGAGGATCCACTGAAATCCTAACATTCCTGCTGAATAATTCCCCTTTTTTTCAAGCAATAAAATACACTACTTGTGATGGGAAATCTTGCCAATCTTGAGAAGTGCCAAAGCTGTGCTGGTTCCCAGCTCTCCAGCCAAGCTCTTCTGTCCCTTCTCAATGTGTTCGTGCGAAGTCTGAACGATCAACTTGAGGATTTTCACCTCCTGCCGAATCTCCTCGAGTTGCTTCTCCAACGACGACACTTTATCTCTGAAGTGTTGCCTTCCATGGCGAGCGAACAGAAGTTTGTGCAAGTGCTTGATGGACTCCTGAATGCGTTGAGCCTCAAAATTCTCCTCAGCTATGAAATCCTTGGTCGTCTTCAGGACTCTCTCCCACCTCAGGGAGTTCTGCTTGAGCCGCAGACAATTCTGCTCCAGCTCAGACAAGCGATTTATGTATCCCAGAATCGTGGCGACTGAATCTCCAGTGATTCTCACGAGATTCCTCTTCAAATTGTCAATTTCCCGCAATTTCTCCTTCTCAATCATGGAAATCTCTCGCTGAGCGTGAAAGAAGGCATCGCAGATGGACATCAAGTCGTCAGGTGAGGAGAATTGGGTGGAATCTTCAGCTGCGAGTTCCACAGCCTTCTCGAAGGGCTGCAATTCTTGCACTTTCCCCTCCAAATCACCCTTAAAAGCCCTCATTTCGGCTATTTTCGCCGTTAGACTCTCAATTTCCTGGGCATATTTCTCCTGTTTGCGCATCTCCTCAGATTCCAGACGCTCAGCCACTGACTCCCTCTCCTGACACACTCGCAGGAAGTCATTGAGCGTGAGACATTTACTCCTAGTCGTCTTCTGATCCTGATAAATCTTCCCCATTCGCGCACTGTTGAGATTTCTCTGCTTCTGGGCGCTCTTTCGCATGTCATCCTGCTGACGACTCACCTGGACAGGAGGGAAGATAACATCAAGAATCATTATGGCCACAAATATGAGCGGGAAACTCACCTCTACAGCTACATCTTCCACGTGGAAATTCCTCAGCTTCAGGGATTCCTCCAGATCCGTCCATTTGTGTGAATAACTAAGGAATTAATTGCGTCTTTAGGCAACTTTTTCAGCTGTAAATTCTCTACTTACATAAATTTTCCCAATTCTGGCTTGGAGTGGACTTTGTGGAGCACCACACGAGACACTGGGACATTCGAGGGGGCCACAATTCGGGGCAGAGGAGTCTTCTTAGCCTTTCCATCGCACCCAAACATTTTTGCCAATATCCAGAAAAAAAAATTGTTGACGCGTTTCCTGGACAACGAACGCATTCCTGAAGACATTCAAGCTCAAGGCTCACAGATGTTCGTATATAAAAGACGATGTATTTCATAGGATTGAGAATGTCAGGTATGATAAAAATGTTTTAGAGGTAAATTCGTCGCAGATCCGATGGAGATGTGATCATGTTGCACTGCGGACAGAGCTTCCTGGCGCCCAGCGTCCTGAGCCAGCACTCCTCGCAGTGCACGTGCCAGCAGGAGATGGACACCACGGGCACCCGGAATTCATCCAGGCAGATGAGACACTTACACTTATTCCTGCTGCCACGCTCGAACTCCAGAATCTTCTGCTTCAGCGCTTCAATTGTGATTTCATGGGGTTTCCCTATGTTCTTCGCCTCTGGAGTGGGATAAGGTGACATCTCGTCCACCTTCTCCAGCTCTGGCGGATCCGGACTGATCACGCGTGAGCTAGAACCAGTGACCAGACGCCGGAGATACTCTCCATTCTCCTCCTCACTCGACAAACTCGACGGCGGCGGAATGACATCCTTCTCTGAGTACTGCGACGGTCCATAGACTTGCGTATCATCGCCATCCACATTCAAATCCTCGTCGTCCTCGTCTGGATTCTCCTTGGTCACAACTGTGCCCACACCAGCAGCTCCCAAGCCACCCTCAACCATGCTAGTGGCTCGGATTCTCGTCTGTCCCGCGAATTCGTACTCCTCAAAAAACTCCCCATCGATATCGATGCTGTCGTCATCACTAGAATTGCTGCCGGACACGGAATTCCTGCCCTGGCGACTCTTCTTCAGGCACGCCTCCACGTGAACGTTGATGTCTTCGGTGCCGGGAATGGATTTGTCACAAATCGGGCAGGAATGCTCCAGTTTCCGCTTCTTGGATTTCATCTGAAAACAAAATAACGCCCCATTAGACATCCTCCACGCCTGCCCCACACCATCCACTGACCTTCAGTCTTGTCTGTCGATTGCTCTTGATTTTCTGATACGTTCCCCAAGCGGACTCCCCTGTGGAATTCCCGGCAGACGAGCTGGAGCCACTTGGCGACTGGACAGAGGAGCTGCCACTCGATGTGCTCGCACCACAGGCATGATTCTGCTGTCCGGGGAGCTTCCTGCTCCGCTGGCTGGAGAGTTTGTCCAGCCGGTCCACCTCCAGGGCGAAGTGCTGATCAATCTCCATGGGACGCACTGTACAGCTACAGATGGGACAACACATTGGCTCAGACAGTCGCTTCCGCACGCGGAAGCCTCGACCCTCTTCCGTGGCACTGCTCGAGCATCCTGAGCACTCCACATCCGTTTTCTCGGGCTTCGTCAGGGTCTTGACTTCGAAGGACATTTTGCTGCGTGAAATCACACAAAAGGTTCTCTATAGTGATAAATTTGGACGGTTTAGCATCCGAGTGTGGATATTTTGGGTGGAAATTGCTAATTACTTACGGCTGTACAGAGAGATAATACGGATTAAAAACAGATACACAATAATTTGTATGTTTTGAGGCCACTTTTTGCTGCACTTTGACGGAACTTGTCTAAAAACAAGGGGAAGTTTTAGCACAACCCGGTTTGCATGCCGCCCCACTGTTCTAAAAATCACACTTGTCAATTCTGCGTCAGTGAAGCGTGTTGTTTTGAAGTTTCCGCACATCTCTTCGAGTTTTTCGTGAATTTGTGATATTTCCCTGTGAATTTCCAACAAAATGTCTTCAGAGAACGAGGGCAGTGGCACCAATGATGGTCACAACACGTCTGATGACGATGCATCGCGCTCACCAAAGCTGCAAATCGATGGAAATGCTTCTGATGGCAAATCGGATAAGTCTGGTGACTCCCCAAGGTCCTCTCGGTCAGGAACTCCACACTCTGGACAAGGTTCTGTGCGCTCCAGATCTCCACACTCTGGAACAGGTAGTCCACGGTCTGGTGGGAGTTCTCCACGATCCCCAAGATCTCGCAGTGGTTCTGCTTCGCCACGATCGGGAAGGAGTTCTCAGCGATCTGGCTCAGGAAAGAGCACTCCTCGCTCTCCCCGGTCTGAGAAGAGTGGTTCAAGATCACGCAGTGGCTCGCCGGCAGGATCAAAGTCTCAATCTCCAGACAGAGCGCGCTCACGAACGCCAATATCCGATGAGGAGACAATCATGAAAAATCGCAAGAAGGCATCAGCTCTGATTGACTCGGATAGTGAAGAAGATGAGGCTCCCAAAGCCGATGCGGCTCCTGAAGTGTCCGCCACGAAGCTTTTTGGTGATGCTGATGATATCAGTTCAGATGAGGGCAGCAAATCTGATGGTGAGAAGCGTTCGGACAGAGAGAAATCGCCATCGCCGGAAAACGAGGAGCGTCAGTTCATCCGGTCGGAAGATGAGGAGATGAAGAGTGATCAGGAGGGTGGCGATAAGGAGACCGAACAAGAGCCTGAGCCTATCAATGAGACGAGGATTGACGTGGAAATCCCGAGAATCATGTCTGATCTCGGGAGAGACATTCACTTTGTCATCCTGCCGAATTTCCTGTCCGTGGAGACGCGCCCATTCGATCCGGAGACGTACGAGGACGAGATTGACGAGGAGGAGACACTGGACGAGGAGGGAAGACAGAGGATCAAGCTGAAGGTCAGCAACACCATTCGATGGATGGAGAGATTCGGCAAGGATGGCGAGAGGAAGCTGGACTCAAATGCGCGCATGGTGAAGTGGTCAGACGGAAGCATGAGCCTTCATCTGGGCAATGAGATCTTCGACGTGTACAAGCAGCCTTTGCATGGCGACCACAATCACTTGTTCATCCGCCAGGGCACGGGTTTGCAGGGCCAGGCGGTCTTCCGGACGAAGCTCACCTTCCGGCCACACTCTACGGAGTCCTTCACGCACAAGAAGATGACCATGTCGCTGGCGGATCGTCTGCAAAAGACCAGCGGCATAAAGATTCTGTCGCAAGTGGGCCCGGATCCGGATCAGGATAGGCAGTACTTCCTGAAGAAGGAGGAGGAGAAGCTGCGACAGGCGCTGCGCCAGAAGACACACCACGTGAAGCCCAAGCGAGGCAGGGAGTCGGGTAATCTGACGAGCTCCTACAGGGATCACGATGAGGGATCGGAGGACGAGGGCGGCATCTCGATAGCGGCGATAAAGAACAAGTACAAGAAGGGAAAGGCGCCGCTGGAGAAAGGTGAGTCTCCTGGAGAGACAACAGAAGCATTTTCATCAACTAATCCTGAATCATTCCAGGTGGAGGTGCAGGAATTTACTCCTCGGACGAGGATGACTCGGACTTCGAGGCCAGACCCAAGAAGAGCAACAAGAGCAAGGCTGCCCTCAAGGATTCCGACGAGAGTGATTCGGACAATGGCGCAAATCAAGAGGCTGAAGAAGACGAAGATGAGGCGGAAGAAGATGACAAGAACGATGATGATTAGGCTTCTTGCTCTTTAATAAATATTCCTGGACTTCTATCTAATCTCCACGTTGAACTTCTCCACAGCATTTTGTCCTATCTTGGCGTGAATCTCATTCACTTCCGCCTGCGTGAGTGTCTTCTCCATGTGCCTGTAGATTATGCGGAAGCAGAGGCTCGTTCTGCCGCTCTTGGGATGCTTAAATTGGTCACGCAGCAGCACCTGCTCCACCATGTCTCCGCCGATGCTCCTCACCTCGTCGTAGAAGTCATTGTGGTCGAAGGAATCACCTCCGGATGTGCCTGGCAGCCAGAAAGAGAGATCATTCGAGCACTGAGGATACACCGAAACCGCTTTGTACACCTTCCCATGCGGCATGTCGTCGTGAAACTGACTCAGGAAGCCGGAATCTCGGCTCCAAAACAGACGAATGTCCGGAATCTGGAACAACGCCATAGCCAAGCGTTCCAGTCCCAGGCCAAAAGCAAATCCAATGGCATTCGTGTGGCCACAGCGCTTTAGAATCTCATGTCGCATGATGCCACAGCCCAGAATCTCCATCCATTTGTCACGATGGAAGATCTCTAGCTCCCAGGAAGGGTGAGTGAAGGGAAAAGTCTCCTCCACCCAGCGATACTTGATTTTCTCGCCGAACAGACTCTTCACCAGTCCCACCAGAGTGTCTTTCAGTTCCTTCTCGGCCAGTTTCACTGCCTCCAAAGTATGACACGGTTGATGAGTGGATTCCTCCTGGCCAGCAGTATTTTCCACCATCACTTCAAGATCCACCTCGCCGAAGAGACTCTTCTGCGTGTGAATTCTCACGGCATCGAGTTGGTGAAAGACAGGATAGTGTGTGGAGTCAATTTCATCCCGCCTGGAAGACAAACACATCTGGTAAGTTGATCATTTCATTCCTTCCACACCAGAATTACCTGTAAACATCTCCCACGATCAGGAAGTTATCCAATCCCGCCGAGATAAGTTCCGCCTGGTGTACCGTTGTATGAGCACGCAGCATAAAGTCCCTGTTCAGGTAGTAAGACTGGGACTTTTCTCTGCTGGGATGATTTCCAGGAATCAGAAGACTATCAAAATTCTGCTCCACACTCACAATAGGACTCAATGAATCGTGAGTGCTGAACACTGGGTTTCCCCTCGAGTTCCGGTACCTCTGACCGAAGTACTTCACAATCCTCTGGCGCACTATCGAGAGCGGATGGTGTTCCTGAACGTGAATCCGACGCTCCAGAAAAGACAGAATTCTAGGATTGACATTTGTCCACTCGTCTGGACGATACACACGGCGATTTATCTCCAAAGTGGGTTTCACCTCACTAACAGGCTTTGTGGAGAGATTTCGCACGATGAGACGTGGGAAGAGTGTGGAAATTAAGCGGATTTTCATGAGATTTCCTGCCACCGGCATTGTTTACAATTTCACAGTCAAAAAGGGCGATTGTGATTCAGATACCAGTCGTCATTGGCGCTCGTGTCGCCCAGACAGGATTTTAGTACAGGAAAAATGATTTTTCGGGAAATCTGGCAGAAAATCTGAGGAAATTGATAAATATTGCAATAATTTTTCACTCAAAAATAGTGAAAACAGAAAGACAATTAGTAAATCTGACAAATTGTTCATGCGGGGGTGTTTTTCCCACGAAATTCAGGATTTTGATGAGATTTGGTGGTTCGTCGTCGCATTGTAGAATTCACTGATATTGCATTCAAAGAATTTTGTCTTCAAAGAAGAAATTAAAATTAAATCAGTCTGTGGCGTTGCTGTGGCGATAATTTGAAAATATGCTAAATCAATAGTAAATTTGCTTTCGTGGAGATCACGAGAGATTTGCCTTGAAATATAACTCTAAATGCCTTGGGCAAGTGAGAATCTCTGGACGCGCGAGGATTCGCGCCTTACCGGGAGCCGAAGTTGGCAGGCGTGGGTGATTTAGACCAAAGAACTGAGCAACGCTGGGCAACCTTTTTTTCCCAAGCACACTAAGAATTTTGAGCTTGATCCTGTCATTTTGTTTATTGGCGAGTTGGGGAAAAAGGCAGAATGTGCCGCTTGTGAGGCGTTGTGAGTGCAATAAACAGTGAGTGAACGCGCTACAGGTAACGATGAACTTCTCAGCATTCGGTGGCCCCTTCTCGGGCATCCACCAGTTTGCCGCAAAGTTCGGCAATGACTCCACACAACTCGGCTCCTATGCGGCGAACGCGTCGGCGGAGTCCGCGGCTCAGGACAGTAGATATTCCAATCCCAACCACTTTAGTCAGAACCCAGCAGGTGAGTGCGCCCCGGCCATCGAACAGGAGAGCGACTGACGCGCCTCCCTTGGTGTCTTTGCAGTGTCTAGTCCGAACATGCAGTACGCCCAGAACATCTCCATCCCGTATGCGTCTGGGCAGCCGTCGCAGAACGAGCACCTCTTTCTGCACGACAAGCAGAAGGCGGCCGGCCTGAAGCTGGACCGCAGCCGCGACGAGGTGCTGAATCAGCAGATCCTGCAGAACGTCAACCAGTCCTGGCAGACGCTGGCCAATCCGGCCAACTCTGTGGACTACTCGTCGCACCTGCTCTCCGCCACACTGCCCATCTCCATCCAGCACTTCCTCAAGTACTCAGAGTCCATCAAGAAGGAGTCCGGCATCTCAGGGACTGGCCCGTCCTCAGGCGCGGCCAATGGGGCCGTCACGAGCGCCGCCTCGAGCCTCCTGGCGGCCAATCTCACCCACGACCTCGACGGTGATCTCAATCCACCCACCACGGTGGCCTCCGGCGCCGCCGCCGCCGCGTCTGGCACCGGCTCGGCGAAGAAGAAGAAAAAGAAGGCGCCCAAGCAGAAAGCGCCGCGGACGGTGAAGAAGCCGCGTCCAAAGCCCGGCGAGATTCGCGAGACGAAGGCGCTGGACGGCTCGACGCTCTACTGCTGCCCGGAGTGCCAAATGGCGTATCCGGACAGGCCGCTCATTGAGCAACACGTCATTTCGCATGCCATAGAGAGAAGGTAAGACCATCCAGTGTCTCCCTCTTTCCTCTTCTTAGAGTGCTAACGAAACTGTTGCTTGCCTTCCAGATTCGTTTGCGACATCTGCAATGCCGCTCTAAAGCGCAAGGATCACTTGACAAGACACAAGCTGTCTCATATTCCCGACAGGCCGCACATTTGCAATGTGAGACACCAAATCTCTGGGGAAATGCCCGGACTAAACCATTCCTTCTCTCTCTCTCTCTCTCCCTCTGCAGATCTGTATGAAGTCGTTCAAGCGCAAAGAGCAATTGACACTGCATATCGTTATTCATTCTGGTGAGAAGAAGCACATATGTCCGGAGTGTGGCAAAGGTGAGTGTTGAGACTGGCATTTGAGTCAAATTGGATTGCAATTCCAATTGGATTCTCGATGGCCAACAGGAAAATGTGTCTTTATACAAATTGAAGAAAAATACTGAAGAATTTTGAACTGTTCTCTCATTGCCAAATGCAGGCTTCTACCGGAAGGATCACTTGCGCAAGCACACTCGCAGTCACATCGCTCGTCGGGTGAAGTCCGAGGTGTCGTCTCAGACTGTGGGCTCCACAGGAGCGGCCAGCAGGAGTCAGATACACGCTTCCTGAGCCTCGTACAAAGACTTCTGGTAGGTTGGACGATTGATCATTTGATTGTGGCATCGTGAGTGGTTGAGTTTAAGGCGTTCTGTGCGTGTTCGTGTTTGTGGATTAAAAGCAAAGTGTATAAGAAAGCATATTTTTCTTCCAAATGTCGTTCAGTTTCCAACGATGATCCTTTAATATTTTTTTTTATTAGTGGGGAAAAATTGAGAAGTTGATAAACAAAAAAGTCTAGTGAAAAAACTCACGATGTCGCGATGTCTTATGATGAATATATGACAATATGTCCAATTGTGACGGAGGATGTCTTTCCACTCACAACTGTTTGTGTGTGGGAGAAGTATTTTTGAGAAAAGTACCTCCTCCTGAAGGTGAACCTACCAGAGAGTCTCTCTATTTTATATTTATTATGACGCAAAGTAATTAAAACCACCAGTTTTAAATGATTTATAATTTACTAATTTAATGTCGTATGTGCAAATTATTGTTCGTTCATCTTATAAATTCAGTGTTAATACTTAGTCATGACGATGAATGAGATGGAGAAACACAAAAAAAGAAAAGAAAAATATTTGGAAATAAAAAAGAGGGAGAGAAGAGGAGAAAATATGAGTATTTGCGTAAGAATAAAGGAAAAAAAACATGTGGAAATTAAAAACAAAAATTGTAGTGGTAAGTGAAAAAAAAACAAGAAAAAATATAAACACACCCCTCTTCTAATCTATATTATATATTTGAAAAAAAGTATAACTATATTTATTATTTAATTTACTGTATGACTTATTGAATATGTCTTGCAATTGTAAAATTATACAAAGTATGAGAAAAACTAATAAAAACATATATTTGCTAATGTAACCAATAGAAATATGCTACTTGGTGATTTTCACTCTGGACAGCGTCCGCTCGTCCTTCGGCATGAGATCAATCTTCTCCTCAATGATGTCCTGACTCCTGGCGATCTCGTTCACATCAGTGTCGCGCGAGTGCACGAGGCGCGAGATCAGTGTGGCGTCCACGTCTCCGGGCTTGTTGCCGCCGGTCAAGTAGCGCATCAGGAAGGCCACAGTCACTGTTGTGACGATTCCCAGTGGAATGTAGAACAGATAGGATATCCGGAACAGAGGAAAGACGTAGGATCTGAAGAGAAGTCAAAAATTAAGGCAATCGAGACTAAAGATATTGAAGGATTCTTGACAAATCTACCAGCAAAATACTTAATAAAACATTTGAGAATCCAAGAGAGTATTAAAGTATTTGAGTTCATTGGCTCAAGGAAGAATCTAGGGTTTAAGTCTTTTACAAATAGAAACTGGTTTATTGGGAATCGTCTGGACCAGATATCAACTGGTTGCATTCTTATTATTTAACTGCAAATATTTGCCATTCACGAGTGCAAATAGAGCAATTAAGTAAAGTCTCAGTCTGCAGGTGGCTTTGAACTTGAAATTAATCCAGAATTAGTCTTCCAAAAGGGTCACTCTCGAGATACTGCATCAAGCCTTATCGCGTCCATGTGACGCAGGCATCAATACAGTGTGATTAATTAGCACAATCGATTTCATATTCGGCCTCAGATACGCGCGCTATAAAGAGCGAATCACGGATTCTCACGAGTGCGTACTAAACATGTTTCCGTGTACTTTTCCACACACTGATCAGCCCGAAAATCGATAAATGTGTGTTTGGAGAAAGAGGCAATTAAGTGGATAAACAGAAATACATTATGCGCTTGTGCTTAGTCATTAATTAGCACGATTGTTAATTGACCAGTTCTCACCTTTCCGCCTCTAAAGACGTCTCGTTGAGATTGACGGTGATGTTGAAGAGATCGGGACAGCCTTCGTGCGAGAGAGGCTTCGTCTCGAACACTATATCGCCCGCCGCGATGGCCGTTTGGGCGGAGAAGCTGATCCAGCCCATGAGGATCAGGCCGGCAATGCCGCCCACGAGGGCGCACTGGAGAGAGATCACGAGGATTAGGCGCGTGGCATTGAGATTGTGAATGGGAGCTACTCACGCTTCCGTTGATGGTGGGGAAGAAGATGCCCAGGATGAAGATGCCCAGAACAGATCCACTCGTGACGCCTTCGAAGCTGTTCGTGAGCTGCATGATCGTGTTGGATTTCTCGGCGATGGCCGTGAGTGGGACACAGAGGAGGCCGAAGACCACCACGACGCCCCTCATGATCCAATTCTTGGCGCGCATGCTGAGATCCTTCCGCGAGAGGGGCTTGAAGAAGTCCTCCAGCACCACGGCCGCCATGGAGTTGAGGAAGGTGGACATGGAGCTGAGCGCGGCGCAGAACATTCCGCCGATGAAGATGCCCGCCAATCCCGGGAGGTTGCGCGAAATGAGGAGCACGAAGAAGGGAATGAGCTGATCGTGCTCGCGGATCAGACCTGCCATCTTCGGGTCGCAGTCATTGAACGTGGCCAGCAGCAGTGAACCGCCGTAGATGCTGAGGAAGTATATGGTGACGAAGATGCCCACACTCAGCCAGGCGGCGCGGTGCACCTTCTCGATGGAGGGTAGCGAGAGGTAACGCTGCACGACGTTCTGATTGCAAAAGATGTAGCCGCAGTATCCGACGCCGCCGAAGGTGATGGACCAGAAGGAGTGCCGAATTGTGGGATCAATGTTAAATCTACAAGGTTTCAGAAATTAACCATCGAACGCTTCCGCTTAGGGATGAAGGGTGAAAGAGGGATTTACGTGGGAAACTCATAGCGATCCCTGTCGTAAGTGCTGCGAAAGATGCCTTCGAAGCCCATTTCATCGCTAATCTCCACCGTGCCTTTGATTAGCACCACAATTATCGCCCCGAACATCGCGACTGTTTGGAAAACATCCGTCCAAACGGTCGCACGGAAGCCACCCTGCAAAGACAATGACGACGTGATGATGATGGAAGTGATTTCTTCCCCAGCACAGCACGAGGGGCTACTCATCGCACTGTCAATATTGACACACATGATATTGGAAATTCCTTTTTCCCCGAAAATATTCCAAATTGTTTAGCCAAATTCCACCAGTGTTTTGTCTGGTGAGGCAAAAACGATCAATGTCGCGTGGAAAGTTTGGTGTTGTGTTTGTTTCGCATTTGTAAATAAAAAATCATTTAAGACCACCCAAGGTAAAGGTGAAGATAATAGATTAAATTAATGTACATATTTTTTGCTCGGAGAAATGCATCTAATTGAATAAGTTAATTTTTTCCTTTTTGCGACTGACCAACCCCCTCGAATTTCTATTTATAGGTGTTGTAAATTTTCCCAAAAAGATGTTTGACCAAATTTGACCTCACAACTATAATATTAAATTTTTTGAGCAAAACATTGGCTTGAACATTAGCACACTTTGCGACTCTTTGAATGAACATTTCACTGAATCATTTTGCGGTTTAGTTGGCAAAAAAAACCTACAAACACACTGATAAGATTTTCAGACTTACGCTTTTTCTCACAATTTCTGTGCAACTGCGTAAATGCTGTGGGCAATGGAATGAGTAGCCCCTGTGCGGGGTGTTTTATTTTTCTATTGAGTGTGGAAAAATCCGTGAAGAATTATAGAAAAGGTAAAATGTGGAGAGAAGAAAAACTCACTACACAGGTGTAAAGAACCACGATTGATACCAGAATGGCGCTGGTGATGTTAACATTGGTGCCAGTGACTGAAAATGGAAGACGAGGGCAGAAAGAGTGTGCAATTCTTTCACTTTGACCACTCTAAGAGTGGATCGCGAGCTTCTCACCTTGATTGAGCGACAGACTTGGGACGTAGAGGAGAATTGGCATGTAGAGTGTGGAGAGGATGAGGAAGGAGATCGAGCCGAAGAGACGAACGCGTCTGTCGAATCTCTTCTCCAGATAGTGATACATGGAGGTGATGTTGAGGGAGTAGAAGATGGGCAGGATGTACTTGTTGAAGACCAGCGCCGTGACCAGGAATGGGAAGAAGGAGAAGGCGAAGGTGCTGCCGTACAGGTACATCTCCGTCTGCACACCCATCAGGCCGATGGCACTCAGTGTGCTGGCCAGGATGCTCATGCCCACGGGCACCACGCTCATGCTGCAAGAGAAGATCACAGTTTCACGCCACGCTTCACGCGGGAAATTTCCACTGGAGTCACTCTCACTTTCTGCCGCCCATCAGGTACTCCGCTTCCGTCTTCAGCGTCTTGCGATTGGCATAGCCATGGTAGAAGCCGATGCACATCGAGATGACCAGCATCAGGATGAGAATCACGCCATCCGTGATGGCGAAGGATTGACTCGCGACGTCGGCACTGATCATTATCGTGTGAGCTACTGAAGCGCTCTGGCTGAGAATGCCGTCTTAAGGCTTTTCGGGAGGCTGATAAATCACCACTTCGAGGGTCAGCGCGCCGCGGAAAAAATCATCTTCCATCCCGCTTTGCCACTCACTCTTTCCAACTGCGAATATTGCGGCAGGTTGAAATCAAATCTCTGGGCGTATAAATTCTTCATTTGGGTAGATAAATGGCTGGTTATCAGTGGAATCGTAAATAACTTGAGGTTTGGTTTAAAATTAAACAAGTGCCTTTTCGCGATTCATTCAGCAATGATATGCATCGCTCAATACTACACTTTGATAACTTATCATGCGCTTCATGAGTTGAATATGCATTATTGATCGGTGTGGATATTAGGCTATCGAGGTGATCAATAATTCGATTGAGACGATTGTGTTTTTTTTCTTGAATTGTGATGTTTAATCAAATGGTGAACAACTGAATATCATATAAATTCTCTCTTCTTCATACGAATTACTTTTTTGCGATCTTTTTAATTAATTGTTTCCCATTAGAGAATAATCTGAGACAGCATAAATAATTGCTTTTCTCATTTTCACAGGTGTATTCGGAATATTCTAAGCCGATTGCCTTTAATTAGAGCACTGATCATCCCCTCAACTCTTTCACTCACTCTTCGCGACATTTAATTCCATCATGAATATTTTCCAAAACTACTTATGTGCTAAAGCAAGGCACAGTTTTTTTGCAATATTATACAAACAATTCCATGCAGTTGATGTACATTTTTTCCGCGATATCATTTGAAGAGTGTGACGAAAAAAATACTATGAATATTTCATGATATGACGAGTGGAAAATTTTGAGAAATTTCACGTATCGATATAGAGGTCTTTTATCTCGACATCGCGAAAATACGTATGCAGAATGTGTGAGAAGTGTCGATTGGCGCCAAGTCACCTTCTCACAGGCGCTTTTCTATTCCCACAAATCCAGCGAAAAAAAAAGATTAATAATTTGCAATTCGTAAAGGCCAATCGGTGAAGAATGGTTTTTTATTCTAAATATTGGCTACAACCACAATTAAATTATAGTATATACGTTTTTATTGTAAATTCTAAACATCTTCTGGTTTTGTATAAGAGATTCTCCAATATAAACGACAAAAACATGAACGATTTTATTTGCAAAAATTATGCAGAAGTATGCAAATATTGGTAAAAATTTTAGTGTCTCTTCTGCTTGGCAGCTGAAGGAGGTAAAGTGTTATGAGGCACTCTTTAGGCACTCAGAACCGTACTGGCTTCGCTCACAGGCCACCGACGAGTGTCAAGAGCAGCTTCTTGTAGTCACCTGAAGTGTCGCCCTGCAGGAAGGGAAGCAGATACAAGACGGACGATTAGTGTTGGAACGACGCTGTTTATAGGCGAAAGACACACATGAGTTATTTGAAGGCAGGGCTGCTGAATTTTGAGAATACAACCAAAAAGTCCAATAACTTCTCTTAGACGATCTTTTCATGTTGGTTTAATGACAATCTTGCGGTTAGATTTAATGCTGCGTGATGAGTAAAGTGACTCAATCTTGCCACAGGTCAGAAACTGATAATCGAGTTATGTGACATTGGCGCGTCTGAAGTGTGTGATAATGAAAATCGCCAAAGAGAAGTTCTTTCGTCAAACAGCCCCACATTGAAGCTCTGGTTAGTCGATTATTTACCCATAGACGTGCCCAGAAGATGCAGAAGGCGAGCAAAAAAATCAACAAAGATACCATACCCAAGTTACCTTGATCCACGACACGAGGCTCTTGCCGTACTTGGCCTCGAAGGCCTCCTTGATGTCGCCCAGATCGATCTCCGAGCGACTCACGATGATCCGGATGAGAGTCTTGTCGTTGGTGCCCAGGCCATTCATGGCGTCGTGGAGTCTCTCGGCGAAGTAGTCCACTTTGGACTTGCAGCAGCCCACGATGGCCAGCATGCCCTTCTCCACGGCGCCGCTGAATTCGCTCTTGATGGCCGACTCGATGTCCCGTCCGGCGATGTTCTGGTACTCCTGGAAGATTTGCCGCAGCTGCTGGTACGAGCGCGTGACCAGGAGTGAGTTAAAGATGGACTCATCCGTGCCCCACTGACCTTCGCCGGCGTCGAAGAGCGCCTGGGCGTCAGCAATGGCGGCGGCCTCATCCACTCCCTGTGGAATTCATGGAGAAATGATTGTTAGCAATTGTGGGAATTCGCGTCATTTTCCATGACGGTAGCAATGATTGTTTAGCTGCTGCTGGAGATCGCGAAGTGACTCACACCTGATAATTTTTGTCGTCATCTCTCACCGACACAAAAAACGGGAGAAGCGATAGAATCACTAATAACCCGGAGGTGATATCTCGCGCAACAATGTCGCTGAAGAGGCTTTTGTCGCTAGAATGTTTCAAGGAAATGTTTCTCAAGTGATCCCACTTCTGAATTGTTACAAATTACAGTTGAAATTTGGGTGTTTCAGCAATTAACTTGCTTCTTTAGCTCAAACGCCACCAAATATATGTAGTTAACTCACACCTCGTAGATATATTGGATTTGACGGTGGATTCCCTCGTGAGTCGCACGTGAAACTTTCCCGATGGAAAAAGGTTACGACAATTGCGAGCAAAAAACCACTGAACTTGATTATTCTCTCGCATCATGAGACATTAATTGCAGGCCTAAAAAGGCACCTCGCCTCGATTGCGCAAATGGCATCGGTGCGGAGAAAGGCACATCTTCTCACCTGATTCTCATCTCTGTTGCCCTGCACCAGCGATCGGCAGAGCCTCTTGAAGTGGCCACTCGTGTCTCCCTTGAGGTCGTCCTCCAGCGTGCGTCCGTACATTTGCTCGTAGAACTGCGCGATGGTCTTGATACCGTAGTTGGACAGCGAGCACAGCACCTCGATGATGCACTCCTCGTCGGTTCCCATCCCGGCCACGGCGTCGTGCAGCTCGGACGCGTAGTACTGCGGCAGGGGCGTCATCAGGGCCACCACGGCGTTCTCGAAGTTGCCGCCCAGCTCGGACTTGAGGTCCGAGATGAGATCCTTGCCGTAGGAGGTCTTGAAGGCCTCCACAATTTCCAGGCGCTGCACAATTCCACGACGGCCCAGAACCTCCATGATGGCCTTCTCGTCCGTGCCGAAGCCTTTCATGGCCGTGCGCAGCGTCCCGGCATCGGCCACGGCATCGAAGGGATCTGCCGGATAAACGGTCGGCGTGCAGCGGAAGGGATAGTACTCAGCCGAAGACATCTTTCACGGAATCTGGCGGAAGTGGAGAAAGTCGATTAGATCTTGCGTGTGTGTGATTGAATATGGTGCAAACATTAGATGCTTTAGTTGGCAATTTCGCACGGGCCAGAGTGTGTGAGCGGCCTCATTTCACCTCTGCGCACACAATCTTTCTCAATGTGCAATTTAATGTCTCTCAATCCCATTCACATGGCAAAAATGCTGGATCAGAAGATGCTCACAACATAAATGGCTGAACGGAGTCAGAGAGGAGGGAAAAAAAGCAGCGACGCATTGGCAGAATATGATGAGGTGAAACTGAGAGACGCGTTTAAAGAAGGGTAATTAAATTATCACGTGTTGGATACATCAATCTCGATATGAAAATGTACATTAAAAGAAGAAGAAGAGTAGCTGCGAGGCACAGCAAATCTCCATCTCACTTGGCCATTAGTGCCATTCTTTCCACTCTTCATTAACCCTCTAATGCGAACGAGTTTCCACAATTGTCTCTAGCTCGACAGATCGCTATCAAGTGGACAGATTCAGTGATTATGTCGGCGATAAGCATAAGGAGAGAGAGTCACGTTAGTGCAGGCGAGAAGGAAAAAATGCCCGCCAAATCCGGAGATTTCTTCCGTGAGAAGGTTAAAGAAGAATCAAACACGAAAAAAAAATCGACAAAGAGTTATTTTTGACCCTGAATCTTTTTTTCTCCCCATCAACACATGTCGAGAATATGAGAGTTGCTTAGCAGAGAGAGAGAGAAAAAATGTTTAGTTGTGTGTCTGGCAAAGAATACAATCGTTCAATGTGTCATGAATAAGTAAAGCGACACGATAAGTTAGAAGTTTCTACAATCTTGTCGAAGTTAAGCAATTACCTTCTCAATAATTCACCTCATGAATCACAAGAATGAAAAATGTGTTATTGATTGTCCAGTAGAAGTTGCCAGATTTTCACTGAAATCATCTTGTAAAATTGCTATCTTTTCGCATATGTAAACATCTTTGTCACGATTCGTGTCGTTGAACTGAATCACGAATAAATTCACTGTAATTTTTCTGGAGAAAATATTGAGTCAAAAGACACATGGGTAATTTAAGCGAGATAACATAAATTAGTGGTAATTGAGGAAAAAAAGGTTTAAAAGTAAGATTTGTGTCAAAATTATAGAGTAAAATGAGCAAAATGCCTCAAAGACTTTTCAGAAAGCTCTAAAAATTCACAAAACTGAGACTTTTCATAGGTACTTAAATTCAGTAACACATAAAACCAAAGAGTATATTTTCACAATTAAACACTTCAATGAAATCTTGCAAAAATCTTGCGAATGATTCAGAAAATCATTGTAGCAAACTTCTCTTAAAATAAGAGACTGGTTGAATGATTCCTCTTAAAATGTATGAATTGAAAAAAAACTCAATTTGATAACTTAATTTTAATGAGTCTCGCTAATAAATTGAAGTTTCTTATCACTTTCGGACAATTTCAAACCATTATTATGTTATCAAAACCATATGAACTTTCTTCAGTGTGTGTGTTGATGAGCAATCGATTGGCAATTAAGGGATCACAGAGTGACAAATTTAAGCAGCTATAATGCTATAAAATTAGATCATCGATATTCCAGTGAGTCTGCAACACAGTTTCTCAGTGGAAACTCGCTGTGAATCTCGCCGGTTTCTTGGGAAACGCGCGATTTAGCATTGCGACATCGCGCATGAATCAAGCCAAGAGAATTTCAGCAGAAAATGCTTCGGATGGAAATAATTAACTACGCATTGAAGAGAGTCAAGGACTTATTCTATTCTTCACTCCTATATGCTTCGTGTGGGTTCTTTTTTGTGTTGGCCAAAAATTACTCTCTTCGGCTGAAGAGGTAGAAAATGAAAACTTGACGAAACCGAAATCGGAAGATTACACTGGCAACTTTCGAAATTTTTGGGCATAAAAGTGGAAGAGAAGAGTTGATTTAATTACAATGCGTGGGAATTGTTACAATCCGAAGCGCAGACATTTAACAAATTCGCTCCCATTTTGAGCTTTTTTTCTCCATCACTCTTAGTTTTCAATGCCCCTTTCTCACTATATAGTTTTATGTTTATGATCTTCACCTCTATTTCCTGATAACTTGCCACGATAGCAATTCCCCTGGGCAGATAAAACACCTTCTCTATTTGTTGAATCTCACTGACAAACACACCATTCGAATGCTGAAGGCGAGGTGTAAATTGCTGAGTGAAAATGTGCCGAAAGTGTCGTGATTCTTTTCACTTGCACGGGACAACACACAATGGAGAGTTTTGCAAGAAAAGTGAGGCGGGAAGAAGACCGTGATGAACAATTTTGCAATGCTGAAAGGTGCACGATTGAAGTGGAGAAATTGTGGAGGAGAATAGGAACTTACCTGCAGAAATGTGCCTTGAGGAATTGCACAGCGAAAACTGAGGAGTGTGAATTCGGTCGAATATTACTTGAGACACACCCAAGAATATGGGAAACCGCTCGTACGTACACTTTAATACTGACTCTCTGAGTCACTCTGTAGTGGAGTGTCATGTAAAAATGGGGATTACGTCACGTGGAGCCGAAACTGGCTGCCGGTGAAGTAGTAGAACCAAACATGCCCAATTCAAATCTCTCAGCGCCAACGGTCGAGCGCACAGCATGTGGAACACTGGCCGAAAGGCGGGAGTTGCTGTGAAGCTGCGCATTCAAATCGACTCGTGGTGAGTTAACTTCTCCTCTCCGCCGGAACTCAGGTGCTGTCCAACCATGCATTGAAGTCTTCTCAGCGAGTGGCAATGTTACCTGTTGAATGCCCGAAGAGCTGAAAAGACTTCAAGAGCCGGAAAATTCTACGACAGAATCAAATTACACAACGGAGAAAAGAAATGGCACACAAAATATTTTTAGAAAATATAATAGTTTTATTAAAATATAATAAAATAGTAAATTATTTCGATGATTGAATTATCATAGTGCTTAAGAAGTCATAAAGAGCCATATTTATTATGGTTTGTTTAGAATATATTACGATGGATAATTGAAATTAGTGAAAACCGTTCAAATATGCTCTACAAAGTATCATGTTGAGTGATGTATTGTACAGAAGAAGAACATCAGCGCATATCACTGGGTGAGAAGGCTCTAAATTCCATCATCAAGATTAAGATGAAAAGCCAAGTAATTGACTCTGTGCATATGAGTTTATCTTTCCAGGCAATTTCCACTGAGCAAATGAATTTTCTAGCCATAAATCATTGTTTTGCTACACTAAATGATCTGCAATTAATTGATAATGAAATCTCCGTTGCACTTCAATTGACCATGCAATTCAGCCGGTGGATTCCCATGCAATTATGCAGCTGAGAAGGTTGCGCGCGCGGAAACACTTTGAGAATCGCTGTGCCCACCACTTTCCAGGTGCTGCTCACTGGAAAATTCAGCGCGGGAAGAGTGGCCGCGGTGTGTCATTAAGATGATTTTCATGGCGGCGAGAGTCTCTCCATCAAATTTCCATTAATAAGTGAACAAATGATACATCAAATGAATTATTTATGAAAAATATAAGAATCTTTAACTGTTACAATTGAATCAAGCCCACAAATAATGAAATCTTTCGTTCAGGCAATCACATTTAGAAATAAAATTATATCAGGAAGCAGTGAAATTAGTTGGAAGAGAGGTGGTGTTTTTTCATGAGTCAGAACACAAGCTGCGCAATAAGACAATAAATAAAGCGAGAGATGGTGAAGAAGAAGTACATTTAAACATGCGAATTTCTTCAGTTTGTGTGCGCTGTTGAGAATCAGATATGAAATTGCCGCAATTTTCTCTCTGTGCTTCAAGTCTGGCCAACGGATTTTTGGCCAAAAGAACACACCCTTCTTAAAGGCAACAAAAGCCTCATTGGCAATTTATGATGTTGATGGCAGAAAAACCCACTGATCCAATTGATTTGATCTCATCGCAGCACTTCAATGATAAATCAATCAATTTCACCTCAACAATTGATTCCCATTTGATCTCCTCACATCGACGTGATTCCGTTCCCATCGCAGAATGGGACTTTGGCTTGCGATGCTGGCGAAAGAGAGAGAAAGAAGAAAGTGCAATTGTCTGCCTTTTTAGAGATCTTTTCCCGCTCGGCAACATATCACACATTCTCACACTTTCATGTGGACGCATTTTCATCTTTGATCGCATGCGGATTGGGAGCAGCAGCGCAGCATGAGGCCCTGCAACAAGAGTGCAAATTTGCGAAAAGAGGGACCCACAAATTATGCCCCGAGGGCCGCAATTCGCCATGGGGTTGATGACCCAGCGCAGTGCAGCCGAAAAAGACGCAAGAGGAGGAATTGCGCGGATGCATCCAGAGAGAGATGTCCATCAGCGGCCAATGCTGCAGCCACTTCTGGGGACTCCAGCGTCGGAAGGCCGCATGGTCGTCAGGACAAGCCAGAGAGATAGGAGAGACTCACAATTTTCCCACATGCGAAGTCGAAAGGCAGAAATTTTTCTCCACATTTGCGCTTACTTTCTCGGAAATGATTTATTTCCGCTCATCTTAAACTCGCACTTCTCCACAAAATTTATGCCATCACATGATACAGTTTAGCATTGAATTTTTGTGTTTTGAGATTTTTCTTGTCTCTCTCTCTAATTGGCAAAAGAGGGAAAAGTTGGACTGCATGTGGTTGAGTGCCATTGACTTTCTAACTTGAGAAGATTATAAGTTGTTGAAATTTGCTTTAATCTCGCTCATACAAGAGATTTCTTTGGTATTTTGTTGTTGTTTTTCATTCAAAATAATATAACCGATGTTTTCAAAGATATTATTAGTTTTTAAATGCCATGTTTTTTTTTCTTCAAATTTTTCATAACTATTTATTAGGTAAAACAGAGATTATGATGGCAATTAATAGTTATTAAATTATTTGAAATGAAAGTAAGAAAAAAACAACACTAGGAAATTTTAATGAAGAAATTTAAATTGCCGAAAGGCGAAAAATATCGTTAGAATTTTAATTTTAGTTTAGAAAATATCGAACATTATCCCACTTCTGAATTTTAGTAATTCGTTACAATTCCAGAGTCACTTTACATCTGACATTTCACTGAAATTCTACAAGACATAAAATCCCTTGGATTTATTTGTTCTTAATCCTTTTCTCGAATAATACTGATGCCCCTAAAGGTGCATAATAATCGCAATTTTTCACACACTGAGAGAGAATTGCCTTGGGTCAAAATACCACTATTTTACACCGAGTCTATCAAGATCCAATTTCGATTCATAAATCACTCTTATCGCAATTAATTCGCTGAACTTTGCAAAAGCAAGTGTTCCGTTGCCCTATCGCGATCGCAATCCACCTTGAATCAGGTGCAATTTGGCCACGGCCGCTGTGCAAGTCACTCTTCCGCCGCCGCTGTGGTGTGAATTGGTGAAAATGGGCAATTTGGCGGAAAGTGGCGCATTTTCTCTCGGAAGGGAGCGCCCGGATGGTTTCGGGGAAAGCGCTCCGTGGCCAGTAGCTGGACCCTCGACGGCCGGAGTCGCAAGTGCACGGCATCCAAGAAGCGGCAGGCAATAAAAAAACGGCCGAATGTAATAAATGCTGCCGCTGAGAGTTTCCTCAGCATGCAATGCGCGCACGGCGTCTCGCTCGCTCTTGTGCATCCGAAGTCAGGTAGTCGCTAATACATTAAGTACACATGTAGATGGGCAGGGTGGGGCCCGTGAGGGACGGAAGCGGCCGCAAGGGGGAAAGTGGAAGATCTTATTGCCATTAATTTCTCCCTGCGGTGTGTAGAAAGCGTCGCGCATGAGAGCAATTCTTTTATCCGCACACAAGCCAACGATGGACGATGCACGGTGATCCCATTTCCCTCAGCACTGGAGGATCGGCCAAAAATCATTGCCACTTTTACCTCTTTTTATTTACATACCCACTGGCATCACTCGCTAGATCAAATCCAATTAAATTTACTTCTCTTTGGGGTCTAGTGGTGGAAAAAATTTGGACCACATTGTTGCACCTTTTTTCCGCGCGCGCACACACACACTCCGCCTCGAGCCAATGGTCCGGAGGGGGCACAAGAAAGGCCCAGACGGAGTCTCATCGTCGGCTAATCAGTGGCGGTGCTTCTGGTTTTTTGACCACAGCAGCCTCTAGAAAGGTGCTTTAATTAATTCATCGCTAATTAGTGTATAACATATCACTGCAATCGGACTCTGGGCGGGAGATATGAGATCAAAAATACTCAAATATGCTCCAATAAATTCATGGAAAGTACAGCATTTGGGCGGGAAGAGAGCACAGCAAATGCTTAATGAGACGGTTAGTGTCAGCGAGAAAATTTGTGAAGACAGGAAGGACATTTGGATGATTATCTTGCTTCAGCTCAGAGAATTATTGAGAAAGAAAAATGCATGACTAAAATGATTGAGCAATCAAGTGACGCTGTTAGAAATTTCAGAAGTATAGATTTTGATGGATTCTGAGTGGCAAAGTGCTGAATTGGGCGCCAAAATCGAATCAACCTCAGTTTGGTGAATGCTGATGGCTCAGTTGGCGTTCGCCCCTCGATTTCCTGCGCTGATGGATGAATAAATTAGGAAATCCCCAAGTGAGCCCAGCGCAATTGACCAGTTAAGATCAGAAGCCGACCACCTGGCGATGATGGTACAAGTCGCGCTGCAGACGCGAAGTGGGCTCTCTCGCTCTTGTGCTGCCCCCTCCGCCACGGGCTCCCCAACACAAGTGAAGCCAGTCTCGTCAAAGTCAAAAGTAAGCCGATAGATGTGAATTAGTTCAGTCGGTGTCTGTCTGTCTGCAGAGGTGCTCGCGAGCGGTGAGACCTAAGAAAAGTGGCGAGAGTTGAGATTGACGAGGGTTCGCGCTATTGGGAGGATTAGGGGATCGGACTGGACGATCTGTGTTCGCCAGCACTCTCACCTCACCTGCGTGGCGGTCCATCGCGGGGTGAGAGCCAAGCGGGGCTCGCATGTGTGAGTTGTTGTTGCTCAAGTGGACTCGCGATCCTTCGTGCAAGTGCAAAGTGCGTGGACGATCCTCCGGTGCAACGTCATCAACTGTGGGGAAAAGCGCGGGAAGGCCGTGACCCCGACCAGTGGAAGTCATCCTCTTGTGCGGCTGGAAACAGTTGGCCGACACCTCGGCAGGAAAAGTGCGTGGAATCCGAGCAGAAGGGAGAGCAAAAACCCGTGGCTATTCCGCAAGTGGCTCTGGAGGCTGCGCGCCACAGTGCTTCTTCACAATAACAAAATCCACTGAATTGTGCTGATTGCACC